AAATCTCCCAACTCTTCTGCACTGGTCAAAGGTCAAAAGCTGCTTCGACACTAAAAGCGCACTAACCTTTCAAAATTGGGCATGTCTGCAAACAATTGCTTTCGCCGCTCTCGCAGACTGATTCTTCCAAGATTAGACAGGCGCTCCAAGCACTGGCTATATGCTTGCAGAAATGACTGCCGACACCTGATCCGTCACGAACAGGACCATCAATCACAGATGCACAGTCTAGCATTTTCAAGTTGTTGGCATTTTTTTTTCAACTATCTAACAGCTGATAAGTGGATCATCCTATCACCGTGTGCTTGAAATCTTCCGTATGCGTAAATTTTTGGAATAGTTCTTCGTATTTGCTCACAAGAAACAGTTTATCACCGCATCTTCTATGCCACATGAATGCATTGACTACCATTTTAGCCTGCCATCTTGACTACAGCTGTTTGAAGTGAATTGCCTTAAACACGACACATGTGCCGACTGGCAGCACGGGCCTTGTAGTGTAGGACAGAATACACTTGGTACTTATTACAGGACGCAGTAGGTGGTAGCTTTATTATGTGCAGCTGTAAAGTAAGCCTCAGTTTGATTCAAAAATCCTTGTAATTTAAAAACTGAGCATCATTATGCTAAGCTTGGGTAGAAGTAAGCATTGGAGTTGTGGAAACGCACCGATGACAGCCTGAGCAGGCACGTACAGTAGGCCAAGATTGACCATCATGATGGCGAGAGACTTAGCTAAGCGTTCCGGGCCAACCCAGTCGGAGAGGACAATTATCATTTGCGTCATTGCGGTCCCGCTACATACGCCTTGCAGTGCAAAGCAGATGTAGTACGCTGCCGTCTGTGCGTTTGTTGGGGAGCCCTTGAGGAGCCTCTATAATAGAAAGTCGACTTCGAATTTAGTAGGGGTTGCATTCATCCTACCTCAAAGTACTCATTGTGGAAGGGAGGGAATCTTAAATCTGTATTAAAACATTTATTTTACTTATGCATTCATTCACAAGGACTCTTCAATTTGTACAGTTCAGTCACCACGCTGGCTCCATCATGCTTCGTTCAAACCTAAATAAACCCAACTCTTCGCCACATTGGCAAACCTGCTTCCGGATTCGAGATGACACGGGTGTTACATCGGTGCCAGCAGTAAGCATAATCAATAAGAAAGAACAAAAAACCAGACTTTTGTGGTTAGAAGAGGAATATCCACTGCAAATGGTGGAATTTGTAGAGACTCACAACAAAAAGGCTATCAAAACTGTCAACTTCTGCGACATCCCAAGCCCTGATTCTGCATAATGGCCAGTGACTGAGCAAGACTAGATTCTAATGGAAGAGCCCCTTAGAGAAATGCATACCATTTCGTTTTAAACAGAGTAGAGAATGACACGATACTCCTTATGTTGTTGTCAAATGAACACAAATGAGTATGAGGTATGCCCGCTCCAAGGTATCGGCAGGCCTTTAGAGCTACTTTTCACTCTCGATGAAGGTCTAAGAAGGAGTGCGGCATTTAGGTGTTCTAAACAGATTCACAGAATGTACTGCCACTGATGAGCCAATAAACGCTCTTGCAATGTTGAAAATGCATTTGCAGTATCCTCGTTTCTGGGTTCAATTCACAGGAAGCAAATGTGTGAAAAGGGTAAGTGATGGCAACGATGTCGAAAACAGGAATAGAACCATGTGGTAAAATGTTTACTTCAATCATATATTTACAATTAAAAAATTCCAGACTGGGACCCCTCATCACGTAATTGGGAAAGACTCGAAGGCCATGTAGTACCACAGGAAAGAACCAGCTCCTGTCGGCTGACAGGTGTAAAAAATAAACGAACTCTGAAACACCTCCCAAAGCAATTGTCAATTTTCATAGTTAAAAAGTTTTGGCGGCTGTGGCGCCGTGCGGATTGCGCAAGCCGCGAGGGTCTGTATAAACAACAGGTCAACTCGGAAGCGGGATGGCACCTTCGTTTGATATAAACAATCAGTTAAAGCGAGGAACGATTATGCTAAAGAATGCAAACCAAATGAGTGAAACTAGAAAGCTGACACTTTTCACCTACTGTAAATAGAGAAAAACACATACTTTGCGATTTTAGTGTGACGTCATTTGAACTTTAAATTCCAAATTCGATTTTAAATTCTACTTAGAATAGGTGTTGCGGCGTATCTAAAAATTTCAAACACAAGTGGCACCACGTAAACGGATTTGTATTCAACTACCAAAACTCATCCACTACAAATATTTTAGTTGGAAGTAGCGGATTTATATAAGTTTATGAAATCGTAAGCGATGAAGACAATAGCAATGCTACGTAAAATGCGTCATAACATATTTAACTGCGTGGAATCTTCAATCTCCCGCGATTGGGCTATCGTGTTCATGGCACGGCATGCCATTTGGATCACTCTGACTAATGGTCCCCGAATCCTTTTGTGTAGTTATAATAGTTACCTAGGTACACAGAATTCAATGATGATTTTAGGTTTCATCCATGGAATCAGATTGAACTCCAAAATAAAACTGAACCTAATAGATTAATAGTGGCACTTTTGAGGAATATTTACCCTCCAATAAACCGACTTACATCTCTTTGAATAAATACACAAATGAGAGAAATGTATCCAACAATGAAAGCCCATAACTTTTAGACTTTTACTCTTTTATTTAATTTGGCATCAGATCTCTGAACTTGAGCACTCGCTCGCTTTAGAAGTTTTCAAAACGATATTATTCTCAAAATTAACAAACCGGCACTAAGAAAGCCGTTGTTGAAAAAAGCTTTCTTGCGATAGCCTATTAGCTGTAGGTAGTAACGGACAAAAATGTGAAGAAGAAGCATTTTCTCAGATAGGGACGAAGCAAAATTGTGGAGGTTGCATTAACCCTTGAGAAAGGAGTTTAACAGTAAAGCAATCTCCATTATCGAGAGCTGTCAATGACTGCAAAGTGAGGCTAGTAGGAGGGTGCTTCTAAAAAGATGAGGCTGAGGAACCCCCACTTTAAAAGTGAAGAAAGTGCTTAAAGTTGAAAATAACATGCAATTAAGGAAAAACTAGAAATTCCATTACCATAGTAGCTAAATAAGTGCACTCATTGAAGGCGGCATCGGAAGTTCACACAAGTGTAATGGACTAGCTTAGCAGTGACGCAATGAGGAAAAGTGGAGCATGAAGGTAAAGGAATGCCAAAATTTGCTTATTTACCAACCATTCAAAACACATTCCCATACGCACGTTTTTAACGGATTTGCAAAACGAGTATCTCAAAAGGAAGTAATAAAATAAAACTGACTTTACTCTGAGAAATTTATTTTCAAGGTGGACCCAGAAACAGCAGTAGCATAAGGAGTGATTTGGAAAATGAGACCGAACAACCGAAGGGTGGCTTTTGGTCTTATTTTTGCACTAAAATCCATTCTATGATTGAGCAGCCTTATTCCTCTAGATGCAACGGTTTCATTCTAAATTACGAATTAGTCATCATATTCGAAACGAATAAGGGTTAATGAACCTGCAGTTTTGAAGACGATAGAATATCTTTGCTCAAAACTACATACTGTCTTAAATGCAGTTAGAATGAAGCGTGAATTATCCTTTGCCTCCCCAGTGAACGAAATTTATTTATCGCTAAACTTCGGTGACTCGAGGAGATCGAAACCCAGATTCGTGAAATATTTTGATGACATTTTGTTTATCCATAAAAAAGGATATAATGGCACCCAAAATGAAGGCAAATCCTACTACTCAATTGCGTGTTGGTTTTTGCCACGCATTTAGAGTGTGGCATTTCACACTTGGAGCCTGAAAAGTCACATCATCGTGATGGATACAACATGCGACAGGCTGCGGGTTTCCTCGAAGGAAAAAGATCGCTAAAGCAGCTAAATGGTTATTTTAAATTCACAAAAAGTCGCCTTTTTTCAATCATTGCACTCGAGCAGATAACAGGCAAAAAAACTGCTTATTTTTCACCATTTTGCGTTTCAAGTGCCTGTTGGTCTCATAACATTCTCCAAAGAGCAGAATGATATTGACTTTAACAGGGTATGTAATCATATGAGTTTTATAGTAGCTATACCATTAGTTTATCATTCCTCGTCCGCGTCTATGAGAAAGTTACGTAAATACGCATGTAAAGCGACACAAAGGGGCACCAAACCTCTATTGCAAAGCCACAGCCTTACCGAAGTGGGCAGAAACATCGCTCAGAACCCCAGTACTTCAAAGAAGCATCCACAGAAAACACTTTCTGGGGACAGGAAAAAGTCACTCTTACTCCTTGATTTGAGAATGAAGAAAAGGTCTTAGGGGTCCATCCAATACCGGTAATCTGTCCAAAAGCGATGGCCACCGCAGACTCAACGAGCCAGGTTGCTGCAAGGAAGGTACCTCTACGACCCTTGCACATCGGTTTATCGGTCAGCCAGCCAAAAGAGAGTCTTGAAAAGAGATCCACTACCCCCGCGACTGCTATTGCCAAGTTAGTCTACAATACAAAAAAATAAGTAAAGGATCGCTTACAAATAACTAACAGATGATATGTTCATTGCCCCAAGACATTGGAACACAACGGCCATTCCTTGGTACAAGTCAGGCAGGAAACGTGCCTTTGTCAGTGGTACGTTTTGATAGCGTGAAAGAAGTGAAGATTTAATTGACGGTCCTTGAATTTTATTGCCCGCGAGTGGAATCCATTTGCTTAATGGTTTTCACAAGTCAGTTATGTGTTTCACCACTCACATTACACGTTGCTGAGATTTGCTGCTTACATGTTAATCTCGAATGATATTTTCACTAAGGCCAAGTAATTCTTCATTATTACTAAGAATAAGGGGTACTTATGAACGCAAAACGTGGAATTTTCAGGTGATTCGTTCCCAAGATCAAATTATTTGCTTAAAGTATTTCTGATCATACCTGTGCTTATGTGCAGTCTATGCTCAATCACACAGATTTCTACAATTGACAGGTTCCCACAAATGACAACCAATCATCCTAGCAAACCATATCGGCAATTCCCCAAACATTTTTGTCCACCTGATACCTATCATTGATAAATTACTTTATTGTAGATGACTGATAGCCCTAAGCTGTAATTCGCCCATCTGCAAATCTAAGATTAAATGGAATTGCATTAACCTATGATAAAATATACGTTTTTTCTTACGACTCATATAACTCGGCAAAACTGAAACGGAGTTAAATGTGTAAACTTCCGTTTGGGAAATCGCTTTGGAAATCTTGGGGAGAAGTAAACTTTTCACTTCAAAGTTAAGTTAAGGCTACTTTGACAGGGAGATTGGATTTAACCCATCTAAGAAGAATACTGCCATTTTATCAAATCGAAATCTCTCCAACTGCAGTAAGGTTTACCAAACACTGGTAGGGTAAACTCATATCCACATAGATGGGGCAGAGGCTATAATGGTAGCCAGTGAACCAGTAAGTCAAAAGCTAAACTAAAAAGTTCTTTTCTAACCCGTTTGAATTGTCCTAGTCACTGAAGCAAATGACGAATTAGCGTTTGGGAATTAAACTCGGATCTATAAACAATAATACATTTCACTTGAAATCGCAGAACTATTTTGACAGAAAAACAGGCGTCAGCCTATTTACTAATGCTTTAACAAATTCTCACCCCTCACCAACCCTTCTAGTTTGGACAAAATTGGACTAGCTTATCCGAAGAATGCGGTACTAAAGTACCTTCTTGCACGCCTATACTTGCCATTAACCAGTTTTTAATGGCTTGATGAATTAACGAGCTTCTGACAGCACCATAAAAATGCATACTTTTGCAACGAAAAACAATGTGTTCGTACAAGATATAAATTCTTTGGAAATTTGAACTTAGCTAGAGAATATAAAACCAGAGTAATTGAGTAATCTAATGGAGACTTTGTAGTTTATTAGCGGGAAAGGTGAAAACTGCTAGCCGTTTGAAAAATATTGTGGGTCAGAAAGGCTATTCAGACTGCATGTAAATCTAGGAAAATAATGAACTGCAAATACGACTGAAGCTGTAGCGATGAAGAATGCGCTTAATAAAATATGTACTGTATCTTCAATAAAACCTTTTCTTATCTACTGTATTTACCACGGATTCGCCTATTTCTGGAAGATCAGCTCTCTTAAACACGGCAAAGTTGACTGTATAACACTAGATGTGGGTCCCAAGCACTTCCCAAATAGCATCAGCTTAAAACTGGATAATTTAACAAATATCCAGCAAGATAATCACCTTTATTCTATAAATGTAACAACTTTAAACCAATTAGAACGAATGAAGATAGGCAAACCACTCAGATATTATGACACGACTTACCGTGTGAGCAGAGAAGCCAATTTGGGAACCGTATGGAGGAGCAATGAAGGATATTCCCACATCACCATTATCCGCAAACACCTTGCCGATGACGTAGATTATAAGGAGAGCCGTCGCCAGTCTGGCTCCTTTGTGTCCCCTCACCGGGGAATGAGAATACGTTACTGAGGCGTCGTCTCTGTGTGGGACGAGAAATGTGAGCCGTCAATTTAAAGGCAAGGATTCTGTTCCCGTCAAATATGCTATCCGTGGTACTACACCAGAATACTGCACCTGACTAGAGATGGATGGATGTTAGACAGTGTGGATGGCCGGATCGAAGTAACTTCAAGGCAGGAGAACTATCAAAATCACGTCAACTACTCCAATCCTAGGTAGTGCATAACGAATAGTGATGGCGCGAAACTTTACTGGATAGAATCGAACTGCTTACAGTGCAAATATTAAAAAGATGACTTAAACACACTACACTCCCATACGTATTTTCAAAATGCAAACTGAGTGGAAATGGGGAACGAATGTAAGACGTAAGCCAGCAAAGCTACTTCATTTTGTGCACTTTGTTGAACGGTTTTGCCTTTAGGCAAATGTTTCTGAGAAAAGTTTGAAGCGTAAAATGCAACCACCGTCGAGCCTTTGGCGACATATGGTAAATGGATCTCCTACAATGACATTAAAGATGCATCCACTGACATCGAAACAATGCACCACCATCGTTGATATCGGTGGTCTTTTTAACTTGATGAAAGACATTGCATGATCTTCGTATTCTTACCGTGTGTGGCTATGCTATATTCAATCTCCATATGGTGGCCGAAACAGGAGAGTGACCACAGACAGCGCCGATGATGAGCTCAAAATGAGGACTGTGTAGCAGGACATCTATTTTAATTCTATTTCTGACTGGCCAGACTAGTCCAATCCCTTATGGTTCCACTAAAGGATGAATATTTGCTCATGCTTTGTATCTTAATGGCATCTCAAATCTCCTCCACGTTCATTATAAAGTTACTTCCACGTTCACTTGGTTTATAAGATCCTTGGAGATAAAAAAAATATTGTAGCCCCTACACTTAGTCCTCAAAATACCTCTTCACTGTGTATTTTCAAAAACCATTATAGTGCCGAAGTGTTATCTAGATGCGTCCATGAGAGTGGGGTAAGAATGATTCAGAATATAACGTGATTAGTCTCTACTTGAAGTGATGTGAACTTAGCTTAAATTTCTGACAAAGGTGTGTGGAATAGCTGAGTATTTCCTTACGAAGAATGCACCAAATCCATAAACCCAAGCGTTGTAGTAGAAAACTAGGCGGGATTTCACCACGTCTACCGAACACTGACTAGCAAAAGACATGAGAAGGAGGACTGTTAGGATTAACAACTTCAAAGTAAAACAGGGAGAAATTGCTGCAAAAAATGCTTTATGGAAAACTATTGCAAACTAAATGCATCGGTGCCACCTTTGTGCAATTGCAGTCGTCCTATGGGAAAAGCAGCACATTATTTAACAGTAAGACCAAACAGACGGAAGCTAGAGTTGACATGTGGCGTCAAAAAATGGCCGCCTCTCCAACAAAAATCTTTTGCTAACAACTACTCTGATAATTAAACAGCCGGCCCGGGTGGGAGTAAATCAGTAGTAGTAGGACTTGCTAACCATCAGGAGCCAATAAATAGATATTCAGAGTTGCTATAACTGAAGAAGATAGGACTGATAGATTGTTAAACAAACTGCTACAAAAGTTCATCTGCAAGTATCGTCTAAAAAAACGTGTAATTCTAATAGTTTCGGCTTTCAGAGTCCACAATAAAACAAAGGTTTTTCTAACACCGATCACGGTTGGCCGAAACTAAGAAGGACAACCTAGGCATATCACATCGTTTACAGCAAAAACAGGAAGTAACATCGGCACCTGTTCGCTAAGCAGTGCCTAACAAAGTCAAGAATGCAGGGCAGAATAAGAGCATATCCTAAAAGGCCTTGCTGACAAGCCGAGACCTTATATAAGCACCATTTTTTGAATGAACGATTTCGAGTGGCAGAAACACTGAGCTTGAGAAGATATTTTGAACCACGTTAATACGTTTTTCTAGAACTCCAAACTAATAACAGCACAAGACCATGTAGGGGCTAATTTACTAAAAAAGATAGCAATTTAAATTCATTTATGGAATCAAAAAGGTGATTTGAGAATCACCAATAATTTAGCTATCTCCTTTTATCGTACCACATCCTTTACAGTTCTACTTTATATTCGTGGCTCCCACTACGATAGTAACTCCATCAGTTCGTTCAATTTTCGTATACGAATAAGGATATATAATTTGAAAATACTGAGACAACTGAACAAATTTGAAATTCCCTATGGAATATCAGTTATTGATTGCACTCTAACTTCGAAAGATTTTAACAATTGCAATATTGGCGTATTCGACAACAAGAACACTCTTCAGTCTTGCGTTCCTCACAAGAATGACCGATAAACTAGACAAAACGGGCCACTGAGTTACTAAAAGCAGACAACTGGGTATCCTATACAGATTTTCCACCCATTCATCGTCGTTCCCTTTTATTTTTATTCAAACTACTTTGGCTTAATGGCTTTTGATAGAAAATGGAGAGAGCGACTTCCGTGACTGAAGTTCGGCAGGTTATACGATGTAGATGACACTAACACTAATTGTGTGATCCGTGGTAAATCGGATGACAGCGCACCTACGTCTAGCATTAAAGCCGGACGGAACACGCAAGCGCACGCAAGGAGGATTTAACAGTGCCGCGAGTGCAGGGATGCAAATGACAGTGCCCGGGTCCAGTAAGTAGTATTCCCAAGTCGTTCGCAAAACCGATGTAATTTATCGGGTTAAGGAGAACTTTGGTGTATAGATGGAATGTCTTACACGCTCATTTGGATGTCATAAAACGTCAAAGGTGCCGGCTCATGTGAAATTTTCCCACTTCACTAAAATAAGAAGAGACATTTTGGAGTACGCCAGGAACGCGGACAACCAAACGAGAAGGGAACGCACCCGGACATGAGACTTGGAGAACAATTTAGCCACTAAACAACCTCGTTTGCGTGAATGATTCATCAAATTTGGCAACAAAATGCGTCGTCCCCTTTCAAGGCTAGAAGTGAAAGCGTGCGCGCGCTTGCGTGGCAAATCACTCAATTTTGCATACAGGACTGAGGGTGTCTGTAGTGCGATGCAGGAGTCGCTTGACATAAATATTTACCATATTCCATTCATTCGCATGGCCGAAATACTAGCGGTTCCAATCTAAAAAAAAGCAAACAAAAAAGAGGCTTTGCTATTTGCATATTGTAAACGAATAAGATGGCAGTGAACGCAAAGCCAGCCGACAATGATTTCGGATTAAGAACCCAACGAAGTCGGCTGGCATCGATGAGTGCCACTGGAGAAAGGTGGATGGAAAACCACTTATAAACATTGATAGTGAACTGTTCGCAAACCGAGATTTCTGTCGAAACTTGCGTAAACCAAGAAAAACAGACAACCCCGAAATTAGGCTTTGAAATCGAAGAGAAGCGAACGGCCGACCAAACGAACAAATTATAAATGACCGGATGTGTATTTTCACTTCTCATTTATTCTGAGGGGCTTAGTTGGTTTAACAGTAAAATACTTAAACGCTTAAATTTTCGGCATGAGATATAAAGGGTTAACTGCATAAGCTAAGTGCGGATCAAGGCATGAGTGGGACTAACAACTCCATCAGAAGCCAGCAAGAGGCTATATTAGCCGCAAAACTGGCATACCTCTAAGTGTTAGGCTTTCTTTATGTACTCGGTGGTTCTTAAAAGAATTTGATCTCAACCACATTCTTCTGTAAAGTATGCAATCTGGAAGACCTTAAGATCTTCGGTACAAAGTTCCAAGTAATAGCATCGATAGGACTTTCAAAAATCAGCGAAATCCGTGTGACTTGGGTACAAGGAGTAGCCACGAAAGTGGTTTCATAAAAACTTAAAAGCATTCTAGAGTATTTCTGATACGATAATCTAAGAATTCAAACGTTACAGAGACGAAAATGCTCTCAAGAGTATTCAGTATACCCACATGCGTTTCCGATATTCAAGATCAATGGTGATTATATGATGGAGTTAAAAATGCTTGCCAAGTGGACAAACTCTAATGTGATAGAGATGGAAGTGTCTTCACAATATTGGGTGCAGCATAGCGCATTTATGATATCCTGTCAGTGATCTACCTGGCCTGATTAATCCACAAAGCTACCAGTTACTACTACATGCCGCTCACAGGAGTACCAACTTGCTTCAACTCCACGAATGTGGGAACGCCTTATCACATGAATCTAGACATATACTTGGGTACAATTTGATAGAACTGTGCTGGATACTTCACACACATGAGAAAAAGTGTACTGGCTGCTGATTGGGTTTGTTTACATTTCGTCAAAACAACCAGCAATGTGAAAACACTAGGGTCTTGACAACTTCTCTAGGTCAATCATTTAGCACTCCAAAATTGGAATAATCACACAGTAAGCGCTTAAATTGATCTACTTATTCTACGTGGTTTTTACTTAAACCACCCAACCACTGAACCAGAGTTTGTAGGCACAAAGTATGAAAGAAGAGAGCGAGGGGCGACCTTACCTATGCTGCAGCATGGAATCAATCTCCTTTGTTTCAATGTCATCAGCACTACCTCCCAGAGGACTGGGGATAACACTAGAATAGGGTTCCTCCTGTTCTTCCTCCATACGTCGGGAGATTGAGGACGAGCTGGGAGCAATATCTGCCTCGGAGACGGCGTCCACCACATGGCGTGGCATGAGAGCCGCGGTGACGCAAAGATGCAATGAGAAGGCCGACATGATGAGGGTGCCCATGCGCACCCCGTAGCGCTGCAGCACAAAGGTGACGAGACTGGGAAAGGCCATCTGACCCACCGACACACCGGCCACGCTCAACCCGTTGGCGAGGCCCAGCTTTTCGCGGAAGCAGCGGCCAACCACCGAGAAGATGTTAAAGTAGACACAAGAGAAGGAGAAACCTGAGTAGAAAATCGAATGGTTACAAATATAACCCTTGAGTCAATGTGGTGATGCTTATGCCTGCATGTGCTTCATGCATTATTACTGGGTTTAACAGGGTGGTAACCGATCTTTGATGTCCCAATTGCGTGCGAATTATAAAGTTGATGAAAGGCAAATCTCAAGATGATCTACTCTGGAAACAAAAATGGGAGTTATTAAGGTTCCTGGGGTTCTAATTCCAGTTTGATGTCACAATAGGCAAGTCACGATAAAATAGCATTGCCATCGACCCCATTCGATAAAGTCCCAACGAAATTAAAGGTCATTCGAGGAATTAAATGTCGCGTTCTCTTACCTTATAACTAAGGGTAAACGAAGCAAATAAGCACATATTTTATACTACAGTATTTTCTAAAAGGCTGCAGTGAAAATAGGTGGAAACGACAAGCAAACAAACAAAAATAACTGTTTATTTTTAGGGTCATCTAATTATGGGGACCTATGTGGATTTTGAATTTGTTAACGGATTTTCGTACTCCAGGCGGGCCGTTGATGATTAAGGCCTGGCTTAGTAAGTTCATTCGTTTCAGCATCGCATTGCCACAAGGTTCTTTCGGGAACCTGGTATTCTGAGTTTGGCGGCCGCTAAATTTATGACAAGAATCTTTGGTAGGGGTTAGATTTGAGAGATATAATACAGAGAAAAAAGGTGAATTCCATTGAAAATTGCACGATTTACGGAAGCAACTGGTTATGCTGCTGTCGATACAATGAAGATAGCTTGAAAATAAGTGGCATAGAAAAAAATGCTTAGACATTTGAAAACCGTTAATAAACGCTAGCAGCAATCAGATCTACCAGTTAGGTCAAGCTACCGAGTTTGAAACTCAACGCAACTAAGACAACATTTTAAACTTTTCTTGAAAACGGCGATAAACAAAAGCGTAATTCGGGTAAAATAAGAAGAAAAAGGGGTGTTTGGAATGGGTGAAAGCCTGCAAATTCCGATCCGAATAATCAAAGTGGCGATAAATATTCTTCGATAGGCAAAGGGTGTCAAGCAAATGAGCCCATGCCGTTTAAAGGACAAACTTCCCCAATTGATCCAACATGCTCACGCCATCATCCATAATTTCTACCTTTCAGTAAAGCCCATAAAGGGAAATAGAATTTGAATTTTAGGATAAATTATTGAAATATTTCGACATTATCAACTAACAAGCAAATCGTAAAGTGTGGGAACCCACTAGCAGAAGCAGTAGTAGCCTAGATGTACAAGCATCCGATTTACTAGTAATTTTGAGTACTTTTAATAGCGATGGGAACAAAATATACTTCAATGAAAACCACAGCTCGAATAGAGACACTAGAAAAACCCAAGCTGCGAGATTGCAATGGTTCATGGTAGTGAATATTGAAACGTCACCGAAAAAATAACGGATAAAAACCACAAAAACAATCAAAATATGGGGTGATGTTTGTTAGTGAGGGTCGTGCAGCAAACGGTACCCCCAAGACGTCCTTGTAACAGGAAAATCTGTGCCTCGAGCTCAGCTAAGCCCAAATAATAATTGCACTTTTCACTTAGGCACTTTAAATCGAGGAATGGTTTGTTGAAAGAACAACCATTTCTGGTCAAGAGGCGTTCTCATTCATGCGGTTAGTAAATGGGAATGCAAATGCAAAAAATGATTCTGGAATAGTTAAAACTGTCAAAGAATAGTATTTTCCCCTCAGTTCTCCGTGATTCAGCCACCAAGCTGGAGGTTTAAGGCTCCGTTCTGCTGTCTGTAATATACTTATTGTTGCTGTGCTGTACTACTTGTATTGCACAGTGGGAATAAACGCAGCATATGCTATAATGTCTTCAAGAGTAGCCCGGGCACCATACTACGGCAATTGCTTTAGCCTCATTTCCATTAACGATGTAATCCGAAACAAGACAGCTGATTGAATAGATACCTTAGAAGGGAAATGGATAAGGTAAAAAACCACGACAACAGACCTACATAGTAAAGCGCAGAAGCAGAAACCCCATGATCTCTTTACATACAACTTCGCAGTTGAAGGAGGACAATTCTTCTCTAAAGATTATCCGTTCACGGTCTTAGGAACAGCATCCAATGAGTCACCGAGACCTTGCGCGCTGTTGACATTACAAGCACTCACGCAAGGCCATACACGCTTACACACTGTGTACAACCAAAAGACTCGAGTATTTAAAAATTTTGCAAAAAAATTTGTTTCCTCATTCCTGTCGCAAACAGAAAGAAGACGTATTTTAGATGGATCATCTCAAAATTCGCCTTAAAGTTATCGAAACGGGTCGATTTTAAGGATTCTGCACTACAGGAAGATTTTACCATTTCCTCGATTATTAGAAATGTAAATCACGTACTATTTTGTCAACCTGAAAGTTAATAATGACGAAAAAAGCATAGGGGGATAGGGATCGACGAGAGCATCACAGAGATTCCATATCATTAATCAGGGGGTTTAAAAAGGGGATGTCCACGTCTGAATCACAAAGCAGTTAAAACCGGTGGATTTTTGATACGTCACTGTATCTCAACCTTAACATCGAAGCGCAGCATTGGCTTCCTTTCCTACGCCCCATTTCGTGGACAGACCAGTGGACGAGGGGGATCGCATCGAGCGAAAACTGGCGATCTCCCACCAAGGAATGGACAGTGATATTGAACTGGAAAATTGGATTGAGTTACAATACAAGAACGTATCTATTTTCCTCACTGAAATTCAACAAGATCTAAAAAGAAGCATTGAAGTTATTCCGACGTACCGGAATTAAAACGAAATTCGTGAACATACAACAACAATGTTCGACTCATTGGCAAGGCAAAGACAGCTTTTTAAAACAAAAAAAAAGCCAAGAAACAGTGCTTTATCAATGGAGGCATAATTTTATTCCCAAATTCGGGCAAATTAGAGTCCATAATCAACAAACTGTTTACTCTTGCCCATCCCTGAACTTCTTGAGACCACTTTCTTAGGGCGAAAATAGAAGACATCGTTCACTGTCTTTCACTGGTCTTGAGGTACATCACACAAAATTAATTTCCAATTTCTACACGAGGACAAGACCCTCGCAACATATGATCGCATATGCGCGTATGGAATCCCAAATATCCTTTTCTATGGGTGGTAAGCTATCGGAAAATGGGGTCTTTCGTTAAAACCTTTAAGAAGCGTAGAATGCAAGAAGGCGTCTACCCAAAAACAAAACGTATTAGTATTGTAAGTCCAACCCCCAACCTCACTTTGTGTCCGTGGAACGAATTGTTTAAACATAAAATAATTTACTTTCTTCGTGCCGGAGATAATAAAACCGATATGGTAGGGTTCCGGTTCCCGCTCATATTTTTAGCTATCAATGTGATCTTTTCTCCCAACCCTGAGTGGTTGTCATAATTTACACCTTCCCTCCGTTGAAATTGGCAGATGAACAAAATTGACTGATAACATTTGTACGACTAAAGCATTGACACTATTTTAGGCTCTATGGAGTAATTAATACAACGACGATAGAGTTTTCTTTCTCACTAATAATTTCTGAGGTTCTTTGCCTTTTTTTGTGGACAATAATAATAAAACATTTCCACCAGTCCACAGTAAAATTGACGGATAATCATCTCTAGATAAACAAATCCAAGTTGAGCATGGTGTGAACAAAGTGATGCGATTCAGAAGCAAATTCTGCAGAGTAATCTGAACCCACATCAAGGCTTCTAATTCTAAACCCTCATACAAAAAGATATGCTATAGTGGTGTTACCACCCACAGTGGTAGGTTTCAGGTGTGTTCAAGTGCATAACAGTAGACGGCACACAGATTAAATCCGGTCCAATCCAAACATTACGAATTAAAATCTGAGGTTACGAGGGGTAGCGCGTGAATGCAACAATGTGTGGCGATGAACCAAATATGCTGTGATCCAGGGCGTAAATCCCGCGGACATTCGATTCGACAGACGAATTCAATCGCAACACGGTAACAGTGGAATGCCCAGTCATCAACAGTAAGACAAGTAAGTAAATGGTGTAAGCTTTTCAAAAGCAGCCCCACTTTTGCCAGTGACATGATGGTCGTCAGTACCCTACCGAGGCGGTCATTTCTGTGCATATTTGGCACGTCGGAACAGCGTAAAACCTGGTATAAAATGCACAAGAGACGAATTGTGCTCCAAGAGCAGTGAGCAATTTGGAGCCTTTGCGCACGATGAGTTCCAAGGTAGCAATCACAAGGTGAAGCAAACTCGCCTAGAATGATTCAGCCGTAGTGACAAATCCTTGTATCCTGAAGCAACTTTCATGGTAATGATTGAACGCTGGATTGAGGATCGAAGTATAAATTCTGTTTGGTTTAAAACTCCCTCGCAACTTGTTAAATACATTCTTGAAGCATGATGACTACTTGATTTTGCTATAATTCAATTTGTTTCTTACCGTTGAAGCTAACTAGGAAGCAGCAATTCTGAAATATGGTGATGCTGACATCTCCAATAACTTGGTGCTACATTGGCCACTTCAGTAACTGGTCGCAAATAAAGCAGAAGAGACTAAACTGAAAATGGAGAGGGAGATAATGAGCCATTCGCACTGCTTATTTCTATTCCAAGTGCGCGTATTGAACTGGTCAGCTATCCCGATCTAAATGCAAACGCGAACCGGTAGATACTTATAACAGCAGTCTGATCATCTGATCAAGTACTAACACAGTAAACTGTGCCACGAAAAAGACATCGCAAACAAGATAATTTACCTACACCTCCGCCAATGGCAATGGCCCAGACAGTGACGGTGGGTGCGACAGAAGCGACAAGGAGACTGATGCAGGCACTGATACCACCGATCATCACAACCGCTCGATCACCGATGCGCTGCACCACAAAGTGGTTTGGGAGGGCTGAAGTGGGCAAAAGAGCCGTGATTATAGGATTTTCTGCCAGCTCCACTGTGATTCCAATAATTCTCAAGTTTGAGATCAAGGATAGCCCAAACTCTGCATGCAATGCAGGTGATTGGCAAAAAGAATGTAAGGCACCTATCGGCGAAGGTGCCTCAACACCTGGGGATTCCAATTTACAGGTACACAGCAAAATAAAGATGCCACTGTGGCAATGCTACACGCAGTAGTGTCACTTTCAGTCGCCATATATGTAGGAGGACAGTCCAGTCGAGTCAAGGCACTAATAGGTAAGACCGGACTGAGTGCATCCTAAGAGGGTACAGCGTGTGGTGGTTAACAGTTTCCTGAAAGTCAAGGCATAAAACTCGTCCTCATGGATATCCATTCGTAAAAACGACTTCAAGAACAGTGTAAAGCCATTGTAGGACACTCAGGGACACTAATATTTATACTGGCGTCAACGGTCGAAGACGGTCTTACCTCCACCACCGTGGTAACCCTCAATGCAAAAACTCAGCAATCATTCTTGTGAACATTCAGACAGCACATCCGACGCCTGTCTGATTCTGAACATCTGGCGGACGCATAATCATCCGTGGATCTGTACGAGATGCGAACCTCCTTGTACAAACTTTCAACACAATCATTCCCAAGGATTAATGAATATGAACACAACCCACACTGGGCACTAAGACACCTCTCCGTACTTCAGCGCCAATGACAAGGCGAAGGCAGCTGTTCCAGGATGATTCAGTCTTGCTATCAATTTTTCTTCCATGTAAAAGCCCTTTGAGCACTGTTTAATTGCTTTGGTGCGTTCAAAAATGAGAAATAAAAAAATAAAAGCCATTTCTACTTTTTAAAAAGTGCCCTTTTTTGCCTTGAACACCACGGGAATGGATAAAATCGGGTGCAAAAGACTAGCTTCTTTCCCAAAACGGAAATGAGTTGTCGCTAACGTGTTGCATCAGTGTATTCACTTTACTTCAGTAAGTAAGGGTACTTAAGAGGTTAAGAAGGATACGCCTTGTGCAATTTACGCGAATTACGGTTAAACAGACGCTCAGGCCACGAAATACCCAATGGAAACAAATGGAGAAAAAACGAAACCAGGAGGAATGTCCCTCTGAATAATAAGAGGCATTGGTTTTACTTAGCATTCGAAAAACAAATTACAACCTTTCCTTGTCCTTTTAAAAAACGAGAAAGGAAATGAAAATTGATCGAAACCTTCACTTTTAGGGGAACTTAACGCACATGGGGTAGTCATTTATCATCATTTCTAACGGATACACGTTTGATTGTATAATTACCTTGTTTACCAAAATAAGTTTGTCGTAAATACTTTTAACAAAGATCTGTCACTACGAACAACTGGAGTAAATGCCCAAAATACCGCTCGGAAAATTAGTTGCTGCACCCATGCATCTATCAAAGCAGGTTGAAACCGAAAGGCAAAATAAATTGCAGCAGATGAAAAATTAATGGGGTACCTGTTGATTCTATGTGTCGGAACTAGAAGTAAATTTCACATGCCATTGCATTCAGCCTGTGGAAACGAAATGTGTTTAAAAGTCACCAGAATTAGGGGAACGGAGAATTGGTCCATGTGAGAGAGGTAGGACCACAGAAAATTGCCCTTCTCCACGTACTCTTATCAATTGGCATTCACAGGCGTCTAAGGTCTATGAACTCTAACAAATTTGGCTGTTCCCCTTCGCGTAGCATTAAAGGCCCATCGAACTTTATATTTCAAGACTCCGGAGCTGTTGCAGCGAAAAAAACAATAATTCTGAGGAAAGGAAACTCGGAAATCAGACACTCAGACGATGATTTTTGGCTCAGTCAGGGAAAGTGGCCGCCCCATGGGACTTTTCGCCTCATCTTCCAATGATCGATCAAGGAGGGAATTGGATGGGTGGAACTTACTTTAAAAGCCTGTTTCACATAAAATAACAGATCTCTCATAGCGTATGCTTAACCGCGACGTTTTACCACTGGCAGCTTTCCAGCCCTCCTTTACGCTAACGGTAAGCCGGGGTCATAGCCCAAAACATGATGGCTAAATCCGTGATTCACTTTGTGGATTCACTCATTTGTTTTTTTTAAATTAGAGGGATTTTTTAACACTGAATGACTGGTAAATAAACATTTCTGGTCATAAAATGATGTGATAAGTCGGAATTGCCTCCATGGCGTAAAATTTTTGCTTTAATAAGCTCTCAAAATTTCCACTGGGCAGTCCCGCCTGCTTCAACCCATTAAATTGAAATTGGCTTAGAGGAAATAAAGGAAAAAATAGGCTAAGCTATGCTCTCAAAACCTGTAACAAAATAGCTGAGAGAGGAAAAAGAAAGTAAAGAACGTGCGAATCCGTGCCCTGGGAGCCTAGGTGGATATTGAGAGTAAAGCGACTTACAAAGGATAAACATAAGCATGTAGATTATGCCACCCGTTAGGGTGAATATCGCAGTGGGCGCCTCGAATTCATCCTGAAAGGCATCCATGATGATGCCATATGACTTGCCCAATCCACCCAGCAGAAAGTTTGCGATGAAACCACCTAGACGAAAGAAAAACAATTCGGATGTAAATTTAGGATAGTGCTACATCCCCGGTTTTCGCATAGACAAGAAAGAAGAATTTCAATCCCCATGGAGCAGTTCAGTCACAGTGCGACTTGCAGTAAGATGAGCCGTCTTTAATGCCGTTTTCCGAAAGATAAAGAAAGCATTAAAGCATTGGGATATTGAAGCATCAAAGAAAACACACACGACTCAGATTAACGAGACATTTGTGCTGGAAATAAGCAGTAAGGTCTATAATTTATTGGAGCATACTACTCCCAAGCACATTACAAGTAGCTTTTAAACAGGTATGGCAGACCATTGACTGTCTTACAGCCAAAAAGAAGACTGAGAATAACAAACAAGAGAGATGAATTTGATACTGATTGGAATGCCAGAACTAAGAAATTACCGACCAAGGATGTATTTATGTCTCATTATTTTAGTCTTCAATTTCTATGAATATTCAATTGAAGAGTAGTGTTAGACGTAAGATGAGTTTGGCACTGAACTGAGCGACTGTCGACCAATGAAGTGCTTGTACTTAAGACCTTCAATGACCTAAACAGCCCTACTCTTAGGTGCAGAGTGAGTTTTGGCCTGTAAAATGCATCATATTTTTTGTTATTTTTACTCCGCGGTTTGAGCAGTTACAACAGCCGGTAAGAAACATACCACGTAAACACGGCACCCTTTTGCCCATGGCAGCATGTCTTTGTGAGCCTGCCAACCAGTAGGGTGGGAAGGCTGTTTCGCATTACTTGGCTTGTCCACGGCAAACGGATGGATGGTGGTGCGTATGCGTGTGGGTGTCTGCAGTTGTACCTACTGCCCCACCCTCTCTACCACGCCATTGCCACCACTGCCGCCACCGTTATTTCCCAGGTTGGATTTTGGAAGTATACTAAGTGTTTTATCACTTTTAGTGGTCGAAGCACTAAGCCGAAAATGCATTAATGGGTTCCAACCAAAATCTGGAATCGGATACGATCTACGAAGCTGGAAAACCGAAATAAGATCATCATCAAATTTTTGCAACATCTCCGATGAGAACAATCCATACACACCGTAGAATTAGCTTCAAATTCAAACATTATTTTTTTTTGATGGAAAAAGAGTAAGCATTACATTTTGAACCCAAAATACGAAGCATAACTTGAAGAAAGGTTCAAAAACAGTAAAATTACTGCTCATAAAAATGGGATTCAAGCACAGTGCAAGTGAACTAAATAAAATTTCAGCAGATAAAAGACAGCCGCATAAGTTTGAGGAATTGTTTTCCCTGAAAAAAAAATACAGACCCACCAAAATCTTCCTTTTACTGAAATATTAACCATCGAAACCCTCCTTCCTTCCGAACGAGACACAGGACAACTTCGGAATTCACTTTTAAAAAGAAAAATCCCGGCTTGAGGAGACACCTCCTTTTCGTTCAACAGCATATTCTACTCCTATCTGTTTATTTCACTTATTATGTGAATGTGACTGCCAGATCGCGAGTAGGGATGGTAATCATCACTTTGCGAAATATGACCGCGAAACTGACGGGGATGAAGCAGAAGAGGCTGTACCGCCCCATCCTAGGGTGCGGGTCTTGCCACGAGCAGATATGTTTTGCTGCAGTATGCGATATGAGGTCTTGCGCTGCCTTGCAAGAATGCAACTTCCTTTCTACTAGTTGACTAATTTCGATTGTTTCTTAGGGAGATGTTTTTATCGCACACCTTCTAGTTGCTTGGCCTTCAGCAAGCTAAAAAGTTCTGGCGGACAAATGCTTCGACACTTCACCATACACAGCAAATATCGTCTTTTGGGGGCGAAGTGGTGCGTGGGCCTCAGAATGGTGATGTGGGTGATGAGTAAAAGAATCGCTTGGGAATAAATGACTGATTACATACACCCATTTCCCGTCAAAAGTCAGTCAGCGAACGTTCCTTTCCCATAGTACATTTTTTGTGGTGTGAAAGAAGTGAGGAAAGTTAAGTGAAAAACAGTGATAGCTTTTAGAGCTTATGGTCCATCATGCGCTGTTAATACAAGTGAATAGCGCACATTCGCCGAGTAACTGCCCTCCGAGCTGAGGCAGGCGTCAGCTAAATGATTTGTCATTCGCGTTGCTGAAAGTTATCATTTACATGTTAATGCGGAATGATATTTTGTAATAGCGACACGTGAGTTTTTGGTGCTATCAAGAATGAAGTACTCCTTAGTGTGACGCATTGCACTTTGAGTGATGCATCAATACAATCAAGTGATTTGAGTCATTTCAGAACATACCTGTCCATTCATAGTATCCAATTCCATGTATTTTACAAGTTACAACAAGTGACAACACGTCGTTGCTGTGATCTACCCGGATAACCATAGAGAATATTTCGGTCACATGACAATTGATGCCAAAAACAAAAAGGGACTAGTTCGATGTTTGCCAATGTCCTGTAAAAAGCTCACATTTTCACTCAAAAATAGCGAAATATTTATTTGGTTTTCGCTAAGATTCTATAAGATTTCAATGAGGAGATCTAAAGAAAACAATTGAACGTATGAAAGTAATCTCATGATGAATGCGGACCGGTATTGCAAGCTTAAAACCGGTGTCTACACGAGAAGCTTAAGCAACTGGTACTTTTACTACCGTCCACCTGTTTCATCCGTGAGACGTACCTTATCAGGCATCTAAATCGAACCCAACTGTTCATGCTAGCTCAAAAAGCCGGAAACTGAAGCTAAAAGATTTACCATTGACAAATAAGTACAAAGTGTGAAGGCCACCGGAGGATTTAAGTGTGCAGGTTTACTTTTTAGTTGAATGATACCACTCTGTTAGTGAGAAGCATGGGTGAAGGTATCTATTTTGCGCTTTTTACAGATATCAAGCGATGTCACATGGAAATATCCATCGCCTTACTATTTTAAATAATTGTTTTGGGTGTAAAAGTCGTGTCACAGCTCTATGTATAGTAGGAACTTGCATAAACCCTGACATTACAGCGTAGTGAAAGACAAACGATATAACAGTTCAGTCATCGGTTAAATATTGTGTAGCGGGAACCCCTGTAAACCAAATTGACCGCGCAAAAGGTTCCTTAGCATCTAAAATATGACATTTAAGACCCGATTAAATTGGTGATGAGGAAATAAAACCCGCTGCAAGGCATGTCGTCGACCACTGATGGGTCGTTACACATATGCACGCAGTCAAAGCGCATTTTTATTTTAATGCTTGGTTACTGGTCCAAATTGAGTGTTTGAAGACGCAATATAAAACTCTCTCTCCAAGCGCCACAAACACAAACTAAGACGGTTTTCACGATTAGGGAAAAAGTCTTGCTTGTTTATTTTGAGTGAATAAAGGGTGGTGCATGAGAACACACATAATTACAATACTTGTTCAAGGTAGAGCCATTATCTGAGACGAACAATATATTATGCTTCACAGGTATGCATTGAGAAACGGGCTGATATGAGTCAAAGTATAAACTTCCAAAAAAAGTCTAATACCACCACTAGGGTAGACGCCATTGGCTACTGGAATTCATTTCATAACAAGAATCTGCAATTATCCTATTGTCGTTTACAACCATAAATTGTTCAAGTAAAAGTTTGTGAAAATCCACCAAATAACCATGGAAGACGAATTGTAACACAGCAGTACCATGCCTAGGTGGAAAAGGGAAAAGCAAACTTACCCAAAACAGTTCCCCAGGCACGAGGACTATCCACTACGACCGTCGCCATGACCAGGGAGTGAACAGACTCTTATGAAGCGCTGGAATAAAAGGTCAGAATGCGTTTAATGGAACTTAGTCTGGCAGCTACCTATCTCAAGGTCTAAATGGAAACACTTCCAGAACAAAAAGTGGGGGATCCGTCAAATGGAAACTTGAATTTATTACAAGATTGTGTTAACTATTCATGCCGTGGTGGTTAAAAAGGATAAAACCGGGTAGGATTCACAAAACAAAAAAGGCAGTTTAAAAACGATGACCCACTACTTCACTTACAGTTAAATGAATGTGATAAACAACCTAATTTAAAGCACTCCGTGTTCGACAGTGACTTATGTGAATCTGCTTTCGTCAACAACCGTAAGCCCAAATATTAGAGAACACAACAATACAGTGCTAGTATAGCAATGAATACAATGAAGCATTGAATGTAGGAAATAGTCAATACATAGTAAAAAATGTCATAAAAACAAAAGCACTCAAGCGTATTCAATGTACATATTTGGTGGTAGCAAATTTTGTATTATGATACACATTGGCGAGGGTAAATGCGGATGAAATTCGATATTAATCAGGCGAATAGTCCGAAACCCGAGACACATCAGCTGTCCAACCATCAACACCGTCTCAGGACGTTCCCGGCTGAATTCTGCTAAAGTTTAACCTCACGCAATAAGCTGCGATTTGATTGGACAACTTGTGTAGCTAGATGCCGAATAGGATTATGTATCAGCAGAACAAATCAAAACTAAGCTGGATAGGCACGTGTGATCCTAAGTGGTAAGAGTTACACAATTCAGTTTGCAATAAAAGAAATTATATCTCCTGAAAATATACATTAATGAATCACGGTGACGAGAAGCAAGCCCCAAGGCCCGATGCAAACGACCAATGGAGTGCCTGTCAGTTTCCTAGGTCACAACCAAACGATAAGAATAGCGTATGTAAACAAAACTAAAAGAATTTATAAGGATAAGTGCACAAAAAACCTAAGCATTGTCATTGCGATCGCCGCATTGGCAGTTATTTAGATGTTTTATTTTGCATACTTATGGGCAATTATCAGACATTTAAATTAGTTGTACCAAACATTCTTAACGTTTTATTACGCAAATCCTCAAAAAAATTAGAAATAGTAACTTGGATCAATATCGCAGCACAAACGTTGCTTAATAGCATTGCCTTTTTTGAGTTGGTGTATGCCTCGTCACTATAAGTAAGGTCTCGTAGTAATTTAGCAGACTGCTTCTCTTTGTGCTTGGCTCGGTGAGTTCTACCAAGGGCTAAAATTTATTATCTTCCTGCAAAAGTTGCATAATACTATTGCTGTGGTTAAATAAAAGCTCAAGAGATGGAACATTCAGGTGGCGAATCAAAATACACATCATAACCCCATATTAGCATGCTTCTCATGTAGCGCCCAGAAACTTCCCTAAAGACAAAAGAAGCCAAAGTACTCGGACAAAATATATATGCATATGTTTGACATACAGAAGTATAGGGTCTCGAGACTCTTCGAAGACAATGTAAGACATAATACTCGGGCAGATTATATATAGAGCGCAGAGAAGGTGTCTGGACTATTGGCATGGCCGAAAGGCCAGCCCACCCAGCGAGATACATGAGGGCTAACTTGAAAGCTTAAAAGTGGTGCTTCACCAATACCGAAGGATAAACCACTATCGTATTACAGAAGGTATTTGGGCTGCTGGCATGGCCAGAAGGCCAGTGCATCCGGCATGGTACAAGGGCCAATTCAGAAGTGGCTCCTCACCAAAACAGATAGTTAAACAACTAACGTATCGAATAACTCCTCTCCTCTTTTCAGCGTCGTCCCTGCTTTTTCCTTGTCCGACCTCCCCAGTCAGCTATTACAACGTAGTTGGTGTTGTGAGGAAACACTCGCGACCCGGCCGTGCCAGTCGTCGAATTTCTGAGCAACTGCGGAGATACTTAACCTTAACGTCACTGATCCCTCTTGGCAATTCAGTTGGATCTGGGGTTTCGTAAGATTTAGGAACTGGATTCACAAACGGTGAATTGTGCTGGCCATCATACGTGTCCATAGATAGACAAAGGAACACTGGCCTAAAAGCAGACTCATGTAATGAAGGACGGGATTTAACGCAGGTCCATGTGATGGGGGAGGGGTCCCGCGTCCGTTCCTCCTTGCCATGTTGTTCTAGCTTCGGAGCTGCCTAGTCATATCCATGATGGCTTTATCTAACTAGCAGAAAAATGGGGAGGTATCACAGGTTCAGTTTATCAACAGCTTTATGCAGCTGCGGTAGGGGAAGTCTTAACGAAACTTTTAGGTAGTTCACGGCTAGTGTCGCTTCAGTCGTTAATAGCTCACCTACGGAACACGGGACTGGGGTTGTTGCCGAGTCATCTCCTATTCGCCCATCTGTACCATATGTACTTCTTCCACTCCACTAAGTTTTAGCATCCAGCAGTAGAAATTCGGAGAGATGTCCTTTAGGATCGGGTTCACTTTTTACCGTAACCCATGTAGAGTCTCAAGACTTCCCTGAAGACGAAGGAAGACATAGTTCCAGGGCATTGTATATACGTATATATTCGGCATATAGCAGGTATTTGGGCTACTAGCATGGTCCAAAGGCCAGCCCACCCGACTTGGTACAATGGCCAAGTCAAAAGTGGCTCTTCATCAAAACCGAGAGTTAAGCAACCAACGTATTACATCTACATTTATAGCCATTCTTTGAACAGCAGAATAACCTGTTCTGCTCTGAATTTTTTCTTTTGCTTTTTAGGTTAAGTGACGGTTTAAATAGAGCTTTACTCTTTTCTGCCTCTAAGTTATGCATATCAATGTATCGTTATCTGCCCGTCTTGCTTACTATTTTTAGAGCCTTCATGGGAATAAACCTGGAAATCCCTATCAGTGGTCTTTGAGCTACACTTGGAACTACCAAATGTTCCATGAAAAACGCAAGAATATTGTAGTGAATTTTTGTCTTCTCAGAATTGAAATCTCCAAGTATCGTTTGTTTTATGAAGAGGTGAGTAAGAGATGCATTTTCTGACATTACATTTATTTTCTCGTTGCCACCTTTGGTGCGCCCAGACACTTAAGGGGGACACATTTAAATTTCGTTAAGACATGATTTCATATTGAGGTCCAAGATTCCGGTTCGTGTCTTTAGGATTGACTATTCATTGTACACGATGCAAATTTAGTAGTTCGTGCATGTTGCTCATGGGGAATTTAATAGTGTGTCAATTTCGCGTCTTCCAGATTCGTTAGTTTCTAACTTCTCCCAATGATACCTGTTAATAATATGTAAATTTTAAGTTGTGAATGACAGGGACACGGATATAAACCACAACACATTTGTTTGAATGTATTCGTAGATTGTACAACAGGAAAACCATGGGGCATTAATATAGGACCGGTTTATTTGAAGATAATTTGCCTCACTCGCAGTTTCTAGGTCATTTTTGTCGTACTGTTCACTAAATATGATTTGTAATTTCAAGTCATTGAGTGGCTTTATTGCTTTATTTGCAAAAAATCTCTATTCATTTGTTCGGCTAGTTCGTAGCAGGTTAGTCATGTGCTGGATGACCCCACGCGACCTACATTAGCATCTCGTTATTTCTTCGAGACATAATTAGTAACTAGACGAACATGATTGCCTCAATCGCCTCTATTTGATCTTGAGGACTTCGACTTTTGGGCCATAGAATATCTAGGATACCATCTACCCCATACCTAACGTCGCCTTGACAACTAAGTTACTTCTGGAAACCCGATAAGTACCCAGCCAAAGATCACAGGAGGGCTGCAGGCCCATTAAAAAATGCCACTATCGGGATAAGGAAGCTGAAACCGAGGGGACTGTAACTTCTTCATAACTCTAAAGTGTAAGCAAGACAATCATTGGCATTATTTCTTCCTCAATTTGAAGTAAGGCATTGTTTAACCACCCTGTTCAAATTGTCCCAGATTCTTCAAAACAATGTTGGTTTTTAATTTCACCCGGAATATATCGAGTGTAAAAAAATGGGTTTTATTACCCTTAAAAAGTAAAAAAAAATTGTTATAAAGATGCCTCAGTAATGGTGGATCGTAACTAACCTATAATCTTTTGTTACTCCCCCATTGGTGTCAAGTCTTACAAATCCCCACCATAATTGGACAATAAGTACGCAAACAACACGCATCTCGAAAACATATTTTCAAATCATCTAAAGTTTTGGTGTCATTAAAAATGCATTTTGATCATTCTCTCATAATAACTTAGCTTTTGGGTTTTCCGTAAGGTTTCCGAAATTGACGTTAGTTGCAGGACATTGAGAGAAGGTGTCTGGGCTATTGGCATGGCCCAAAAGACCAGCCCACCCAGCGAGGTACAAGGGGGCTAATTCAAAGTACGAAACTGACGCCTCACCAATACTAAGGGACAAACCGCTAGCGTATTACACTTTATAGTAACCTTTCCAACCGTTTGTCGCATGCCCTCTTATCTCTTAATTGTTTGTAAATTATAAATTTTGTTTGGTTGTTATTAGTAGTTTTATAGCCATCTGTATCAAATTTTTGACACGAGCAAGTGCTTGTAAAGTGAACATCTACATCTACTGCACTGACCTTTTTGATCTGATTCTGTAATGAAGTGATCATACTGCCATGGTTCAAGTAGACGCTAGGAAGTTGTTACGTGACTTTATCACGCTTCATTCTCATGATTGTTTACGGAGGCTGTATACTTTTTTACCAAGCAGACGGTCTCATTATTTACTTTGGATTTAGTGTAAATCTAAAAGAATTGTTGGACTTTGCTATTAACTAGTATGTTGAATAAGAACACAGTTTTGATTCAGCCATAGGTGTAGCGGATATAATGCCTAGGGGTGGGTGCTATAAGCAACTCTCATTAATAAAATTGTTTTCCTCTTTTATTAGTGGGTCGTAGAAAATCCATTAACCCCTGCAGACATTTATGCACTTCGAGGAAGGGCCGCTTTGACCTGAAAAGGTCCGAAATCGCGAATTACTTGGTCAACTGAAATGACCTTCATGTGAAGGAAAACTTTTTGGCTAAAAAAGAAATATGGTTGGTGGATTCAAGCCAAACCAGTACTTACCACTTTGTAGGCATACGGCAAAAAGGGGCACTACCATGGCAGCTCTGTACGCGGTAGTGTCAAGTGTGTCCTATCAGCCACCGGTCCAGTCGATGTGAGGCACTGACAATCAAGATGACACTACTCAAGATAATAGTGAATCGTTCTCAGAGCATGCAGTGTGTAATGATTAACAAAGCGTCTTGTAAGTCAACACAAAACCCTTTCCTACGGGCATTCATTTGTGAAAACGACTTCAAGGACAGTGCGAAGCTGTGATAAGATACTCAGCCACAGCGATATCCATGTTGGCGTCAACAGTTTAACGACGGCCTTACCTCCATTAATTACGATTCCCGCCGTGGTGATCCCCAATCCGCAGACGCAGCAATCATTCCCACAAGCATTCGGACATCACACCGGATGCCTGTCTGATCTTGATCATCGACAGAATGCAAAACCTGCTATGAATTTGTACGTAAGGCGAATCTCTCTGTGAAAGCTTTAACACGGCCAGTCACAAAACCTATGGAGTTTCGGAAAGTTGGCACACGTTGAGTGCTAGAACATCTTTCTAACTTTGACCATCATAAAAGAGAAGAAATTTTGGAACCATTTAAAGAAGTGTTTTGTAAGGAAATGAGAACGGGAATCAGCGCACCATCGCTGATGACGTGAAGTAGGGTGTCCTAATATGATTCGGTCATACCGACCATGTTTACGGTGCTGAAGCTGTTTCTCAGGTATTAGCCAAATGTTGCAATCAGTTTTTACACATGGCAACAGGATAGTGTATTGGAAATAAATGTAGTTGTCAGACCTTAAAATTTGCGTTTATGCTAGAATGAAATTTTGGGAAAACCCTCGTTTGCCTTCTACTCCTCGCATAGTTGCGTCTGGATAATAAAATGATATATTTATAGTCAATTTAGCTCATATTTTGAAAAACACAAAAATTTAAGGCGAAGTTTGTTTACTTATTTAGGCTTCAACTTTAAAATCTGAATATTCAAGTGATCTACAAACTAGGAATATTTTCAACAGTCACTCCAACGGGGATGGTTTCAGGCTCTCAGTCCTTTTTATCCAAACCTTAGACTATATAAAAGGCAAATTTTAATGAAATACTCCTACTCTAAAGTAGAACTGCAGTTTAGAGCTCTGACACTTTCCTAAGAACTAAAGAAGGAGTAGTACTAGGGCTACTGACTTGCCCCGAAGGCCATATCGTCCAACGAAAGTACAGAGGTGGAACTTTCGGTGCCCAAGGAACCAAAGCAAAGAGTTCAACAAATAACCAAAGTATGGCATTGTCTCCCTCTCCTTTTGATCGTCGTCCCTTTGGCCAACCTCTCTCCACGATCCTGGAAGAATATCGCCCCTGAAACAAACCGCTCTAGTCATTAAATTTGCGTGCAACAAAGAAGACATCTAACTGCAACATCGCTGATCTCTATTGGCAATTCCGCTGGATACGAGGGTACAGACCATCACGTATACTCATCGGTAGTGATATAACACTGTCCGAAAAGCACAATTATTTAATAAAGGACGTGGTTTAACACGGTTTCGTGGAAGTAAGATTTTGCCCGTTTCCCCTTAACACATTGTTTCCACTTCAGCGTCGCCCAGCCATACCCATCCCGTTTCTCTTCAACTAGTTAAGAGGTGGAGGATAAACTGCGAGTTCAAGTTATTGACGTCTTTGTACAGGTATGGTAGACAGCTTCGTAAGGAATTTTTCAGCTGGGTATTGAATAACGTCGCTTCACTTGTTAATAGCATTCCCGCAGAACACAGGGCAGTGGTAGTTGCCGAAGGTAGACGTACTTTTCAACCCTCCTTTTAGGGGTAATCAGAGATTCTACCTTTTTTCCTGCCACGTTAAGGTTGTCTCTTCAGTTGTCCCTTAGAATTGGGTCCGCCTTCCGCTGTCACCTACGTAGAGCTCCGAGATTTCCCTGAAGCGAAAAGAAGATAGAATACATTGAGAAGAGTTGAGCTACCAAGATAACTCAGTGACCACACCACCCAGCGGAGGTACGGAGGCGGAGCCTTCAATGATAGCAAGGCTAAAATGGAGAGAAGTTACACAATAACAACCTTTGAGGTATCGAATGTCGTTTTATCAAACTTAGGTGGATAGCCAAGATGATGAGGGATCAAGGCTTAATTTTACTTTATCTCATCTAGCATTTATTTGCTTATAATAGCCACCCGATGGATCGCGTGCTAACTTTTGAATTTTAAGACATTGTATAAAAACGAGCAAATATAACTAGCTCTACCATTTCTATACGTACTTTCTTGAGAAATTGCACTTCTACCTCCATAGAGCATGCCTAAATTTTTCTCATGGAATCTTAATTTTCGCAGGTGCGGTTACACCTGACATGTTTCCCCGTTAAACGTGACTTGCTGTGCCTCTGCCTTGCCACGTCACCCAATCAGGTCAAACTGCTTGGTGTCCTAATAGTTATAAAACTCGGTAAAAGGTACCTTTGCCCATTTGGCACGAACACAGTCTGTAAGTGACTCCACATTTCTCCTTTTTATCTTTCTTTGGTTGAGTGGAATGGGGAAGTGCCTCACGTGACCGAAAAGTTTATTCGGTTTTTGGTATAGATCATTACATTAACTCGTAATTTGAAGGGACTTGTAGTATGTTGTTCTTTTTATGCATGATGCGCCTTTTTATCCGTACGGAGCTCTTCGTTGTACTTCCCTGCTACTTGCCTGTTAGTTTGAGCCCTCATTTTGTAAAATGGAACCTGGCTGCTCGGAGAACAGGGTTGCGCCTACCTTCAAAGTTTCAAAAAACTTTTTTAAACTCATATAGGAATTGAAATGTTAATAGCTATAAATGTTTTTGGTAAATACCATAATTCTAGTGATAAATCACTCACTTTCAGGAACACCTTTTGTTCCGTATTGTAGCCATTGTACCAACCATTCAGAATAAATGCAAAAAAAAATAGTTGACACTTGTCTCAACTAAGAAAGTCGTGGAAACTAAGCAAATGAAAGTGAAACGCATTGTTAAGAATGGCAGAAAGTAAGCTTTAACCTCTCTCATTCCTCTGTTACGTCATAAAACCGTGACGTTTGAAAAGCTTGGTTTCCTTACTTATTTATGATAAGAAATGGGCTTTCTTTTCGCTTATTTTACTCCCCCATTGTCCCACGCTTCTGACGCACATGCTACTTCACCCTTGGAAGAAGAGTCTCCAACTGGGAGTGTGGTGGACTGCAGATACAGTAATTCGCTGGAATTTGTTCATTTGCCGAGGGCTAAGCAAAATTACGAGCGAGGCCAATTAACTTGAACTTGTTTAAGAACTTCTTTAGCAATAGCAAATTAGCAATTAGTACTTCATTCTCCTTACTCCTTCCATTTTCCCCACGTGATGATTATCAGCTTCTCTTGGCACTGGACAATCGCATTTGAAATGCACAATTGGATGGTAAGAGCGAGATGGAAAGAAGGACGCCTATGGGTAGTTGTTTTTTCTTCTATAAACAAAGCATAGGTATCTTGAAGAAAACCTTTATGGGTTTTACATTTTTTTGAATTGCTGGTAACATTTTATGTACTTTTTTGTGTGTATAGAACGAGTGAAGTGTTATAATGAACCCAAATATCAAGTATGTGGTGATTATGCCGATCATCCTGGTCTTCACCAGTCTGGCGATTGCTCTGGACATCAGCGTATGTGGCTCCCTCTTCGCGCAGAGTTGTCAGAAGAGCGAGGTTTACAAGCAGATGGCAGCACTAATAGCCACTGCATTGGCCCTCTTCATTATCGGCACGGTGTTCGCCTTCATTTCCATTTTCAAAGGCAAGAGTTGGATTTGTATCAGCGAATTCATCATAGTCGCCGCGGGTGCCACGCTAATGCTCATTGCGCTGTGCATCTACTACCAGGGAAAACACTTCTGGGCACCACTAGTGGGAGGCATCGCTATGACACTGGGATTGGAGACTTCTGTCTTTATCCTCATTGACATCTTATCCTAGACTTAATCGTGATGGGAGCCAACCTTAAGCACAACGTTTTAAACTCTATCTTCGCAAACTCAATTTTATGATTTTAACATTGTTTTTGCTTTCGTCGTAATGTTCCCTCTTTTATTTAAGTTTTATAACTTTTGGGGTATAAAATGCTTGGTACCTGGATTGTAATCACTCGAAAAAGCACAACTAATTACAATATTCCAAAAAATTGTGTAATTTCATAAAATCTTTGTCTCTTGAAATTTTCGTGAATGGAAAAATATAGCATGTCAAATGAACAGAAATGAGTTCCAAATTAGTCACTAATTTTAGCTCCCCGAGTCCATCCTAAAGGCCAACTAAGACAGTACTTGGCCAGAACATGTATTGCGGACGTACAAAAAGGGCTGAGGAACTACTGGCATGTCCCGAGGGGGCCATACCACCCGACGAAGATGTAAAGATGCAGCCTCAAGCGTCCGGATAACAAAAACAAAGGGTTAAAGAAATGGTCAAGACACTACATAGCCTCCCTCGCCTTTTGAGTGTCGACTCTAAAGTGCTCCTTGGTCTGCCTCCCGTGTCTGCCGTCAACGTAGTTAGTGCCGTAGGAGAATCCATGAATCGACCTCCCACTCATCGAATTCACATGCAATTGAAGGGGAACTTGATCGCTACTTTACTGGAGCTGGAGTTTCCTCTGTTTTGGTACTATATAGGAGAAGGGTAGTGTGCTGATCATCTTGTACGTCCACCGCTTGTCGCACAAACACTTGGTCAAAGTAGTCACTTAGTAAAGGGTAGGGATAAGGTTTCGCGTCTATTCCGCCCTGCCACTTTTTTACCATTTTATTGCTGCCCATTCATATCTATTTGGGTCCTAGCCAGCTAGAAAAGGGGTGGAGGAGGTGCCTCCTGTTCACTTAATAGACACTTCCGTACAGGTACCGCAGAGAGTACTTAACGAACTTTTTCTGATGGTTCATGGCTAACGTCAGTTCAGTTGATAATAGCATTCCCTCAGAACACGAACTAAAGTGGTTGTCAAAAGTATACACCATTTTCAACCCTCCTCTTGAGGGTCGTTGCAATTCTTTTATCCAGACCCTATGTTCCTCATCCGTCAAGTTTATGTTCGACATAGAATAAAAAAAATTGAAGTACCTCTCCCCTAGGATCAGGTTTGCTTTCTACTGCCACCAATGTAGCGAGCCGAGTCTTTCCCCAAGTCGAAAAAAGACAGTGCTAGATCAGAAAGTGGATTTCAGAAGTGCAGGAGGGCTGAGGGAGCCTACTGGCATAGACCGGACGCCATCCCGCCCAGTGGAAGTACAAAAGCGGGGCTCATATATGACCCATTACCAAAACCGAGAGCAATCCAATTTATTTTGTTTAAATTCTCTAACCCAGCAGGGCTTCTACTGCCAGCTCTTAGAGGCCTACAACCCAGCGGTTAAATTATGTATTTGTTTCCATCTAAATGTTTTCAGTAGGGTTATTCGCTTTTTCTTTTGTTCTTTTGTTATGCTCAAGCACGTGAACAGTATGTGTGATTAAAAACTTATGATTTTTAACAACGCTTTTCTCAACATGAATTGCTGATTTTTTTTATCACTAACTATTAATATAGAGGTTAAGGCACTTTCTTTTTTGAAAAGCTTATGCGAAAGCAGGTGATATAAATTATTATTTGGAAGAAATACACTTTAAACGCCACTTTCAAAGGTGGGTTACTAATATCAAACCAAACAGACAGGAGCTGATTTGTTTTTTGAGAAGGTTTTCTTACTACTCTACCACATAATACTCCCCATTGTTACCAAATCATACTTTTTTCAACTTCGACTTGGTCACACATTCTAAAAACACAAACAAATTGGTGTAATGCTTTGGCTGTTTGTGTAACCTTCAGTGTTGGTAACGGGCTATATGGGGCTCCGCTATCTTATCTATACCTGACAGTCAGGCCTTCAGGCCATGCCAGTAGGTCCCATCCCTTCTGTGCTTTGGCAATGCATATTCTGCCCGAGCAATGTGTCTTCTTCCGCCTTTGGGGAAAAAAATCGAGATTTATAGAAGGAAATGACGAAGTGACTTTTAAATAAGCCTAAAAATTTCTGTAATATACACTATCCACGTCCATTGATTTATTCATCAGAATTTCTTTTTTTATATGTTCTAACTTTGTATATCACTTCTCTTTTATAAATCACAAGACAAACCGCCTGCACATCAAAACTGGTAGAATTTTTCAATGCATACTTTTAAACCATTCTGAAAAAATGAGAATGGTTGTAAAGTGACATCTTAAGTGCTGGCATCACCACCGGCATGATGAACGCCTGAGTTTACAACCACACGCATAAGTCATGTTGATGCGCTGATGTACGATCGTCGGCACCAGGTGAAATGGCTATATAAAGCGCAATGCGGGGCACGACCACGAATAGTTGGTACCTCTGCAACAGGCACGAGGTAAGTGGTGCTTCATGGCTTTGTAATCACAATAATTGATATTCTTTAGTTTACGTAGCGGCTTCTAAGCAAGTTACTGTTACGGTAAGTTTTGAAGCGCGTGAGTTGCTTTATGTCATAGCACCCGTCCTTAACTGATAACGAATTTCTCAAAACCTGTTATTGAACAACCTGACGATCGTGAATAATACACTTTCCCTTGTCTCCATAGTTAGCTTTGTCCTCATGGATAAACATCTCAAGTACCTGGTAGCACTGCTAGTCGTGGTGCTGTTCACCTGTCTCACTGGTGGACTGCAGTTAGAATGTGGCCATCTGTTTAGCACAAGCTGTCAGAGTTGGAAGACGGGTCGAGAGATGACCGGTCTTGTGGCTGCGGCCCTGGTGGCATTTGTGATGGCCTCTATTTTTGCCGCACTCTTTATTCTGAAAAAGAACCGCTGGGCGTCCATATGCGAGTTTATTGCCTTAGCCGCAGGCGCTGTTCTCATGTTGGCTGCGGTCGCCGTCTACTACAACCGAAGTTCCATCCTCTCTCCACTCATGGCCACTATCACCATGACTCTGTCTATTGAGATAGCGGTTTTCCTTCTCCTTGAATTAATCTCTTAAGACAGCTAATGCACCATTTGAAGTGTTTGATCTGTGCACAAATATGACGCCATGTATTTGAAATAAATGACATTTCCATCATTTTTGCCGGCTTTGCTTACCAATGTGATGGGAAGGAAGACAATATCAGTACTTTCGTTTAAGACTGGGAAAGGATCAATTTGTCATTTCTTATTTCAATCGAAGAACTCCGGAAGTTATTCTCTTAATGTTGAGGCATTCAAACACCAGATCAGGTAGTAAACGCAAATGGAAATGATAGTTAAGTTATACTAAAAAGAAAGGATTAATGTGTAGGCAGAATCGAGAAAAATCTTATTTATTCACATATAGGTCTCATTCATTCACTCTTTATGCGCGTAAAAGTTTAAAACTACAGCTGGACTGAGTTTTGGATTAGTGTTCCGACTTATAACTATTAAAATTGTAATATATATTTGGCTATTCGTTTGATTTTCTAGGTAATTATTAGGCCTAAACATCTTAGAATCTAGGCTTGTTTAACTCTACATTTGATTCTGCGGGCGCTTAAGTGCCCGCAGGTAGTGCTGTCTCTCGATGGCGTAGCCTATGGGCTATGCTGGGGACCTCAGTCATTCTTCACATTAGTAATACATGTTCTGCTATACCACTGTGAATTCCAACAACTTCAAGGAAGACTTGGGGTGCTACATTGGTAGCAGCGGTAGCAAAATCCATCCTAAAGGGCAACTATCCTGATTTCTATTACTGAATTTAAAACCTAACTTGACGGAAGAAGTGCGTATACTGCGGATGGCAGGATCTATAAGGACTCCTAATAGAAGGATTGAAAGTATCGTTTGCCTTTGGTAACTGCCCCAGTTCCATGTTTCGAGAGAAGGCTCTTAACAACTGAATCGATACCAACCGTGAACCATCTGGAAAAGTTTGTTGCAGAGCTTCTACCGTACCTGCATATAGATGTTAACTACGTGAACACGCGATACCATCTCCTTCACCTTTGGAGAGATTCCTGATAGATAGGACTGGGTAACACTAAAGTGAGAACAAAATGGCGAAAAAGTACTCCGCGAAACTACTTTAAACTCCGTCCTTTAGTAAACGAGTATGCTTTTAGGCCAGTGTTCTTTCGACTAGCGATGGACATATGTTATGGCCTGCGCATTTCCTCTTCTCCCAACACAGTTCCCGATCAAGGGAGAATCTCTAGATCCGGTGGAATTGCCCAAAGGGATCAACAACGTTGCGGTCAGATATCTTGTCAGTTACTCGCAAATTGGATAACTGGGGCGGTTGGTTCGTGACTGTGTTTCTTACAACATCGACTACACTGTGATGGCTGATGCGAGAGGTTAACCAAGGGGATCACCAAGGACGACACTCAAAAGAAAATAGGGGCTATGTATTGCTTTGATAGTTTGTTTGACTCTGAGTTTAAGTACAGGGGCACTTGCGTCCCCGCCAACTATGCTTAAGCTCTGCGCCGTGATCTCTGGACTGGGCTAGTAACCTCAGCTCTTCTGTATCATACTATTGCCATGCCACAATGACTTCAATGAAGACTTGGCTCGCTACGTTAAGAAACTCAACTCTTGTGATTGATACCTACCTTTAATAACACTCAGCGTTTTTATCCATGGATTATTTGCCATGATATATATTTACGAGGATTGTGTTTGTAAGTCATTAGCGTCTGTTTGGAATGCGATTGGCATCATCCAAATATATTTTTCCCTTGAGAATGCAGACATATTGCAGAACAACTATTGTTTGGGCACTCATCGCTTGAAATTCAGTAACAGAAATGCTTGTACTAAAATCAATTTAAACCTGTCTGTGTAAGTACATTACCAAATTTTCATCCAGAACTTGTAATTAATGATGGGAGGAGAAGGCGAGAATGTCTGATATAATCAACTACTTGGTTGTCTGGCGTCTAGCGATGTATGACAATTTCATGTAGCAGTAAAGTGTTTCTAGTCTATAAGAGGTAATGAGAGCAATAGCAGCTCAAAAACCCAGAAACCTAAACTTTAGGCATTTTTAACGATAAGGGTATTTGTAGACGTGTCTAGCGGCAGGTTTGCGGCACTGCCACAAACCGATTGGAAAGCTAATGCTTAAATAAGTGGTAATTCAGAGTTCCTCCTGAACGAAAAAATAATATGTTTAATGCATTCCAAAGTACAGCTATACATGCCAAGTCTGTGGCACTGTGTAGACCCGCACTATTTTCACCTCAGTGTCAGTTTGGTAAGGAACAAAACCGAAAATCTGGTCTCCATACCTTGCTCTTTTTAGCGGTGGGTTTTGGTAAGGGGCCACTTTGTCTTGGCTAATGTACCTCACTGGATGGACTGTCCTCCGGGCCTATCAGTAGTCCTAATATCTTCTGTTTATCAAACACATATATTCTACTTGAGTATTGTGTTTTCTCTCGTCTTTGGAGAAGTTCTGGGGCGCTAAACTAGTATCTGTTTTAAATTAATTGTAATGCCCGATAAGTGGCCTTTAATGTAAGGATGGGGCGCAAAACTGCTCAAAGGTTAAATTTCTGGAAATACTGGGCATTGAACTGAAAGCTTAAACAGACTATCTTCATCAAAGGCCAAAGAAACCGAATTTTGGAAACCTAGGCGTAATTAGGAGGATCTGAACATATGCAGAAATACTTCGGGTGGCAAGTTAATGCCACCAAATACTTGAGTAATAGTTACCGATTCCAAACCTTTATACATAAAATAAGTCTATTTTTACAAAAAAATTAACAATGTCGGTTTGTATTCAAAATCTAAAATTTTAAAAATCATTTGATTACGGTCGCTTGATAAATCCCACACAGCTTAAAATTCATTCGTTTGAGAAAACAATTTAAAAAACCTTTTTTTCTACAAATTTGTACTTTCTTCACCCAACTTGTCCGATTCTGCGGGCTACGCTTATTGTTGATAATTTTTTCCTCGTATGCTTTTGCAGTGTGACTTTGTTGCGTGATGGATGCTCTTCGTCAAACCATCAGTCGAACGGCTCTTGGCCTAGCTGAATATATAACACCAGTTCTGAAAGAATCGAAATTCCGGGAAACTGGCGTTATCACTCCTGCTGAGTTCGTAGCTGCCGGGGATTTTTTAGTCCATCATTGCCCAACATGGCAATGGTCCGGAGGCGAGCCTAGCAAGGCTCGATCCTACCTACCTTCAGAAAAGCAGTTTCTCTTTACCAAAGGAGTCCCGTGTTACAAGAGAGCTAATCAGCTGTTTAACATAAGAGAGGACTCTGATCAAATTGTGGAAGAGCATGATGTTGAGGGTGGCTGGGTTGAGACATGCTTTTTTGGCAATTCAGAAAGTTAATATTAGTAGTTAATTAGATTTTTTTCGTACCTCACTTTGAGTTCTGACACGCTTTAAGTTTTAGAAGCTGATTCAGCCGAAGTTGATAGTGAACCGGGAGCTTGCGGTGATGTTTCCGTCGCAAAGGCAACGGAATGCACCGAGAAAATTAACGATGATGGGGAGGATGAAGAAGAGGCGGAGGACTTGGATGCATATATTCAAAGTGGGATGCTTGACGAGGTTTGCTTTCTTGGTTAATGGCGTGATTAATAACCACATTTCTGTTGCTAATTTGGAATGCTTCATTTTTCGTAGACTGATCCTCAAGCCATTTCTGAGAGAATTTGTCAGCCTTCGAAATCTTCTGGTGCTAAAGATGACGCCTTTGTGGGGAATGGAGTACTTCAAACGCGTACATATGATCTCTATATCACCTACGATAAATACTACCAGACTGCCCGCTTTTGGCTTTGTGGATACGATGAGCATCACAACCCATTGTCGGAGGCGCAAATGTATGAAGACTTCAGGTGAATTGCGTTCTCCTTTGACATGCTTTGTGATTACTAGTGTAAAGTGCTATTTTTGCACTTGAATTAGACCCTTTGGGCTCTGGAACGTGTCCTAGATAATATATCCTATGCTACTTGGATTTCACGTGAACAAAGGCATGATATACCCTCGTTTATTCCACCTGATTTCCGCATTAAAACCTAGTTCTGCACGTGAAACCCCAACTTCCTTTGAGTTTTCCTGCTTGTAAAAGCTATTAGTTCAACTTGCATTAAACTCTCGTACTCCTCTGCATAGGTCCGATAACTTTGATGCCTTTTACTTGATATATATTTCGAATTGGGTCCTTTGCTGTAATAAACTAGTTTTTCCATCTTGAAAGCGCAAGCCCGTTCCACCATCGCTATGAAGCATCTTTTCCTATGTAAACTGGCTCTTATAACCCTATGTGATAATCCAAGACATTCATCCTGAAGTATATTTAACACAACGCACTTTCTCACATTTGATGAACACTTAAAACTATATCTTTCTCCTCCAACATCTCTTAGGTTCAGCAATTTTGGACATAAATGTGTTTAATGTATTTTTGTCCGCAAACAAAAGCTCTTCGTGATTATTTGGCATCATATCATTTGTAATAGTATTTTGGAGTTAAAATTCATTATTTTTTTCCGTCACCATCAGCCATTTACAATGTCATGTGTAAATTCTAAAATCGTGTAACTAGGTTTCTTTTCTCTCTTGAAAGCCCACTTCCCTTAAAGGAAGCTTGGTAAAGCAGATTAGCAGCGATTTTGAAATCTGATTACCTTTTTTCAATGCTAATCCAAATCTCCACGGCGATACTCTCTGTTCAGTACCCAGAAAATTTTTCGCAGCGTCGGCAAATTTCGGACTGTAAAGCCACATAAGTCATTTTATTTAAAAAAAACGCACGGAGCGTAAGTTAAATACAGCAGAAATAACATTCTATTGAATTTAGCACTAAAAAAAGTCTATGAATCTAATTTGGCACTCCTACTGATAATCTCCTTGATCTGTCGAGTTAAGTCAGTTATCGGGCTGTTTATTTAGATTTAGGCATGCTTTTTACCAATACTCGGTGTGTCTGCTTTCACGATCTGTGAATCCTGCTGTGTCTTACCTCTCTTCTCCCTTACACCTTTAGTCAAGATCATGCGAAAAAGACTATTACAACAGAGTCACACCCACACCTTTCCGGAGCTCCAATGCCTTCTATCCATCCCTGTCGTCAGGCGGAGGTGATGAAAAAGCTGATGGAGATGATTGAATCCTCCGCCTCCAACCCTTCTGTTACTGCCTCCATCCCCACTGGAGGTGCAGAAACGTCGGGACGTCAGTTGGGAGTGCACCAGTACCTAGTTGTCTTCCTTAAGTTCGTTCAAACTGTCATCCCCACCATTGAGTACGACTTTACCCGCAACTTCAAGATCTCCTGAATACGCTCATTTGTACGATAACTATGACCTGTATGCTCCCATCTGCAAGTCGCGTTCACAACGCGACACGCACGTCGTCATTGTGTTATTTTTTTTCGGCCAAAAATAGATGTTCTCTTTTACGTATCTACAAACTTTTCAATACTTTTTGTGTTTCAGTAGAGTCAGTAGTTCTTTCACTTGTTTGATATGCTTGCTGTTTCTTAAGTGAAAGCTTGTGGTTTGTTTAAATTGTTTGGACCGCTTGAAAGCTTAGTCATTGGAGTATAAATCTGTGCTAATGAGTTGATTATGTAATTTCCTTGGTATTTTCGCTTCGCTTGCTGGCTTTGACCAAAATAGTTCAATTGTCACTTTCAACATCAATTAATCATAGATACCTCTTTTTACTAACAGCTTTATTCGTTTTACACGGGGCTTGCAGTAGACCGCCATGGCAGAGCAAATGGATGTGATACCAGCTGCAGGGGTCAAAACAGTCTCTAAATCTCAAATCAAGACTAACTCATCCGTCACGGTAAGTTGGGAAGACCGATACTCACCGACACTTGTGATCACTTTCTTCATTGCCTGCATTTTTGGATCTGTTTGGGGTCATCGGCGGATCTCTCGCTTAAATGCGTAGGTGTCTGCATTTGAAGATGTAGGGTCCCCGCATCAATTATAATGTCCCTCCCCAACATTGATCATTCAGTCAGGCGCATAGCCATAAAATCACCGCCATTACAAAAGCTCGTAAAAGTTTCATCCCTTATCACCTACTGTCCGATTGTTTACAATGCACACTTTTTATATATGCATCAATCAATTCGCTTAAAGCTTCCAAAAGCTTGTCCATCTTGTTTATGAATGATGCAGTTTGTTTATAGGATCCATTAGCTGACAACGAAATATCTTCAGCTCACCCTTCCGCGGATCCTTCAAAATCCTCAGGCCAGGTCAATGTAAGCCAAGATTTATTTCTTGTCTGTTCTTGCCAAATGTTGAATGCCTATTGTGTGCGCAAGTGATCCTTCAACGGCTCACCGACAGTGTTGAGGTCTATCGGTGGTCTTGTAATTGGTCTGTTTGACACAATTAAATAAGCTGCTCTTATTTCGAACTAGTAGGTGCGCTGATCTTACGGGTATTTTTCTGTCAATTGTTGAATTGATAAATAAGATGGAAGCCGTAGCGCAATTATAATGACCGCGTTATTCTGTTTCTAGTAACTTAGTGAAACCTTATCTTCTAGGTAGGTGAGTCGATTCCTGGCTATTCTACCTCACGGTCGTGATACAACTTCACATATCAATAGTTATTGAGGCATTTATTAGGTACGAGATTATACTTCACGCTAATTTAGTTCACCTAACCGGGTTCTCCAATATGATCTGGTTTAAACTGTCATATTTAAGCCCGCGTTTGTGTTTTCCTTTGTTTACATCATTACATTCATTTGTAGTTCAGTAGGATGATCCGTGGGTGATGGCCATTTCACTATATCCGTCGGTAGTCTATTTTTTCCATATTTGCTACTTGAATGAAGGGGTGATATTCGACTATACTTTGGTGGATGGTTACTTGTGTTTCATTGAAAGGTTCTTGATTTCCAAACACGCTCGTTTTAAATGCTACCTTTCGATTAGAATATTCTGAATTCGTCACCAGAATATGCTAATTTTATTCTCTATTCTCTTTGTATCGCTACGATGGAGGTGAAATAAGTGACGAATTGGAGATGTAGTAAACTTAATGTTTAGTAACCATCAAATTTGAAAACCTACTCCCGTTGCTGTTAGTTTCCCTAACTTATTTACGTGGCCTCAACAAATCTATCAGAGATTGCATTGTTTCTTTCGTCTAAATATGGGATAGCTTGTTTTTTCGTATTTTTAGAATTCGGAAGATAACTATAGGCCAGCTGAAGCATTAATTGATTCCACGATTCTCTCAGTCGACTATCCAGCTGAAACTATGGTAAACATCGGCAATCAGCGTTTCCTTACTCTCTATCAAATATCAATGCTCTATTGCGGATCACGTTTCTTTTTTTCAAGCCCTACTTCGCCCTCATTTTTCTTCACTTTCAGGACTTGGAAAATGAATCCGAATCAAAGGTAGCAGCCCCTGATTCTATGCGTCTCTCATTAAAGCAGGGGACTGATAAGGTGGTATGTATCACCACTGTTCCATAACTCCTATTAGTTCGGTACTGATGCGAGGACATCGTCAAGCACAGGAATCTGAAAACAGCTGTGTCACGGGCGATGCTCGAGTCAATGCAAGGCTTTTGAGTTCATAACAGAAAGGAACATGTTTTTGCACTTATTGTGCTACAACTTCCTTGGCACCGTTTGAGTGATACTTTGAAAGCTTAGGAATGGGGAGCGTTTGTCGGTACTACTGAACTTTCCTGGGAGGGTCCTCCAAAAACCCTCTTGGTACCCAGAGTGCGTTAACTTTTTGAAATTGCAAGGACTCAGGAGTGATTGGGTTGAGTTCGCCGTTCCAATGGAATGATTTGTTCCCCACAGTTCCACAACAATTTACCTGTTGATCGGGCGTCCAGAATATGGCAATCCGTATGCTAGCTTATTTTCAATGGAATAACTGTGGAGGTTGTGTAGCAGGCCTACACTAGTCTTTGAAGGTTCGATATTATTCCTATCACTGTATCGTTCTATACTTGGAGTTTCCTGTGTGGATAGATGTCTGCGGCCTGGGGCTTCACGCCTCGCCTTACGAGAACATTCGTTCATTACTACACGTTGCATGCTGCGAAGTCATTCTCATTCCTATTTGGTAGTGTCTGAGTTGGATTGGTCTGCAAAATACACGTCGGTTATTAGTGTGTGATATGATACACTTCCTCTACCTTGGGTAGTACCAGCATGGTAGCATCACTTTTTCGTAGCTGTAAAATTGAGTCCCCATTTAGTCCTAGTCCTCCTTACGCAAATGTACTGAAGGCCTGTGAAACTAGTACCATAGCCCCGTGACATTAGTACAATTGTCGGTCCGTAGGCAGGTAAACTGTCAATGTATTGATATCTACAATTAAAACAATCGCTGCTTTGCTACAAAGCTTTATCATGTTATTGTTTACCACAAAAATTGTACCTGAACGTCATATTCGGTGTGGTCGATGACTAGCTCTTCCTTTCATCTCGATTTATGTTTCTGATTGGCGCACAGCGGTAGGTGTAGCTAGGACCTAAGCTAACTTTTTGACATTGCAAACGTTCGTGAATGGGTTTATACACGGAGAGATTTGTCATACACCAGGCTATGCGTCGATTATCCGGAATTAGACGTTCTAAGCGCTGAAATTTTTCGAGAATGGCTACCCTAGGCTGGGAGCCACCAAGATCGAGATCTTTGTTAACAGAAATACGATCGTTTTGGAAACGTTGACACCCAATCTCGGTGTGGCTTAGTATTCCATCATCGCATTGTACCTGAAGTTACCTGTACCCGTCGGTATCCGTGGTTTCGAATTTTATTTTCTTGTCCGTAAGAGACTTAACGCGCGCATTCTCATTGTTGCCTACAAACTTTCTTAACAGTCCCTGTGTTGGGCTATTCCGAATCCGACGCATGCGCCGGCTATTCATATACGACGGGGTACCCTTGCCGCCCACTACTCCCCGGAGCACCGCCACGGTTGTTTGTAAAATTATCAATCCCAGTCTGATTTGAACACTTATTGTGCTTCTCAAATCATCGAACTAAAGTAGTTTTTCCTGTTAGTCGCATTCCTGTTCTACAGGAAGTACCGAAAATAGACTCTTTAAAAGAATTCCTAGCGCCTGCATTCATGGAGCCAGTACCATAGGGGTGAAGTTTCTGCCCAATTTTAATCGGAGTTTTGTTAATGGGTGGTTTCTTAATTTCTAGCAGTCAACCAACGCGTCAGCAAATGTGGCAGGTATGCCTTGCGCTGGAAAATCGGTTCTCTCGAACGCTTCGTCGACAAGTTTGTCAAAAGAGAAGCGAAAGAAGAAGCAAGTCTGTCGCAAATCAGTAGCTTCGACTCCATCCACTTCCTCCGCCGAGGTCAGCCGACTTAAATTTCTCAACCCGGGAAAGCAGAACGAGGATCTCACACTCAGCTGGAATCACGGGAGTATCACACGTGGCTTCAAACGCCAACACACACTCCACATACAAGGGACTGGTGTTGCGTAAGCACTCCTTTTTGTACCTGAATTGCTCTTATCAGTCAGACGTCCGCCTCTGCCGCCGCAGAATTGGATCGTCTGCGATTCATCAATCCAGGACGTCAGAATACCGACCTAAAACCTATTAATTGGATGCAGGAGGGGGTCTACATGACTCGAGGTCATCGGAGGCAGATGGAGCTTCATGCCAAGCTCTGCGAAGCCAACAGGTTGATATTCGCTCTCTAACTTGGGTAGTAAAGACCCCATTTCGCTACTACTGCATTTTTCGTCGAACCTTTTAAATAGTTCCGATCCACCGCTCTACGACTCTAGAGGTTTACTGCTGTCGAATATGCAGGACAGATGCGATTGCATGCGTCCGGACTGTCCTGGATGCTTCTTGCCCTGTCGACGTTGTCATACTACTAAGTGTGGTCCACTCTGCCGCATTATGCGTAACTTCCATTACGAGAAGGTGGGTTTCGGTTCTCTCCAGCGACGATTTTGTCGACAGTGGATTTCTGCACTGGTGACATGCCTTGTGGATGTAGAGTGGTGTACGAAACCTTCACAGGAACGTAGTTTGTGTGTATCTGCAACCGCTTTTGATTAAACCTAGTTTTATTCCCCCAGTTACTAACGAATGTGTCATGAGATGCTGAGGTCTAAAAATCCTTCATTCTGATAGGGTGAAAGAATTGGTAGCGCGGAAAAATGATATATCCATAGTTGGTTTCTTTAGCGTTGCTTAGCCGCACTGCCGAACTTGTAAAAGGCATCGATCTTACGTGTCTTGGTTTTATAAACGACTCAACAAGTGCGTTTTTTTCACTACTGTTTTTGGTTAATGATTTGAAAGGCGTAGAGCTATTTTACATATTAATGTGAACTTCGGTACATATTGTTCTTACAGCAAATTCTCACCTATTTAAGGCGGAACTGTATATTTGAAAACCCGTTACCAACTGAACAGTTGAAGACTGCAGACCAACTCAATATTTCACTTTGTAAATGTTTGTATGTAATAATATTGCTTGTTTTTTCCCAACAAAATAATAAATGTCTTAGAGCCTTCCTTGAATTTAGCTTCTGGTTAAATGAAGATCCGACCTTTATGGCTATCTTGATGTTCGCTCCACTTTGTGCCTAACTCTTAAATGACGCGAGGAAAAGCGTCTAGTAGATCCCATTGATCATAAGCAATTCGGGGCAATTTTTACGGAAGGTCGTCCACATCTGAATTAGGTGCGCAGAGTGAGTAGCGTTGAGCGTCCTGTTTTTTCAATATGGCTACTCTGATTGTCATGTCTCCATTCTGGTGTTCTCTTACTGATGATGTGTGTGGGTTATTTGGGTAGCTTTTGTGCAAACCTTTCATGAAAGTGCGTTCAAATTGGCAGTCACGTGGTCGCTTAGATATTTGGAGCCAATATTTGGGTCCATATATGTCCACACACTTCTGGTATGCTGGATAGTTCAGGCACTCGTGTTATTCTCCAATGGCTAAGCTAGCAAATATGCGCGAACAGCTTGACGCAGATGTTTCATTGTGTGCCACAATCCTACGGTCATCGTTAATGTAAAAAAGAAGGCGAAAAGATGACGCCTCAAAGTGCAAACCGTAGCTTCTCATCTTGAAGTTGCAAAATAGTTGTACACGTGTGATATGTTAAGTGCTTGGTTAACTCGCAGTTTTGGTAACAAACCAGCTAGGACTTCACTATTGTGCATCCATCGGGTGGCCTGGCCTCTTGGCCATGTCCTTAGCCCCAAGCCCTACAGTACGTCGGCAATATATATTCTGCCCAAGTGCTATGCCTTCTTTCATCTCCTGGGAAGTCTTGGGGAGCCACAATACGTACCCGGTTTCCAGAGCGTGAACTTGCCATTCCAGTTTCTGCTCTACAGAGTTCATGGGAGCATTAAGATTGGAAGTATGAAAATCGTCATTCCACAACACAAAATGCGGCTAGTAGCAATCCGGTCCGTCCTTATTTCACTAAACTTTAAGTATGGGATGAAGTATATTCAGCTGTACAGACGATATTGTTAAGGTACTAACCTACATTGCTTAATGATGCCACCGGATTTTGAAAATCCCCACTCCTGTATACAACCAAAGGAACTCGCATATTTGATGGCTTTAAAAATACGTGTATTTCTACGGCCTGAATTTTAGGGATTCTTAAACTTTGAGCATTGATTCGAACCTCCTAGATGATGCTTACGGACTGATGTATGGTGATGATAATGAGCTTGCATCGTAGGAATCTTTTACCTTTATTGGGTAAAGATTGATCGGCCCTACTTTGAAGAAGTTTCGTTTGCATCTGTGAAAGTACTAAATGCAGCTTGGAACATTTCTACTTCGATAACATATTACAAGCCTAATCTTTGAGCTCCTGAGTCTTTTACGATATAGGTTCTCTGGAATTGTTAATCCAAATTATTTTTTTGTCTGCCAATATCTCCAGTATTTATCGCAAAATGAAGTATTGTATCACCACTAATGGTGAAATAATGGTAATAATAGTATTAATATCCAATGGTAGAGGATTCAGTACTTATCTATTCCACTTCTGCTTACACTCTCTTGGGACGGTAGACTGGTAAGAGGGGGCATCTTTCATTAGAGAGGTGTTACAAAAGTGTGCAGGAAAACGAGGTTATATGAGTTCAGGGTTTGTTTCCTCTTCAAGGGTCATTGGTGTTCGCCTAGATACGGGGATCGCATATACTGACGGCTTCTCAACTAAAGAGGTACAGTCAAACCAGCACATATCATACTGCATTATCTGTGGAAACTTTCTACACTCTCCCGAACTTCCTCATACATGTAGAAACTCTTCGGCGGCCACAAATGCATAGATCTGAGGTCAGGGTCATGGTTTCCTAGCCGCCCTCCACGCCAGTAGTATATGTAATACGATGGTGATTTGTTCCTCGGTGTTGGTGAGGCGCCACTTTGAATTAACCTTCTTGTATCCCGCCAAGTAGGCTGGCCTTCGGGCCATGCCAGTAGCCCAGACACCTTCTCTGTGCTGAATATACATATTCTGCCCGAGTATTGTGCCTTCTTTTGTCTTCAGGGAAGTCTCGGGACGCTACATATATGCCCTTCCGTACTACTTTGAATGCCGATAAATCTTGGGGTAAACGAACCGGTCTGTGTACAGTATAAATACAGTACATACTAAGTATAACTTGCGTGTGTAAATTAAGGTTCTGTGGAACTTGGATATTCTAAACATCACATGTTCATGTAGTTCATTTTTAATCCGCTGTACCAAAGGCATCTCATATGCGTAAAATTTCATATTATACTTACTCTAGTAAAATATATTGGAAACAATTCCATTTCTAATGTGTACCGGTTTTCTCTTGATGTTTGGTTGTTTTGAGCCCTTCCTCATTTCAGTCTTTAAGACATTGTCCGCTTTTGTATCTGAATGAGCAATTTCGCTTACTTTTCTCGGCGCTTGCGGTGGCCGAGCATTTTTGAATCTCTGATATGTGGGGTTTATTTTAATAAATCACTAGACGATGGCCTTAAAAGGGTGATGCAATGGAAGCATGATGCTTATTGGATTTGTCATTTCTACCCAATTAGTTCGTCGAAGTGTACCGTGGATATAGATAGGTGCACCAGTACGTTTTGCGTACGACTCTGGTCTTCGCTCGCATCCATAACAGGTGTGTTTGTTGTGCTGTGTTTACTGTTATTTCTTGTTAAGTTGATGTGCTAGTGAACAAACAATATTCAACCTAGAAGGTTGCTTGGTATTAAATGCTGTTCATAGGATTCGTTGAAAATTCCGCCACCAAGCAAAATAATGTCTTGGAACGTTTTGTCCATGAACGCTTCTTTATGCTTTAGTCAGGGAATTCTGTGCTTATTTGTCTTTCGATTAAAAAACGAGTGTGGGGCTTGTAGACTCTTTTGGATTAATTGCGTTGTATTTACCTTTAGTGAGCTTGCGATCAATCCAAATAATACTGGCTAACTAGCAGATGCCGGCCTTAAACGTATTGTTGCGTCACACCATTAGTGCGCATCTAGCCGTCTTTTGGTCTGCTTAACAGTCCTTAATCGTTTCCTAAAACAGTCGATTCGCTTTTGAAGAAACTTGTTCCTACCTAAAGAATCTCGTTGTTACGACTGTCTCGCACCACCGTTATTGAGTGGGATCAAATTATTCATAGGATCTGAGGTAATTATTTTTGTGCTCTTGTTTTAGTACCACACCAAAATTAGTCAGTGTCTGCACTTATTCGTTTTTCTATCTTCTTGTCAGGCACCGTTTTTGGAATTAGCTAATATCTTTTGTGACCATTAGGCGCTGCTTCTATTGAGTACTGGACAAAATGTTTTGTCAGTACTTACTTGCTTTGTACGGCTGCTTAGCATCGCAGCTGCTCTACTTTGAGTTTATTCCCTTCGCAAAGTAGCACGTTCAAGTCTGACATTTCGCAATTTTTAAGTTATAATTTTGAGTTGTCATGATACAGGCACAAAAACAAGGGCAGCATTGCCTGGCTAACTTTTCCACTCGCTAGCGTTGAAAGTTATATGGCTAGCCGGTAGGCTGGATTAAGTGGGTCGGAAGTGGATTGCACGCCTCCATCTATTGGAATTTTGTTTTTGCTGCAGGCTTGGTGCCTGTGTTACCCAGTAATGCCATTCCCACAGACATACGGCCTCATTGGTGGACTGTAATTTTACACTTTTGTACCGCATTGACCCTGTTCACAGACACACGACCTCAACCCTCCGCCATTGCTCCCCCTCCACTCTCCTTAAATGATCCATTTTTTATGGCCCCTTTGTTCTGCTCCGTCTCTCCTGAATCCAGTGTGTGTGGGAAAGTACAAGCCCGCCTCATAAATTGCTCTCCGTATTCTCTATCTCTATGGGAGCGGCACTTTCCCGCCTATGCTTGCTACCATGGTAGTAGTGATAGTAGTGACAAGCATCTTCACATAAAGCTGACAGTTTAAGATCACCAATTTCTACGAATTAGTTTATCTTGGCTGATTGGGTACACGTTGCCTTTAAAAAGACTCATGTCGTAATACATTGTTTAGGTCTTTGTGGTGATTCCCTCCTGTTCTATTGTTAAAGCCCTCTGAGATGGTTGTTGTGGTATTATCAAAATTTGTGCATTGACGATGTCTTCTGCTACTATTTAGGCAACGAAAAAGGAAGAATTGTATGTGGCACACCAAAAACCAATCTTCATTGGCCTCCACGGCCGCAACCGTAGGAACAGCAACGGCGGCCGCGTCTGTTGGTGGTGGTGGTGGGGGGATTGTCATCTGTAGCGGATCTACCGTGAGCTCAAACACCTTTTCAGATCACCATCAGCAGCCTGTCCCGACGTTTGAAAATCCCTCCTTCCCACAGCAACAGCATCCTCCTGCCAAAATGGTCAATCGTCTCAAGTCGCTGGTGAGTAAGAAGAAAAAGCGTTTTCAAGCTGATGGTTTCGATTTGGATCTCAGTTACATCTCCCCACGCATTATTGCCATGGGCTTTCCTGCGGAACGTATCGAGGGTCTCTATCGCAACCACATCGACGAGGTCTCACGGTTCTTTGAGATGAGGCATAAGGGCCACTACAAGATTTACCATCTGTGAGTTCTTTCGCCGCTGCGTGAATGTTCGATCCTACCTCTTATAAATATGAAATTTTCGTGGAATTTCTGGTCTTAGAATTGCCTCGAGTATTTGACAATTTGATCTTTTTCGTGTGTCAACGTATTGTTTACTCCGATGAGACGTCCTCAAGCCACCAAACCTATTTTTCTGTCTAAGTTTAGCCGGGAATCCTTTAAATACCACCCTCTTTTTTCAGGTGCAACGAGAGGGATTTCAATGAGTATCGCTTCTCGGGGCCAGTTGTGCGCTATCCCTTCTCCGATCACAATGCTCCCCAATTTGAGCAAATTCTTGCCCTCTGTCAGGACGTCATGGAGTTCTTGAAACAGCATCCCGAGAACGTGGTGGCTATCAACTGCAAGGCCGGCAAGGTTAGCCAATGCTTTGGGCTAATTTCCTAAAGGATTGGGGCAGTGAAGCGAATCATCACTACCACCACCACGTAATCAAACAGATATTGTGAAGTACTATTACCATAGCGTTAGTGTGTGTGCTTTTTTGCACCAGTGCGGAACATTTGGCATGCATAATGTGTACATTTGAAATACGCATCGTGCTGGGCTTCCTCGAGCAAACTCAGAATATGCGTGTTGCACACAATGCCCCACTCGCCTATCGGGTTGGTGGTGCACTGGTCCCATCTTGGATTGCACAAAGTCACTTGTTTCCCAACGGCACTCTCACCATTTGCGCTTTTGGTGTCTTAAAGAGGGTCGTTTTTTTCGTATCCTCCTCGCCACAGTCGTAATTCTATTCGCATCGTGCGTACACGCTCTTGCTTCTGTCTTCCAACGGCATTTGTCTGTGAAAGCTCCCTTGTAATTATTGGGGTCGTCGTCAATGTATTTATGGTCACGCGAAGCATTGCGGAGAATGCTTTCCCTCAAAACAGGTCTCTAGGCTCTCACGTTTGCGCAATACTAAAGATAGTTGTGAAAACTTTGAGACGCACTTTTCGAGATTAAAAGTCGCGGCACCCCGAGCCGATTTTGAATGCGAAGTTAGTTAAAATACCCTCTTATCAGTCTTGCACGAGGAGGAATAAAGTCATCGAATTGTTTGGCCGTGAGTGAGAGCGAGGGTAGGGTCAGGGTAGCAGGGCTAACTACTACTTAAGGGTGTAACTGCGGCGCTTGTGCGACCTTATCTCCAAACTGATGTCTGTATTTGCACGAAGGTTTCTAAATTAATTTTTACTTGTGCAAGCACAGTGCAGACTTCATGTGCGCACGAGTGTGTGTGTTTGAATTGAGAGCCAGTGACCTTCGCGGCCTACACGCGAGACCAAGAGAGGGAGGGTAGGAGCGAGCCAACGGGCGAACGTCAGTGTGTACTTTTAATTTCCAGTGCATGCGTGCGTGTGTGTGCGCGTTCCCGATGCACTTCGGCGATTGGACCAGTGCGAGGCATGCGCGCGTATATCGACCGTCCAGGCTATTATGCGCGTCCGTGTCTGCGTGAGGTTACGCAGCCGTGTCGACGTCGCGTATACACACACGCGCGAGCTTCTGCAAGGGTGGGGGCGGCAGCGGTGGTAGCGGCCATGTGCCGGTCAGTGCCACTGCGGAGCGTGCGTGCGTGTGTGCTGTTTGTTCTTATGCTCTCTCGGTCTCTTAATCAATGCTCTCCCTCTATCACTCTCCTCCCCGTTTTCGTATTCCGTGCGCACAACAGCGTACGCAGTTGTGCGCTTCGTCTAGTCGTAGAAGTGCATGCAATACACCATGCTGACAAGCCCGAGGCTTCCACCCTCTCGCACATGCGAATCCGTGCAAGTGGATGCGCGCAGTACGGCTCTCTCTTTCTCCCTCCCTTTACTCCCCACTCACGACGCTAAAAGTGCATATACAAGGAGCGATAGGCCTTTCGACGCACTAGGTTATGCTTTTATATGGGTGTATATTAGTTAAGCCTATTGGTGGGGTTATGCATGTACGCAAAATATTTGGCAATTTGACTTTTATGGCGTGTTTACTGTAAAATACAACCCTTGCAAACCATGTATTCTGATAAGGATGATTGATGCCTAAACTGCAACCTCTACTGCTATTGCCTGATTCGTCTCTCCAACTGTTCAGCAAGCATACGCAGATTCGGGCCCATGTTTTATGGAAGCTCTCGTATTAAAGTACCCATTTATACTTTGAACTCTGAGTTAGGTTCTTGTTTCAGCTGAGCTGGATATGGCTTTATACGCAGCTGAAATTCACTTCTCAATATTCAGCGTACGAGAAAAAAAAATTAAGTTTGTATTACATTTTCATGTCAGATCGTTTCGCATATCAGCTTCAAAAGTTTCAAAAATACTTTCATTTTTGCTCAAATAAACGGTTTGGCTCTTGTGCGTGCTTGCGAATTTATTCATGATCCGTGATTCTGCCCTCCATCGTAAGCTCTTTCTAGGATGTACTTTAGCCTCTCCCGCATGTGATGCTAATGTGCTGGAAAGATGGCGTGATCTTGTTGCTGTACCCTCTAATTATCTGCCTTAGGTATGACTTGGAGTACCCGTACTTTTGTCATATTAGCCTAGCAGGCATTAGTTCGGCTAGGCCATAAGTGATAAGTGCTACATGACACACCTGCAGTAATTTTAATGTGGGTGTTCCTCCTGTGACGGTTTTCAAGCCTGCGTTCTTATGTGTGGATTGCCCCTATGCATCTCAGTGCCTGCTCCCCCAAAGTCACGCATCGACCCATATTATTTAAGGCATTGGTACGCTGGTGCAAAAACTTTATTGCTAAGGCCTTATCCCCTTCAGGGCCGTACGGGAGTGATGGTGTGTGCGTGCCTGATGGAACTGCAGGAGGCAAGGAACGCCGAGGAGGCGCTAAGGCTGTACGCAGAGAAGCGGACACGTAACGGTCAGGGTGTGACCATCCCCAGTCAGCGACGCTATGTTCAATATTACAGCCGTCTCCTCTCCTCCGCCCTCACCTATGAACCCACACCCCTTCGTCTGACTACTATTCGCATTGAGGGCCTTCCGCATCAGCTTCATGGTGCACAAAGTAAGCCGGGCGTTTGCTCATGCTCTTGCTTTTATGCCCTAGTCTACTCATCAAGAGCGCATCGTTTTTCTCTTCCTGTCCAGGTTTCGAACTGAGTATTTCGACTTACGAGAACCGGTTGTCAATCAATCACTACCACGATCCCACTTCAATGGAGGAGGTCTCTCATTCCCAGGGCAACTCTGTCACCCCCATTACTGCCGCCGTAGCTACCATCACTCCTGTCCCTGCTGTCAGCGGTACTGTTGCTGGTACAACAGACAATCCCGACTACGACTGCCATCGTCATTCAGACGTGACCACATACCAAATCCCCTGCTCCACCCATCATAGCAACAGTGGTAGCTACCTCATTCGTCTTGACGAGCCGGTAACTGTGTTCGAGGATTTCAGGATAAAGATCAAGGCCAAGAGTGGTGTGCTCACCAAGAAGATTGGCCAGTGTTGGCTTAACACCTTTTTTATACTCCTGAATGATCCTGCCACTACTCCTACTGCTTCTGCCGCTAGCATATCTTCCACTGCCGTCACATCCACAGGCTGTTGCTCCACGTCTGATTCGAACTCTGGTTCTGGCTCTTCCTCTGATTCCTCAGCTTCGACAGCCTCTTCTACCTCTTCGTCGGTACGAAATTCTCCGCCTCATTTTACCAGAGTGAATGAGGAAGAGGAGGAGGAGGAGTTGGTGGATGAGGAGGAAGAGGATGATGAAGAACTCCCAACGCTCACCTCGAATTCCACGCTTCTTCATCCGTCACCACCTCCTTCCTCTCCTCCTCCAATTATTCCTCCCAATCATGCAGGTTCCGCAGTAATGATGTGTCGCAGTTCAAATCCCTTCCGTTTTGCTGCTTCAAAGGCTGGCGTCTCTATGCCGTTTATCTCCATTCCAAAGAAGGATAATGGGCCCTCGTCCTATAGCAGTTACACCAAAAAGGTTGGTTCTTGATTGGCAGCTCACATAAGCCCATAATGGACAGATCAATTGCTGGTTTTTTTCTTCCAGAGCTCTCCCAACGCAAATCTCGTGCTCGCTCCCTCCATGTCTACTCAACTGGCTACTCCGTTAGCGGTAAGGGTTCTCGAGTTGTCCCAAACCGAACTGGACGCCGCAGCCAAGGTCAGAGGCAAAAAGGGAGAAGAGTTTAAGGTGTGTGATAGATTGTACCATTAAGCTCGCGACTTCTTCCGTGTGTTCTGTATTTCCCTCTCTGTGTGTGCCTTGTACCAAACGCCTACACACGTGTTTTCTACTTCTCTTTCCGGGCCACCTAGTTAATTTATTTGGTTTCGCGCCGCAGGTCCTGTTCGAGTTCATTCGTGAAACGCCCTGCTCTCAATCGGTTTCGACTTGCAGCAGTGTGAACTCTTCGAATCCAACTACCTCTTGTTCTTCCCAGAGGCCAGTGGTAATGGACCTGGCAGGTGTGGAAGAGGTGATGGAGGTGGAGGAGCGGATCAAAGGTACCACCTCGCTGCCTACTACCTACCTCCAGCATCACCACCATTCCTTCCATTCTCCCGCTGAATCTACGACAAATCAAACTGGTGCTCTGGTCTCGTAACACAGCGATTTCACCCCTGCTCTTGTCTTTTTGTCTCTCTCTCTCTCTCCCAACCACCGCTGTTTGTACATATAGAAAAGGAAAAGAGAAGGGAGAGGGCGAAAAAAAAGATGGTGATATGTGGGTCTTTCAGTCCCATCACCCTGTTCTTGCCTTCTTTCATATCATTTCTTTTCCTCATCTCTCTCCGGCTCTTTCATGTTTCTCCCTCCCTCTCTCCAATTGTAAATATTCAACTATCCCGTGTTTTCCCTTTGGTCTCCCAAATCCAAAGCTACGCTCCAAAGACGCCTAAACCGTCCCATTCTCCACTGGGCTGTATTCTTCCTTTTCTCATCCTCACCTCTATTCTTTCCTTTCTCTCCCTCTTCATCTCTTTCTTGATTACACCTATAATGCGTGTTCAATGTGACTTAATTTTGTGTGAGAATTAGGATGTGTGCAATGTACTACACTTTTCACTTTCTGTACTCTTTTTCAGTATTGGTTCTGGTTAATGGGGTGGACTTGGCCTACTTTTTGTGGCGTTATCTTGCAAGCTGGACATACCACACTTCCTCGATGTGCTTGAATTTGGCGTGGTGGACGGGGTGTTTCTTTCTCTGTGCAATGGGAGTGAGGTAACTCTTCATCGTGAAAGCCTGTGAATGGTAGCAGCCAAAGCATGTGGGTCTCGTTGTCGTCCGTTGATTTGGCTGCAGCTGCATTGAGGCATTTTACGGCCTGGTTGAGTCGTGGAATGTTCCAAATCATGAGTTAATTCATTACTTAGCACTAAAGGCAAGCATTACAATTGGGAGCAGGGCGAGATGGAGGCATGTTTGGGGTGTTTTCCCTGGCGACTTAGAAGTTATTTGTTTAGCCAGCTCAATGAAGCATACTTCTTGAGAGCTGCTATTCATAATCAGTTGGGAGAGTTTCGTCTACTTTCAAAGTGACGCGTTATCTCGAGTAGGTGTTAAGACGAGGAAGTTTCTTCATTTTTACCTCCTTATTTTAGGGAAGCAAATCAATTCCTTCATTGAAATCAACCCCTGCAGTCTTATTCGCAATACCTAGTGTCAATGCGGGATTAAATTCACCTCAAGTGTTACCAAAAAGAAATGGTCCAACTTTGGATTCATGTACACTACCGCGCGCTGCACAGTTAGCCCAGCTGCGCCCTGTCAGAGGAAGAGCTCTACGTGTTTTCCTCATCCCAAAGGGTTGCTTATTCACTCGTAGAAATAGGCATTTACCAACAGGGAATGCTGGGGACCGTATATTCATGAAATAATACATAATTCTGAAGAAGCTATCAATATCGTACAAAGATCCAGTTACGAAAAGCGATTTTGGATTAGCAATAGAAGTTCAACAACAACATGTCCCTGCTTTAGGTGATAATCCGCGCTATTAGTTTAGCATGTGTGAGGGAAGTGTGACTTACAGGGTCAAATGCATTGCAAGTCATTCACTTATCTCACTTTAAGCCTTGTATTTTTTATTGGCTTGAACAAGGTTGAAAATAAACATTGCATTGCAGTGTAATGCCATCTGTAAATGAAAAAAGTTGTAAACAAAGATTGCGAAAAAGATAACGCTCTAGACGTTCGCGCACATCTCCACATAGTTGTCACGTCCCGATCTACCTGCCCTGAACCTTGCGGCCAAAAGTGCTATGCGTTCCTCTCCGCTCCGCAATAACTGCTTCTTAAATCGTGCCACAAACAGTTGGGTTGAGTTTAAAAATTGTCAATGATTTGGTGTACGTCACGGTTTTACAATGTCCTAAGTACATTTTGCAAGAACTAATGACACTTGGCAGCGCAGCTAAACAATGTATTGGCGGTAATCAATTCGCCTTGAAGATTTTCGTAGCGGATTTGTTAAGATATTGAGGAGATCTGACTTCTAAGCGATGATACCGCAGTTGTTTCAGTGTAACAGAAACCAATTCTTGATACCTAGAATTGTCGATTTCTGCTTTAATGTATGGATTAAACTAACTGAAAATGTTGCGCAGACAGTTGCGATCCGTTTCGCTTACAGACAAATATGTGAAATTTGTTCGCTCCGTTGCATCGTTTTCGATGTATCACCAATCCAAGATTTTCACTTGATGAGCTAAAAATAAAATTTTGCTAGCCATTAAACTAGTTTACCTCGTATTCAAGGCCGCTGGATCTTCGACAGATGTGTTACTCCATAGTTATGTTTCCCCTGAGACGGGTTATCTGTTGAGCCAATCACATCCTTTATTTTAATGCTTATCTTAGGCGGCATCAAAGCAATGTATTCTATGGTACAAGGTTAGATATTGAACCTAAAGGAAGACAGATAGATAGTGAAAGACCCAGTTGTGTCATCCTTTACTGTTCTGTTTGTATAATTTAATACATTGCTCTCAATTTTTACTTTCAGGGTAGTTTTTTCAGCCCTGAAGCCTAAGACCTTAACCCAATGAGTATAAAATAAACTTTTGGTGGTACTTTTACCCAAGTGGGAACAGTTTTATACTTATGTGCAAGCAGGTGATAGGAGGGTTAAGCCTAACCGACACGCAATGTCAAATTCCGCACAGCTGAAACAGAAAAGTACCTTTCCGGGTAAGGTTAGCGTGCACTAAAGTGGCATAGTTTTGTGTTTTTAAATAGAATCAGCACGCCTAACACCCACCCATTAGTGGAATTTGAATTCAGTACCTTAATCCAAATTGCTATTTGCTATCAAAGAATATGGTTGAATGTGTTCCTAGCATCTTCTCAAACCATAAAACCTGTACGGGCTCACAGAATAGAACACAAATCCAATAGCACGGCTAGTAGAATAAACTTATTTGTCTTGAAGTTCAAACCCCAAAGCACCAGATTGAGGTAGCGTTGCCCTAATCCGGTAGTTGTTTGTTTAACTCTGTTTTGACAACTTGTCATTTAGGTGCTCCGCCTCCGGGTCATGCGAGCAGCCTCCAGGCTCTGCTGCACGTCGAAAATACTTATTCGATCCGAGTATTATTTATGCTTCCGTCTTCGGAGAAGTTGCGGGGCTCTACACTACATCCTTTATTTCGGTTAACTGAGGAATTGGAGCATATTGTCTTATATCTCCTCAAGCATGAGTTTGACCAAATATAAGTTACACTTTGCCAGGCTTCTCTGTGGTTGCTGGAGTGATGCGTAGTGGCGAGTACCAGATGCGGAGCGAGACACGCCATTTGTCATTGCACACGGCTGCTCCAGTGTTGACTGCATAATGGGTGTTTGTAATGACAAAAGGTACAACCAATGAGGAAGGCGAGACACCTTGTTGAAAGTTCCTTTTTAGATCACCATTACTCAGCTGCTTTGGCACAAGTCCAGTCCACATTCATCTACAGCCTATACTTATTTATCAATATCCTCGATTATGCAGATTAAGTTCCCTCTTTTACTATTATTTCTTTCTCGGCTCAAGTTCTAGGGAATACCTCCTAGTCATCAAATGACACGCAAATTGTAAATTTGCAAATGCCATTCCAATTCTGTTGTTTGTCACCCGATAATAAAGTATGGATTTGAATGCTAGATAAAGCAGCAATACTGCGAATGGGTTCTACTCCTTCCTCAGCGTAGATAGAATAACAATGCCGCTGATAATCCCAATACAATACCATGAAGTTGAGAATTGGAGGCGGTATATTTGCACGTTAAAGCAAGGACAGTTCTTTCAAATGTACAAAATAATAAATGGTACCTATATTACGCCTTCTCTCTTCCTCATTAATCATTTCAATCTTCCAATTAAATGTAGCAGTCTAAAAGAACTGTAGAGGTATTTTGTCTTAGCCTGTGACCCTCAGCTGAAGGACCCTTAGGTACTTAGACACTGAGGAATTCCCGCCTCCACATTAATTAGAGCTATAATTGATACCGTTAGCCTAAGTTAAACATTCGATAACATAAGTGACTGTATAATTATCTCGAGTACCTCACCATTTGTGAGATGCTGGTGGATTTCACTTTATCGTCTGTGAAAGTGTAGAGGCCTCACCCAGAGAGAGAAACATCATTGGTCAGCAGATTAATGACCAGGAAAGGTGTGTCTACCATGTAAATTTTTTGTTTGTGCCGAAGTACCTTTATGGAGCTTGCTGCTAGAAGGCCAATGCTCTCTTGTCGTCGTGAAACTCGACATTGCAGATGACTTGGAGCAGGCTAGACATGTGCATGCATTACCCTTAGGTGGGGTGTAGGCAGTCATATCCACGAGTACACACAGGAGCAGTTGGAGTTATGGGCAAGACTGTCTGTGCACAAAGTATTTTGAGCTTTAGTCATAAAAGGGAAATAAAATCCCTTCAAAGCATGCGATTCGATGCTTTAACCAGGATGAAGCAATATCGCTTCGATGAAAGAAATCAGTATGCTGTCTGTTGAACATCTATTTTTTCATTATCATGCAAGTATATCGGTTCTTCCGCTGGGTAAATAAAGTCGGACAACTGTATTTAACAGCTTTGTCACCATGACTTTAAAATCTTATAGTAATGTATTTTTTTATAGTTGGTAAAGACGAATTAGCTATGAAGACAATCTCATCAGAAAGCGAATCTGTACCAAAGTTTAGTGGAATTTTTTGCGTAGTGAAGGGAAAAACTGAGCATAGGTGACTGAAATGAAGGGACTTCGGAACATCTTGATGACAACAAATAACTGCGTGTGTGGATTACTATTCTTACCTTTTAAAAAGAAGCCTATTTTGGAGCCAGGTCAAGTTTTTATAATCTATTTACCTCCCCTGAGTGCCAGCATAAACCTACTCTTCTATTTCTTTCTGGTGGGTGTAATGTGTTCTTCGAATACGTGTCCCTTGCTTGAAAATAAGAATAGAGGTAGACGCATTTAAAAAAAAAGATAGAAGGAAATACAGGGAGGCGCCCTATGCAAATGAAGTATGCGCTGTTGATATTGAAAGGGAATTCACCGTCCAAGTTTTAAAAGGTGCCCTTTGGTGCATCTAGGTGTGTCTTCGTGCACAATACAGAAGGAATCCAAAGGAGGCTGCGTGGTTTTTATAATAAAAACTGCATAACAATAGAAGGTTAGTACAAAAATCAAGACTTATGGACGGAACTAATCAGCGTTGCAATCTACAATCCTTTCCTAAGGAGTCACAAGCTTAGGAATTTCACTTTATCGAAGCCTTTTTTCACTTGGAGGCAATAACCCAGTCACGGCCACCTCCGTTTCTGTCTCACCCATTTCCCTAGTGTCTAATTTTGCATGTAGCCGTCTAGTCCAGAAGCCACGAAAAGGTGGTAGCTACCACTTGGAGAAGTAAGGGACGAGGGAATGAGGATGCGACAGTAACTTCTCCCTACGGGTAGGTAGATAGGTTTTCTTCAATAAATAGGATTTCTTTTAACTGACTGAACAATCTTGACTGTTTCCGAGGTGAACTGCATTATATTGACCCAATCTCAGCCGTTTCTGTGTCGTTTTCATTAGGCGGATGGCACCTGGTAAACAACTTCTAAGTACGAAGTGATACTTGCCCTAGAAGCATAGAGTCGCTAGTGAATAAATTGCTTTGGGGATAACCATCCAATATTTTTGTTCATTTCTGGTAAAGGCTGAAATACAAAAACCGTTTCGTATCCCAAGTCAGTCAGCAAACATTCCTTTTCCAACTGCGCGTTTTTAGAGCGTGAAGGAAGTGTAAAACAAATTGGTAGTCATTCAAACCTACTGTTATTCATTTGCCTAGCTTCCAAGACTTCCCAAGTTGATGAAGATGTAAACGAATCCCACTAGACATTACTGAAATATGCTGACATGTCAGTTCTAGATTAACGTGATACCTGATTATAATCAAGTTTGGCATATTCACTGCATTAAGACAAGCATCAGTGAATGGTGACTTAATTCTTATGGGCACGAAACTTCGTTAACTCAAGGTAGAGGGGGAATGGATTTGCACAATCACAGAGGCCAGATAACAGGCCTGTCCCATCACCCATGTGCCTTTCGGATATGCCTAACCTCAGCGATGAAATTGTGTGGATACATTTCTCGTCTCAAGGTCATCCGTGCAAATGAGACGTCTCCTTAGTCCAATGGAGTGACAAACACTTCCACTTTATGCACATATGCTAACAAATGCGTTTCAACAAAAAAAGTCTTGCTGTGCAAAAGAAATCCTGCTGGTAGCAGACACAGGGTGTAGTAGACAGAGGCATGGAAAATTTTTTTGAGTATGTTAACCGGAACGGACTCGTTCATTTGGTCTGTAATATGGCACACATGAGACAATTTTTATAGGAGCTTCGTTCTAATTCACACTGATGCTCTTAGCCGAACTAGAAGGTAACGTTTTGTAACAAATCAAAATTTTACGCTCATGGAGGCCCACTTTTTCTTTTAGTTCTTTTTTGATGATGTGAAAATGGTATGGGGGATTAGCCAAATTGTTTCTTTCAACGTACACAAGAGTCTCTAACTTTTAGAGTTTTTTATTCACAATTACTTCGTGCACTGCCAGTTATCCCAAATACACTTTCATGTGGTCATAAATCACACGGTGAAAAAGAGCAAATTCCGACCTCTGAAATGGTCTGGACAACATTACTCGTCTGCTAGTTAGACAGCCTTAATAATGAGAGCAATTTCATTGGCCTTCCCGCCCCACTTCACTTAATCCGTGTTGAGATCTGGCTCCCAGTCTAATTGCGCTTCTTGGAGCTTATTTTGCATTCCAATTAAGAAAGGAAGAAAGGTAATGATGAACAAAACGTTTTGCCAATTATATGAAGTCTGACGAAAACTCCCGGTGTGATTATTCATTGTTTTTAGCAATTTTTGGTGTGATTTATCGAGGAATGAGACCTTAAAGTGGGATAGCTAACTTATGACATGCAGGCACCTGTGGCACATGTTTGAATGTAACTTTTCAGGCGAGTTTCTATGTGAACCTCATCACAGCAGAATGTTTCAATCTGGAAGGACTTTTATACTAGATGTACTCTGTTACCGAAAATAACCAATCCTGATAAGCATTATACCAAGATCTGTATTGGTGCAAGGTAGAACTTGATCTCACACCTCCTACTCCACTTAAGTTGATTATAACCTTGCCTTCACCGTACTACATGTAGTGGGGAACAAAAATTCTTTTAAGCACTTTGGTAGTTCTAATAGGACAGATTGTCATACTGAGATACGCAAAGATGTAGACGAAAGGCGGCATAAAGCCAGAGGACACGTTAGTTTGGAATGAAGGAAAATTCAAGTTTCGAACCACTCATAGAGTGTAGGTTTGTAATTATTATTTATACGGCCTTTTCGGAATAAGACTAACAGGAAGTAGTAACTGAATCATAAGGCTTTTTTGGCAGCCCTTGTGCATCCGAAGGTGGCTATTCACCTCACTAGTGTACCTTCAAGTCTCTACATGGTTCAGTATGAGGCCTACCTTTTTATTTATGCCTACCATATTTGTAAGGTATTCAACTTTCGTAAACAGGAGAGAAATGACTCAATGGTTCAGATTGGCAGAGAAGAGGCGACATTTAATGGATAGCCAAGTGTGCTCACATGTTTTATGTTTATTTTGTCAGTTTATTCCTAACGAAACTTTTCCACAGATATAAAGTTTCATCAGGTTGGAATGTATAAAATCCATTAGAGAGCAAAAGTACAGTATCCAATGTTTGGTAATGGATGAAGTCAGAATATGATTTACCCCCAAATAATGCTGAGCAAAGAAACACTGGCGAGGAGGTTTCGGCGTCAAGTGAGGCTTCCCATATGTGCATGTGTTCTCGTCATGGACGTTGAAGTGGCGTAGAGGACAAGTACCCGGCTCACTAGATGACGGGCTTTGTCAAAACATCACTAATTCAAGCCGATTCTCATCCTCATTTGATAAACGATTCAGAGCTTTGCACTTTAGTTCTTCTACAATTATCTCAATTAACAGTTTAGATGAACATATGACAATGCAAACGTGTTCGGTAATGGTCAGATGTGCTGATGTATCAAAGACTATTCATTCAGAAATTTACTTCATTTAAGCCTTGTGCTTGATTTAGCTAATCTTTTAAAGTTTGCAAACACTGGATTGCATAGCTTTGTCGAGCTGAAAATTTTGATAGGGAGTTTGATGCTACAGTTACGGAACCGTTTTTACCTACGATGATGAAATAAGATGGCGTGCTACTCGATAGCAGCATGAGTCATGCCAGCATTGGAGTCGGGTCAATCATTTTTATCATTGTGGTGACTATATAGAGGGGCAGGCGATGAAAATTATCTGCGCTAAATACCCCTCAAATGGCTTTGACATTAGCATAAAGTATTTAGGCTCACTCCTTCTTTTAAAGACATCCTAACTTGTGGCCTTACAAAAAGATGTATTAATTGAGTTAAATGGTAATTAATTGGTCAGAAATTAGATTCGGATAACTTAAAGTTGCTAAAAAATATCAGTCAGTTATTTCAAGAAGGAAAAAGCCCTTCTAGTACTAACCTGGCTGTATTTTATGTTGTAGAAGGACACTCCCCCGTTCGTTGTTCTAAGCTCATCAATTTGAAAGTAATCATGGAGGAGCAAATTGTCTCTGCCGCTTTATTCCTACCCGAATCGACTGACTGTATAATTCAGAAATTTGGAGTTTAAGATAATGTTAGAGACAAAACCACATATAGGTGATGCTTATTTGGGTCATTAACGTCAATGGGATGCCACTATTTGGCCATCTTTAGTGTTTGCCTTAAGCCAAGTTGGCAATATTGCGGCGTCACAAAATGCTTCCAAAATTCTCACACTCACATAAAGCGCTTTGGAGAGAGGGTATGTAAACTGCAAAAACCGCACTCTCCTCCAGCTCTCTTCTCGTTCTTATCAGAGACGGAATAGCTAAAGTACATCTCAACTGCCTCTCTATTCATTCACACTTAAGAGGGCCACATTCCATGGAAAAATAACCGCCATAGAAAGCCGTCTTAAACAACAAAGGTATCAACATTTTAATTCTTTTGTAATTTTTCCTACAATGCCTGGACATAAATGCATCAAGTAAGATCAGGTTCGATTACCCTAGGATGCCAACTATACGTGCCGAGTTTAGGCATCTATATGTCTTCTGAAAATTGAAATTAATAAATCCTATAATCTTTCTGTAAAATGTGAACAGTTACTCCCTTTTCTTTTTCTAACTTTCAGTCAAGCAGAGTACACGCAGCTTGCCAGTTCCAAAGAGACATGCACAAACGCTACTTGGGATTAACTAACTCCATTACTTGCGTTCCGTTAAACAAGTAAAATGGGATGGTGATGAGAAAGTACCCAAGATAATCAGTAACATAATCTCACTCCAGCATCCTTGCAATGATTTCCCATATTTCAGTTAGTTGATGAGGTATAAGTTGAGGTCTGTCCAAAAGGTCATATTGATGTCTCTGTCTCCGGTCCAGAGGCATTTCCCCGTTTTGCAAATAGGACCTATGCAACTGTCACAGATATGTACAACTAGTCAGAACGCTGTTTACCGGGTCTAGTCTGTGACATGTGACACCTGTGTATGGGTCTACCAGCGTGGAGTTGTTTTGGTGTTTTTCAAATGAAAGTGGAACTGAACAAACTTGATAACTCCTCAGAGGATACTCTTGAATTGCTTGTGTAAGTCGAGATGCTAGTTAATTTTATTATTCTTCAACGACTCAAATGAATTATTCTACATTTTTTTATTACAAATATTGCGTAGATTAGAACAATGAAGTACTTCCTTATCCATAAATTTGCATTAAACCAACTGCAAAATTCCTGCTCATATATAAACTGTGTAGTAGCAAATGTCATAACATCATGCCGAGTTTGGGAGTACTCACCTTTAAAAATAGTATCACGGATGAATGTGACAATAAAATAAAGTTTTATTAATATTCCTATCTTACTTCAGCCCAGCATGCCACAAATATGGTATGTGTACTTGATTAGTTCATTGTCAAGTGCGTTTGCATAAAATCTTAGCACGTATAAACTGATTAAGCTTAAAACGATAGAAAAGATGTAGGATGCTTCTATTAAGAGTAGGATTGCATTTTTTTCATTTTTTAAGCAGTAATTCAGTTGGTTGGTTCAGTGGCGCAAGTGCCAGTGGCGTTTAGAAACACTCGAGCATCCTGACTGCGGTGGTCTCTTTCCCTTAGAGATCATGCAAGGGAACGTAATAAAAGGATATGAATAATTAATACCAAAAGCACTAACTCAGATAAAATTGATGTTAAAATATGGTCTTGTTTGAATGAAAGCTGCTTCGCTCTTCCATAACTGAATCAAGTTTGCAATGAGAACCATTTAAAGTTTTTGCCTATTTAGATCACAGTTGAGCAGGATGTAAGAGGATTTTCTGTTTTGAAATAGATGCTACAATCTAAACGAACTCCCCCATTTTGGATAAAGGCTATTTTATGGTATCTGTGAGAGTAATGCGCATGAATCTAAGGAAATTTTAACCAACAATGCTCTAGACTGCAGCTCTTTTTAATACTTATGAATAAGGCAATTCATTCTAAGACCTGGACAATGGCCTACACATTAAATGGGTAATAAAACAGAGGCACGACTCCTCTCCATGTGGCCCATAACATAAGTTACAAGACTTTCGTTTCAGTTTCCCTAACCATACGACACAGTCTATGACACATCTCCACCACGTAGTTTACTCATGTGAAATTCTGTAAATGCGAAGGCGGGCTAATGACTAAGCTGTATTCAAAACCAAGAAAAATGGGACGTTTTAGTACGAGACTGAATTTCTCAAGTTTATTCAGTACCTACGCAATTAGATTAATGAGTCGAATTTGTGTTATATACGCTATACACCAAAATAGAATTCTAAACTCTTCCTACTCGGTTAGAGTTAGCGAAGTAAAGCTGCAGCAAACCGAGTGCAGCTCTTTAATTGTTTGCCTTGATCCTCAGTCTTGGAGAAGGGCCAGTAAGGGGGTCTACTATTGCACACCCTCCCGGCGGCCTAGCCTCCAAGCCATGCCAGTAGCCCCCAAACCCTTTAATAGGTCAACAATACATATTCTTCCCAAGTGTCATGTCTCCTTTCATCGTTAAGGCGGCCTCAAGGTGCTACACATGCATGCACATTTTCCGACAGCTATTAAATGAAGTCTGCAATGTCGCCTAGTTTTCATGAAGATTACAGGCTCCGGATACATTCGTATTACACAAAAATGACCTTTATCAACAAACTCCCATGCTGACAGTAGGTTTAACCTAACCACATGACGCAGTCACAGTAATCATGACTAATAAAATCAGCAAAGTGCACACGATTCAGAATCCACAAGGGCGGTAACTTTTGCAGGTGCTGCAACCCTCCCCGCCAAGAAAAGTGGCTACTGATCCCCCAACCTCTTGCCTCGAGGCAAAGTATTTGAGGTCATCATGCTATTAGTAGTACGATAAAATGGAGAGGTGTAAGCACCATTCGATTCTCCTAGTATTAGCACCTTATTTTAAGAGAGGTTGAAGAGTCTCATTGAGGGGGTCATAACAACTTTCCGATCTTAGATTTAAAAAAGAGCAGCGACTTATCAAAAATAAATTGACGTTTGAGAAGCTAGGCTTTGAACTGCCAATATCTTTAACAGTTTAATGAAAATTAATCCCTTCATTGACTTTTGCATTAAAATTAACTCAGTGACAGAGTTTCAACACCGTGTGTCGTCTGGTGCTTTGGGTAGTATGACTGTTTTCACACGGGTCCACACTACTGCAGTGCTAGCTGGTTAAAAAATTAAAACTTGGTGTGGTTATGCTTAACAGCTAGAAAAGAACTAACTTTATGTGCAATTTTACTCACTTTCTCCCACACAACAGTGTCCTTTTATGGAATTCTTTATTCTCATCTTCTTAACGTGACTTAAGGTTAGTTTCATGGGACTCCTTTAGAAATCTCCCAAAAGTATCAAATATCCACGTTTACAGCCGAGTAATAATTTTCATCTCAAGTTAGCATCATTTTATCCGCTGCCAGTAGAATGACATATCGCTTTCATCAGATTAGGTAACTGATTGCAACTAATCGTGGCCCAAACAAATTAATTGAAATGTGTAGCTTTATTAGAACAATAAAACGTCTCAAATTTCTTCTAAGAATCTAGCAGTGAAATTGCTAATTTAACGGCAAAAATAAATTAATTGGATATTTCACTAGCTCAACGCAATTCTGATCATCCGTCAACTCCGACTAGTTGTCATTTAAAAAATCTAAACGGTATGAAAGCCTGGCCAGTTCAAAACGAATCTCCTTTGCCAAATTCACCCATTCCTCAATGGTACTTTTGGATCACAGTGCTAGCCTGAGACTGCAGCAACTTTAATAAAAGCACAATTAGTACACTGAAAAGGCCTAACCGAATTGGACCAGTTGAATGGTCCACTGTTATGGGGCGGAGGTTGCAATTCTTTGTGGACGGGGAAAGGAGAATGGGAGGGAGAGCAAGAGAGCATTTGCTTTGCTCACCTCTTTTTGGACCATGGGTCTAGACACCCAACCTAAGCGCGTTGTGGCCGTGGCCTCGCCGGACATACGCGCGTCCATGAGTGTTGGCGGTTTTTGTGTGGCAGTCCTAACCCTACAGATGTAAGAAGTTAAGAGATTTTAGACTTAAATGTGTTTGAAAGCGCTGCCTTTTAGTACTTGAAACGATTGTCCACTAAAATTTGAAGCCTGCACCACTTGGTTGACGGTAACTGGCATATTTTCCTCAGACTCAGCCCCTTTTCTTTGAATGCTCCCTTATTTGCCGCTTAATTTAATGGTTGACCCCGGCTTATGATGGCTCTATGATCTAGCTTTGGAGCTGTTATCTTCAATGCAAGCTTCTGTCACTGAATTTATCTACATTTTAATTTTACATTCGTTTTCTTTAACCTTATCTTCCTATTACTAAGCTGGCTGTATGGCGAAATTACAGGAGGAAAGACGTAGTAACTAGTGTCAGAAAGAAACTCCTGTTTCTCAAAAGACTCACAAGGTTAGGACTAACAAATTAATACAGTTGTACTAATACCATCTTGCGTCTATGCTTAATGTACAAGGAACGATTATTTTAAAAGGGAATGTTCATTTTTAAATCCACCCTAGTAGCACTAGGTGCTGCTTGTGTTCCCTTGCTTACTTATAGCCAGTGCATATACCGTTCACCAGCCCAGACAGCGTTGGTCAAAGTGGGACACAAAGATGGCAACGGTTGCCTGTGTGTGCCAGCATTTGGTGAAGAATGACGTTTCCTGTGAACCAAGGCGTTGGATTAGTGGATGCTTAATATTACGGAAGACGAGTATCCGCTTGTCAACGATGCTTCCAGCAATGGTTGTTCTTAGCCCACAGCACAGTAATCATTCTTATGAGAATTCAACCACTGCGTAAGACACGTACTTGATCCTGGAGACCTGATTGACGGAAGGTTAACACAAAAAATTGGTGCACGCCGACTGCTAGGGCAGCTTTCCACAGGCCGTCCTCCTGGCTGTTCTGATGCTTTGCATGCATTAGTCAAATGTGTTTATCGAACAACAAATGCTGTTTTCGGTTTGACTTGATTGTCCTTCCAAATCAGCTTTATTATCAACCATTGTGCGCAATGCGAAACTAGTCCATTTCGAGGTTTGTTGGGGTCACACTTTTACGCCCACAATTTGTGTACAGCGATGGCACTACCGGTAGTGATGAAAAGGAATAGATCATACTGGCACCATTACTGTGGAGAAGTACCTTTTGTAACCCTCCAGAGGACCAAACTACCACTTGAAATGCTGTTGAGAATTCCAGAATAAATACTTTTACTGCTTACTGCAGCGCCAAGCACTTTTTAACAATCTTTAAATGCCATCTAGGTAACTGATATAGTGGCAAAAATTGTCGATGAGATGTTGGCGAATAATCGCTTTCATCAAGTATTGAGAACAACAAAAGAGAAGACGCATGCACCAGCCGAGAAGGTAAGCACCAACTTTTCTACTTTTCGACATGACTACCACATGTAATCTGACTTAAAGGCATTAAACGTCAGCTTTTACGCGCCATTGTGTAAACGCGTCTGGAGGTGTCAAAGACAATGGTAAAGAAGTGCAGTTTACCTTGCGCGTGCGTTTTAAATTGCTTATCTGAAGGAAGATAAGCAAGTCAGTTACAGCTTATTCATTCTCCCTAATTAACAAATTTTCAATGAAAGAAATCTTTGACAGGAGGTAAAATTCGAACATATGTGCAGGTCTTTGCAACCGCCTTCATGCGAACCAATAAAATTTAGGCTTATAATACGGTTATGCTTTCGTAAGCATCTAGGCAGGATCGCTTTAGGCAACCCCAAAAATGTTAATTTATAACACTGAACTCTCATATTGTTGAATAGCAGGTAAATTTACCTACATGGTACAGGGTTAAAGACAGCCAAAAGTGTGGTTCAGTCCCTCATAAGAGACCGTTGGCCTTATTTGGAATGAGTCGTTAAGTGGAAGGAATGCGTCTAGCAACAAAAACCACCTTACCGGATACTGGTACACAAATCGTAGTGATTATATGGTAAACAATCGGAGGAACTTAAAGGCCAAAATCACCTATTCGGAGGGATGAATTATATGCTCCACTCTGTCCTTAATGAGTGCGACTGTTCACACGACGCAGTAGATTGTGCATCGTTAATTCTGTCGAATTCTCCTACAATCTGAGTAGCTAAGTGGAGCCGGACAGAGGGGTTAGCTGATGGTTGGAGTTTAAATTTAGCATCTGGTTGGGGAGATGACACACAATTCGACACATTTTATCAGTGATGAGGAATAGGGTATGGAGGAAATTAATCTTTACTGGACTTTCAACTATTCGGGACCTAAATTCTATGCTTAATTTTGGGATGGAGTCTAGCCTAAACAAACTTCAATGCCCTTTATTCTAGGAGATCTAAATCTCGAGGGATTGCTTTAAATAGACGGTTAGCCACCTACGTAGGCTTGATAAAAATACTATCCTCTGACGTTAGTATATTTGGACGATGTTACTTGTTTTAAAAAGTTTGTTTTCCCATTTGGACACAGGATGCCATTGGAACTGTCCGTAAAGTCCACAAAAAGCAGTTTTGGCACATCGAATTCCAAATAAAACCAATTCTAATCTTCACAAACCCCTTGCTTATAGCAGTTTGCACCTACCTTGAGGGGACACTCGTACGCAGATTGACCCTGTGGCCAGCCCTGCTATGAACACAAATGTGCGTTAGCCGTGTCCTCGCTCAAGCCAGCTAGTCGGCGAACTCGGGACTGATAATGACCAGATGTGACAAAACGGTCAAGTACAGCAGCATTCACGAGGTGGCAGGAGCTGTTTAGTTCTTGATCAACGACTGATCTTAGTTGGTAGCCGTGATTCAGACGTAACAACCTGTCAGGTCTGACAAATAGGGCAACTGTCCTTCTCACCCAGCTTCTCTATGCCATTGCCGGGCCTCACCGCGGTTCGACACTTGCAGTGATATAACGCATGCACTGCTGAGACGATACGTTTAGGAAGGCTTGGTTAGTGCACCTCCTGAGAGTACCTCAGTGGCAAAACTTGTTTGAAAAATTATACTTGTCTTTCCGAGGGGTATTTGCACATCAGCATTGATTTGGGATAATAAGAGCCGTAAAACCCATTTGTGTACTAGATACAAATGTCCTGAATGACTACAACCCTTACGCAGTAGAGGTTCCATCTTGACTACGAATTTTACGAACAAATAAAAGAGGTAATACATAGATCCATGCAGTAACTTGGGCTATATTAAGCATTTAATTAATCTTATTTTTGATTCTAGCTTCCTATTTAATGAAGCATCTTCTTCATTATCTTGAAGCACCTAAGCACTCCCCTCCACTGAGGAATTTTCGCTGGTGAACCACTCACCTGCCCATATCCTGTGTTTTATAATTATTTACTTTTCCTGTCTGTGTACATTCGTTGTTGGTCAAAGAGGTTGGCCTATTACTTGCTAGGTTTCAGTTTACGCTGCGTTTGCAGTCGGAAAATAACGGACTTAATCAGTCATAAGGGGTGGACGTGTGAAAATTTCGTCTTAATATACACCCCTAGCGAGATTGTGTATGATGTGGCTAGGTATTTTTTCCAGACAGAGGCCATGTCGCTTACGCTAATTAAAAAGCGTCTCCTAAACTCCTTTTTGCGCGTCATCATTGTAATGTGCTCTTCTTGTAACCGGCGTAAATGATTACATACTTGGGTTATAATCTGGACTCCAGGAGGCTAGCAAAAGTGTGGTGGAGTGGGTTCCTGCCACGGGTATGGTTCATGGGCGTGAATAATTAATTTATTTACCCCCTTGCATGCAGAATTTCTGGCGGAGAGAGTAGTAGGGTAGAAAGGTCGGATTTGGTCAAACTCTTGAAGAACATGAAATTTTTGCTCTTTGTATGCAAAGTGGGATTCGTTGTCACATTGCTTAGGTAACAATTGCACGAAACGCCTTTGTACCGAAGGATGGCACTATATGCACTGTAGCTTTAAGTTATGCAGTGTTGTTACGATTTGACACTTTGCCACCGGTTTCCGATTCCAGATTAATGCCTACCAGATACAAAGAGCCGAATAAAATCCACTGTAGTGGTGATCCGATGTTCCCTTTCGTGGTACTCTCTGCACCTGGGAAGTTATCGGATTCCGCAGTTCCAGAGTCTGACAATCGGGAGATCCCATTTAAAATAGATTGTCTCTTTTCTTCATCAATCCATTCATTCAGGCTTCACAGGGTGGAACTTGACTAACAGTCGCTGAGTTGTGACGCAAATCATCGTGGCTGCATCCTTTGTATCACGCACATGCACACACGCAAAAACCTTCAAATAATACATCGCTTAGGTGTGTAATTAGGCACCACTAGACTCTGATCACCGAGTTAGAACTAAAGGATAAAGTCCATCTCACCATCTCCTACAGAGGATCATTAGAAGAGAAGCTGGTGGCTTCATACGGGATTGTCAATCCATATAACCTACTTCATTAGCATGTGGTTGTTTGGGTTGTATGCGAAGCTGAAAGGGTGGTATCTTACTTCCAAATGGAAAGGTATTTAGAGTTGCAACACTAAAAATACCTACAGTTTCTGCATTTGTGTTACAATGCAGCCACGCCAAATTCATAATGCCTAGGCATAAAAGTTCATCACGCAATTCCACCACACAGCAGATGCAGGGTTAAGGTCCTTTTATGAACTTACTCGGAGCCAACTACTTCCCTGCTGAATTGAATGCACCAGAGCTGATTGTATTTATTGCAAATTTTCTGTGGTTGATACTCGGTACTAGGTGATTTCTAAATTTCACCGCCTTTGAATGTCTATTTAATTCATTCATCCACGCGTTTCAAAAAAGAAGAGCAAATTCCATCCCCACTTGTTCGCGTCATAACAATGTTGCAACGTACACATTATTGACGTAAAAGGTAACTCAGGTGATTATTCCAAAGGTGAGAAAGTATGCAAAAATCATTGTGGCTTTGAAATAAGTTGATAAACTTAGGAACGGTGTATCGGATATGGTGCTATGTATTATTCCGAAGCATGAACATGAGAACACAAAATGAGGCAGAGCAGAGATATCGCTTTTTGAAAGCTTATACAAATTCCTCATGTTGGAGCCTTAGAGTAAATGGACGAGCATCATCCAGGTGTTTTATTAGTCTATTATAACACGAACTATAGTTAATGTTGTTGACAATTTTCGACCCTTGTTCGTAATTTCCGAAAGTTTAGCTAACCTCGGAAGTTTTGCATTTAAGAAAAGTTTATTGGTAAAACGTTCACCTCTTACACAGGTGTCATTTCGAAGCAGAAAAACTGCAATTGAAATCTGGAGCGAAAATGCAGATTTTGTAGATTAGTTTCATTGTCAAATTTTCATGCTGCAAGTTTTTCATAATTATGGACCCAACTTGCACTCCTGCTTGCTTTCAAACGACAGGCGAAATGCGTGAGGGAGTGGAGTGCCTCGTACTGTCTTTCAGACACGGCAATAGGCTGCTTACGTGAAGGTCACTTCCGCATAAAAGTCCTCCTTAAAAGCCTGGGAGTGTCTGTTCACGGGGAGACGTTTTTTAGGCCATGTATAATGACATTTGGGATTGGAACAGAGTATAAGTTCTCCACTCCACGGTGGATTTTATGATCTCACAAACAGGCCGGCCACGCCCCTTCCTGTATTATTTAAACGCTCATACCCATAGTGCGAGAAAATCGCAGTCCTCTGTAGTGGATCCTCGACTGTTAAAGATGATTAAATCTTTTACCTGAGGTTGCAATTACACCCATCAAAAAGTGATACAGTCGGCTTAGGCTGAGAGGGGCAGAAATCGGTAGGATGGAAATAAGAAAGCCAAAAACTTGAAGCTTTGATGCATTTACACTTAAAGATGGTGGAAAGTACATGGCAAAATACGGAAATAGCGTAAATCAATCCACCAGAAGTAACGCAGGTAACTGGATATGCGGCGAATAATTACCAATCGCAAAAAGTAGCTGGTCTTCTAACAATCAGTTGGAGTGTACCTACTTCCACTGCATCTGCAACGGGGCGTAACGCAAGGCGGGTAATTTTCTTACCTGAATGCAACCAATCCTTTTTGAGTTACCGTCCTTCTAGATTTGCACTTTAGATAGAGGCAAAGATGTCAATTTTGATTAGCTTAATGAGTTTTAAAAGCTCATTTGCATAAATGTATGTCAAAGGTAGGTTTTGTAGCCACTTATTTTGATTTGCATCAAAAAGGTGATTTTGGCATTCTAAAACTTCCCAATGGATAAGCCACAGTGGGTAGATTAAATAAACCCCATTGGAACACAAGTAAGCAACTATTTGAGAATGTTTTAAATGTAGTAATTGTTCCTCTTAATTGATTGCCATTGAAACAAAAAGTTTAATTTCTCTAACATCACCTTTTAAGCACTTATCATTAGAACCACATTTGAGCTCATCAACCAGAGAGTCTCCAACACAATAAATGCATGCATGTGTTAGGACAAATAAAAGAAGGAAATAACATCATGAAACAGAAATTCTGAAATCAGATAGAGTCGGTGGTGGCAGTGGTTCTTTGTGATCGGCGTTGGATCAACTCGTTGACTCTTTCCCGTTTTACACTCTCAGGCAGGAGACACATCTCCATCCATCGAGAGAAATTCGCAAAGGCCTGATTTGGAATGTCCATCAGTGAAGGTATGGCCCGAGTTATCAGTCGAAAGAGCGGTAGACACACGACCTTGTAGAAGTTGGACTAAAATTTCACAGACGGTGAGAGCAACGACTACCACAACAGCAGAGGAAAGCACATACCTCATCTTTCGGTTAAAGCACAATACAAGGAGAGAGATTTATTTCTCGATAGTGCACTTTTAAAATAATCATACACACATACAAAGCATAGCTGCATATATGCGTCTGTGATCTCAGGGTGATTGGTGCATGGGTATGAATGCAACTGGTGCATTGCTGTTTACCTTATGGTGACATTGAGAATGTGGCATCTCTCCTTACTGAGACAAAAGCTTGATAAACAAATCATCACGAAAAATAGCTGAATAGCACTAGACGATGGCTAGCATAAGCAACCGTGATCAGTACTGCTCCAATCATGTGTCAGCACTTCATGCTGTCAATTTAATGTTCATCAAACAAATTAGCAGTACCAAGGAAGATCAAAGTACGGTTGTGTCGTGTATTTGAGCACTTAAGAGGACAAATATACATTAAGGAACCGACAAAACGAAATGCAACACTCATGCACTACTGATTAGCACTTCAGCATTTCATAACTGTTGAAACCGCAACTTCAAAGTTATTAAACAGTGAAGTGAACACTGCCATTTACGCATTTGGAGGGAATAAGTTTACTTGTGAGAGGTTGGACTGTAACCACGCTGAATCCGCGATATCTGGTATTACGTCTTCTTGTAAGAAGAGTGAGACGGTGCTGGCAATTGAAAGAGTTTGCATACCACGGGTAAAATACCAAATTTTTGGGATTGAAATGTAGCTGCACACCACGAATACCCAAAGCCAAGTCAATAAACATCAGAGTGTTCGTAAAACGGAGAGGCATTGTTAAGGTTGCGAAGAATTTTTTGCGCACCCTCTGATGCCGGAAAACAAACGAACTCCAAAGCGCCTCCAGCCACCAACTGCTGATTGGTTTCGCCGCTGTCAGAATGGTTAACCACAATGCTGCATGCCACCTGACTTCAATTTTCATACTACTTTTACGTGCTTCGATGTGCACTATCGCTAATGAACTTTTATGTGGTGACGTACGCATTTGCCTTCACAAGTGGATCAGTCAAAGTACAAGTGAACATGTTTGAAGGTGATGCATCGGTACATAGCGTAGAGATGGTCGTATCCACCGATACAACAGTGACAACAGCAACGATTGACTCTGGCCACGTTGGATTACCTGGACATACGTTATGCAAATCAAATACACCACTGTCACCTCATATGAAAGTGCAGCAATATCATCCTTCGTGATACCTCTGGCAATCACATACTTCATGCTTTGCGGTTTACCGGCATCAAAAGTTCGTTAACATATTTGCTACTAGGGTCTTGAAGAAAAAACCAGCACTATAACCCAGATATTTCGTTGTTTATGTGCGATATCAACACCTGTGTTACCAGACGGATCAATTAAACTGACTTCCCCAAGCTCAAGAAATTATATCTTTTATTTGAAACCTAATAAATCCATTAGTGATAGAAAATTTAGCGTAGCTATGTGTCATGATGTGATAAATACCACATTTTTCACTTTTTGGTCCCTTGTTTAGTTAAGATTGGGGTGTCACATATATGTGACAAAAGTGGCGAACGCAATAAGCACGTACGAGATAACAGTATACACTCTAAAGGACACCCCGACATTAAAGGCAAAAAAAGATTTTGCATCTTAATGGAATCGGGCGTTGGATGTTACAGAGAATTCCATAAAAACACGATCATCTACAGGAGAATATTACTGTGGATTAGGAATTGTTTAAGACGATTTAGAGTCACAAATTCGTAGTCTTAAGCGCATTTTAGTGCACTGGGGCATGAAATATGCAGGAGCACTTACTTGTTAAGTCTTTGAAGTATGATAGGTATCAGTAAACGGTTTTCTTAGTGCATTGAGAGAGGGAGAGTGGGTAAAATCTTTCTAATGAGAAATTTCACACGAATATTTTGCAGTAAGGATGATGTTCACACTTCTGCTGCAAGCTTTAAGCTACCGTGATACAAAGTGTTCGGCTCCAATTATTAAAAAACGGAAACAAAGTATACAGTTTATCCAAACAGAGCTGTCGTTATGGCGCATGTTAGCGAATTAGACTATACGATCTTATTACAAGGTTTATCACCAACGCGACTTCATAGTGGTCTCCATGTGTGTAGAGAGCACAGACAGCAGGTCGACCCCCATTGCAATGTCCGAGACAAAGCTACTACCTTCCGACGGTTAACATTCTTGCCCGCGGACCAATGGGAGAGTCAGGACACGCTCAAAATGGGTCGTTAAGTCTTCCCTTCACTGCAGATTGATAATAGCTGCCTCTGGGAAATATCCAAATAAAATGCAATACTTCTCTGTTAGCATAACTAAAGATTGCATTAGCGTTCCAAATACTCATTAGCCTAAATGTCATATCAAATTTATTTCGTTAGCGTACAATTTCCATATACATAAAACGAATCAGTTCAAATTGCGCCACCTATGTAATGTTTTAAAATGTCGATGGATAAATGGAGCCGAAGAGAACCCAGGTTTAATAGAAAGTTGCACTAAAATCCAATCAGTTTATTCAATCCCGGCTAACGCTGCGCTTTAAACATTGACTTTCAAATAAAAAAACCCACATAGCAATTACAGAAGAGACCTTTTTTGCCATAGCTTCCATTGTTATTAAATTGGAGGAATGATTCTGCTTCGAACCTTGCACTATCAGGGTCTTGGAGGTAAACCAGCCACCGCAAGTCCTCGCAACTGTGTCTTTGTAAGTGCGTACGCGCAATCGCATGAGAAAACTCACAGTCGTGAAAGAGAAGGAAGCGGCATTTGTGAAGAACAATTGAGAAAGAGCGCAGGAGAAGGCACGCAATGAGCATAAAGTGGAGATGACTGCAACAATGTAATTGCTCAATGCCAAGGTGGCAGTTTTGTTACCATCTTGTCCTCAAATGTCCGTCTTACCCTAGCCCCCCACAACCTAAATACACTCCCTGATGGCAGATTGGTGAGAGGTTTAGGCTTACATCTAGACCCTCGTCTGGTGTACCTAAGACTAAGCGTTAAATGTAACCCTTTTGAAACAAAAATAAACACAAAATCGACTAAAACATTAGATACGAATGATTTACTTTGAAATTTATTCACTGGAAATTCTTCCTTTTCAAATGACTCTAAGTTTCTTGTTCACAAAGAGGCTTAGCACAAAAAAGGTACTTTTAATGCATCGTAGTTATGATGATGGTGCTGTAAATAACCAACGAACCTACTTTACCCACTCAGATAAGCCTTCAAAAAAAGAAAACCCAATGGTTATGAATGCTGGGACAGAAAATAAAAGGATTAAAACGAGATAGAGTCATTGAACTCATGATTTCTCAGCTGAGATAGGTAGAACAATCGGACGAAGGCTTGTGGTAACTTTTATGATTACTGACTCTTCTTTACCTCTGATGATAGAACACACATTAAATTTTTACATATGTCTTGCGAATGTATTGGGAAATAATATGACGGCATTTGATTTGATGGTAGTTTGATTACGTGAGCTCTTCAGACGTCGTAATTTTCGGTCACCGTCCTGGGGCATGGCAAAATGTTTCTATTACTAATAATAGCTTACTGACCATTCTCAGCGTCAATAAAATATTTTCTTCCACAATGACATACTATACTTCCGGCTTCAGGGGCGGTTCGAGGCGTTTCACAGTCGCTTTTGAAATATTCCGGGATTGTGGTGTAGGCGTGACTACACAACCTCGAAGGTGGGGCAGAGGTTTGGCGCCAAAATCACGTGTCGTCTCGCAGAATGAGTCACGCATGGCATCTTGGACCCAGACAGGGGTGGTACTACGACAACTTGATATATGAACTTGAAGGTGTCTAGTTGGAGGTTGAGGCATGTCTAAACCAGCTTAGGCAGCGGATCCAGACCATAGCAACACTACAGGTTACCGCTTTTGCCCGGGTGACAACACAAACTATCGAAGTGGAGGGAATAGGAGGAATGCTACCATAGTTGCAGATACTATGCACATCGAGTACAGTGATGGCTCACTGTAATTTTACAACGCACATGCACACCTAAACAACGATGGTATGATGCCAAATTCGGCAGGCTATAAAATTGTACTTCGTGGAGGAATTGATCTACGCGAAAAGTGGTTGGTCGAATCGAACGTGGCTGTGGTCGTGTGCCCTTGGCAGTTGAATTACCTGCATTTCTGGAATTTGATAATAGAGGTCACGATTCATTAAGTCCATTGGAATGAAACCGTTCTTCTTCTCTTCATCTCCCTAAAATGGAGATAAAACTTCATGGTAGTGTTCACCCACGCATTCGTTTGATGAATCCACCACCATTTATATACATGAATAGATAATAGGAAACCTAAATATGGAACTGCGTGACAAACTAATCCATCCTCAAGGCGCAATTGGCATACTAATTCAAACCAGTCTTTTCGGCTCTAGCTGTTAACTCGTGTGAATGGTGAAGCCGTGCAAATATAAAGGGGGCATTAGAGTTAATGCAAGTGCTTCCAAAGCCTACTTGTGCCCACATTTCTTCCATAACGAGGAGAACGACCTTTTTATGCACCTCCCACGGTTTGTACATGGAGCATAAATCTGCAACTGGTAGTGCAATGGCCACTGTCGCCATTCTAAGAGAAAGAGAACATTAGAGAGGTAGACGACTAAAAAATAACAAGTGCGATTCAATTAGCATATGGCCAGTCAGCAAAAAGTGTACAAAAATTCCAGACACTTCTCTGCGCTCTTCCTAATTCTCTTCGCCTAGCGTGTATTTACATTAAAATGCTTCCCCTTTATCCAGAGGACTAATTATAGCCTACCTTTATCACGATTAGATGGGTCTCAACTAAATGTAGGCGGTTTGATTCGGAATAAGATGCGACTAATAACTTCAATTAATATTTTTGGTCAAATACGGGGAAATGTATGAACTGTACTAGTTGTGATATTAAGAAATATCCTAAAATATCAGTTTTCATTTAGTAAACGCGGCGACTAATTAAAAGGGGAGATATGAATACTCAAAATCAAATGTAAGAATTGCTAAATTAGTAGTACTGGACACTCATGACAAATAAAGTTAACTTCTCTTGATTAGAGTATGTCACGATATCATTTCAACCGCAATAGGTTACTTTGATCTACCTACAACCTTAGATGCTTATTAGAGAAATGACGCTATAATAATTTCAAAACACCTGTGATCTTTGTTGTCCCAGTCGATGGCACCGCGTTTGTCCAAAATGTCCGTCACCACTTCCTTCGAGGCGTCCAGTCGGCCGAGATCAGTAGACAAAATTGCGTGTTTTATTATCATCAGAATCTGCACAAATTATTTATGAGAAAACAAAGTGCATCATGAAAGTATGGGCCTGTGACCTCCACTACCGCCACCACCACCATTTGGTTATGATAAATGAGGCGGCGGTAAACGGTCAAAAGGTTATGCCTCGTATCAAAGTTTATCTCTGTGAGAGTGCAATTCTGTGATAATTATGAACAAATCCAATTGCGTTAAGGGTAAAATCACATTATTGGAGTAAAAAATGGGGGAGATAGCCCAGCAAAATGAGGATAATTTTTACGAAGAACCCACACTTAAAAAACTGCAGAAGGACGCGCTTCAGTGATTGTAAATGTTTAAGTCCGTTGGTAAAGTTAATTCAAAAGGAATGCGAAAAAGGTCAAATACAACAGTCTCTAAAAGGCGTCACCGTATGTAAACAGGTGGGGAGTTTGGGCCAAACGACGTTGATATTCTATGACTGAACCTTTTAAAAGTGTTTACACCCGAATGAGGACCTTCGAGAACACAAACTATTGTCGCTAAAATATCTCATTCTGAAAGTCCAATAGTCTAAAATGGTACGAAGCTTTAATTGTTATTGGCAATGTAAAACTTCCGCCAGAAAGAAATGAGTTTGGCCAGAGACAAAGCCTTAATAAATGTTCTCTCAGCAAGCACTCACATCGAGGTTTAAGGTAGTTCTATTCTATTTTTGGAAAAGTTTCCAAGTTCTAGAGGCGAAGAGAGTAGAAATACTGCCTTAAATCTAAGTGCCTTCTTCAATCGTCTCGTGAACTTCAGACTTCATATCCCCCTGCAGCCTATAGTATGTGACCCCTTACACTGGCCAGTCAGATGAGTGAACTTTGACGATGAACACCAGACTGAGCCAAAGTTGCCCAGTTATTTGCCAAGGAGTGCCAATTTTTGCGTCTCACAATTTACATGTTCACTATTCCATCATTAATGAATTGCCAAATTTGTTGAGGAAATCGCTTTTAAAGAGAAGACGTAGAAAGGGGGAGAAGAAGAAGAGTAACAGATACTAGTTTTCAAAAGCTCCGCCTTACATTTATTCTTTAGCTGGGAAAAATAGACTCTTAGAACGGTAAGGGTACAAATGCTTATTTGATAAATGGATTTGAGGGATTAATGCAATCGCCTATAACTTTTCAATACATTGTAGAATGCAGATGTTTAAAGATTCAAGTTGAACGTAATGATTTAGTGTTGAGCACAATAGAATCCCATTTGACCCATTTTACCTACCTTAAAAAAATCAAGTGAATGGTTCAAGCTTAAATGCGGACCAGTAAAATAAATCTGGTGGTTATGACAAAGGAGGGATTTGTCAAAGTTACCAAAGGTTGCAAAATTTCATAAAATTTCATAAACCAACAAATTGTTTGAAGGAGAACGACGATTGTTCAATATACTATGCAAAAAGTAAAATCAGAAGTAGGTAAGCTCATTCATGGTCTCAACTTCCAAATATCGCCGATTCATATAGGTCGGGGAAAGTACAATGATGACACAGAGGGGACCAATGATCTAGATTTGGCAGAGCAACTTAACTTTTCCCAGAAGGGAAGCATCTGCCCCCGTGAGTTTCAAAACAGGATGCACAACTGCTAAGCGAAACCTGTGCCTATCCTAAAAGTACACCATCAGGGTTACACTTGGCGAAAGTGAAAAAGGCTGCCTACGACGGTGGACTCAAGCCCACTTCCTGGGCCCATTATCATATACAGAAGCGACAGGCGTAGATTTACAGTTCCCAATTTTGCTAAATACTATGAAAAGCAGATAAATGCTGTAGATATGTTTGATGAATTGGCGGTAAAACGAAAAGGACCTACAATAATTAAGGCACATTTAGTAATATGCAGGAGCTGAGTTGACAGATTCAACTAATAGAAACATGCTAACAGAGATAGTGGAAACAAGAGACTAGATTTAGTAAAAGAAAAGAATATTTCTAGATTTGTAGTTCTTTTCCGATTCAGGCATGACTTAAACAATAAGTATTTCTATGATTCATAATTTTTCCAGAGACAGGATACATTACTGTAAAGTCGGTCGAACTTGAAGGCTATTCTACTTGGAGCAATTCTCTAAATAAATGACCTGCATAAGTTTTGTGAATTTATGCACATGGAGTGTTACTTTTTCTCCCTGAATGACGTCATCAAGCTTGTCTATTCTGACATTAATCGGAGACTGTGATTTCTGCCTTCATTGGGAAAGTGAGGACGTCAATAACAGGCCTCTATTGCATTCTTTAAGACCTGGTCAAGTAACCTTCACTAACAACTATTATTCGCCCTACTTGCAAAGATCACATGTTGCCAAGATTTTCGGAAGGCCTTTAATTTGAACATCAAAAACTCACTTAAACAAAAAGTGGACCACTGGAAGTGCCTTTCGTTTGTGCCTATGTGGTTCATTCACTCACCCGCTATTGAATTGGGTTGAATGCATCATTTAAGGCCAGTCAAGAAATTTGATTTATCTATGAAAATTGTGGTGCATTCCATTACATGATCCGGTTTATAGGCTGCCAGATTTTTTCAAGCTTAAATGCATGACGATCCAACAGTCTGGATAGCACTGTGTTCAAAGGTGGGGTGGGATGATAGAGGCAAGAAACAGCTTTCACAATGAGAGCACTGCTGAACCAGAAACATTAAAGTATCATTGTAAAATCATTTATGGTCGTTTAACAAAATAATGTAGTTTTGTGGACTTTTCTAGGCCGAAATAGTCAGAAGAAAATTAGTTGGCAAAAGTCAAGAGACAGGCCCATCTTAGCAATGGTATTGAGAGAATTCAAATAAATAACATCTATTAGAATGTAGAAGCAGATCCATAAAAAAGGATGCAAGTCGATCTACCTCATAGTACGAAGTTCCAGCAACGTGAGCGAAGATTTGATTTCCAGGTTGCTATGCAAGGAGAATACCACTACATAGAATTCATCCATGAACAGAGCTAAATTGTTTCCTAGCCTAATTTAACTGCCATATTGGATAATAAGCAAGAATTAATTTTCTACTAGCACAAGTCAATGATTCTCCCAAGAATGTGCGCCTTGCAGTTAGCATAACAGAGGAAAAGTCAACCAGCTAACTTTATACTTTATACTTTAACTACGCCTCCGCTTTTGGTCCCTACCCAGTCACGAGACCACTAGAGGCTGCGCTAATCTGGGCAAAAATTGAGGCAATCAAATTTGTGCATGTGGGCCCTTAAGAATGCAATGCCAGACACAGCATTTCGTGATGCCCAATAATTTAAGCAGGATACCCAAGTCAGTCTACTAATTGGGATATAAGTAGAGAGACGAAGAACCTGGAGAATGGTGAGAGTCATGTTGAAGTGATGATGCTCGAGGATTGAAGTCGAGTAGAGAGTGGCCAGTGGTGTACCCTTTTTGCGTTGGTAGCTGTTATCGGTTCCTCGATGGTCAAGATCGTGGCACAGGGCAGCGATGAGGATGCAGAGTTTCTAGAGTGAACAGAGTCTAGCAAATTCCAAGGTTAACTCACTTCGACTTGAGTGAAATTACAGTCTTCTCGTTTAATCTCTACGTAGGCACCGTGAGCTACCGAGAATCCATGGAACCAGTTGTGGTAAATCACGTCGCGGTAATTCTTCCTTACTGTCAGTGTAAATCGAATGAGGGTGTGGAGATCAATTCTGAATGGACATGGCAAAGTGTGCGTTGACAGTCTAATGCCATTTCAAGGAAAAATTTTGTACCAGTAACATTGATTTTGAAGTAATTTATGCTATACTTTCTTGTCTAACGATTATATTCTAACGTTCCTTTCTTGTATACTAGTTACCACACAGGTAGTTGAAGTTTGCATTGGAAGAAATAGCTGATGGGTCGTAATTTTTGACATAGGAGAGAATATACATAAAAATAAATTTGGCCTATCTTTATCGTTAAGATCGTAGTTGGATAGTTAACATTTCCCTAAATGCTACAAGTACCTACCACACAAATTATGAGTTATCGTGGCCTTGAAATTTTCCCTTAATAAAATTTTACTTTAGGGAGAAAAAAGGACGCTCTTCCTTTTATCAAATAAGAAATGTGTATTTTCTATGATGAGATTATGATTTCAATGTAGCTCAGTGGTATATTTGAGGAACCGATATTTTGGTCATCATGCCAGTGATTTAAAACTTGGAGTATTTTAAATATTCTAAGAAATTCTGAGGTTCTAAGCATTCGTAAGTGGCCAATTACATACTAAACAGACACAAAAGAATGTAACTTTAAAGCAAAGGTAATTAATGGTTTCCTTTCAGATTAGCGAGCAAGATGAAAGATACAGGGAAATCACCTACACCGATTTACCCATAACATCGTGAACCATGTAAATAAAGACTGCGGGCATTTCTTCATCAGGCATATGCCACGGGGAGAACAATGGTCTAAAAACACACGAAAAAAAACTCCACTTAATTAATGCCTAGTCGGGATGAAGTAGTGTTGAAGCAGTGTTTCGCTTAGATTGAGGATCACTTAATCATTAATACTAAGTGATAAGCAATTCAATGGAACACCCAACTGGGTGACTTGTCCACCAAATATGGCAAAAAGGAAGCTGTCTTCGCAATTACTTACTCCGTGATTCCAGGAATGTTGTCCGGTATTTCGTGCACGGAGTACTCTACAACATCACTATCTGAGGCGAGATTATGATGAAGCATGATTTCCATGGTTATTCGGCACTTCTGCTCTGATCGGAACATTTTTTCGTACATCTGAAAGTTAACGTAAAGAGGCTACCTGACACAGAGGTTAAATTTAGGCCAAGGTACCAAATAAAATGCTTAGTTAACTGTTAAATTCAGCAAAATCCTTGTCTAATTACAAAAGGTTCCTCATTTATCAGGCGTACGTAGTGGAGTGACGAAATTCTTACCACGACATTTGACTTTCGAAAGATCAGAGCAGGCCACTGTTTAATCAAACGTGCTTGTTTTTAGTTCAACCTAACTCTTTATGTTAATATTTTGAGGAACTATATGCTACAGGCGTTTAGATAACAGGTTTACTTTTGAAATGTAGAGCGCGAGTCCACAGAAGACTGAAAAGTCTTTGATGTTTTCCACATCATTAGTGTCAAATTCACCAGGTGTCTTGTTGAACAGTTGTAGCACAGCCACTACTCTAGAATGAAGAAAGCATGAGGGAAGTGTGATCAGGAATGCAAAATGCCCATAAAACAATACATGTAAAGGTTCATTTTACTACAGGAATGCTAAAGCAGTCCTAAAAATCGGTTTTGAAAGGATCGTAGTTCCATCAAAAATATGAAACAAGGAACAAATAAGGAGATTAACATAGAACAGTCAGGAAAAAAACCCATGAGAAACACAAGAAAAAGTGAATAGTATTTACAGTTACGAATGAAATATGAGTAATTGAGCTGAAGTGATTTAATACTGGATAGCAAAAATGCAGACGTTCTCGCCATAGTGAGGAGGTAGCGGTCTAACATACTCATTCCTGACTCTGATTGGAGCGGTAACCATGTTGAGAATTCGAAAGTTTTCACTGAAAATTCCTTCATGGTGATAGAAGTCATCATTTGATTGAGGGTCGTTGGTCACCAGACACTCGCTCGTATGTATTACATGACCAAATACTCCAACATTTAGAGGAACTCTAAAAGGAAGTTGATTAACATGTCGTTCTAACTTCGCCCTTCCAGTAAATATGCTCACTTCAAGAATCAAGCATACGATATCCAGTCACCCACCTAATCGGCTCCACATTCACAAAATTGGTCTGATAAAGGCCACCATGATCGACAATGGTGGAAATGAGTTCCTGCTTTTCCAGATCGACCAGAAAAAGGACGCACTTTTCAGCTTGAACTATTTGCTTCGCATAAGTCTGAAACAACTCAAATTATTACTCTCATTCTGCCGTAGCTAAGCACAGTCCTGTCAGATGACAAAATATTACAATTTTGAAGTAAGCCACTTTAAAACTGCTGAGACATAGGAAAGAGCGAATTTGCTAACATAATTGAAAGCGAAACTTGCCATAATTATGTTCATCACAGCATCCATCTCCATTATTTGAGAAAGCATGATTCTAAACATGAAAAAATATATAAAAAAAGCCAAATGCTGAAATGGGAAACATTGAATTAGACTAACTCACCCTGCCATCTTTTTGCTGAGGATACTGTAGGCTGTGATGGAGTGTTCAACATTAACCTTCTAAAACACGTACAGCTAAGTAATGGGAGTCCATAATAGGAGGCAATATAACCTAAAAGAAATTGCCTTTGCTACCTCTTTAAGTAGCATTATTGTCTGCATTGCCAGAAGTGTTGAGTAGATGAACTACAGGGAGAGAGGAATAGCGATAAATGGTGCACAAATTGATGTTTTGGACGCGGAAGTGGTCCGTGGTAACTTCACAAATTAGAACAGAAAAAGCACACAAAAAAGGATACCTTAACGCTTTTATCATCGAAGGGAGGTTGACCCTTAAGTCGAAGTAATTCAATAACCGCTTTGAACGAAGAATAAAGATTGTAACGATTAGCGTAGCAAGTACTTTACCCTGATGATGGTTATAAAACGCAAGTTAATAAAGGAACGCTGTAACTCAAGACTTAATAAATCTTCCGTCTGATGTAAAACTACGAGACTGCCAACCAAATGGAAGATGAAGCAAACTAACCAAATACATTCCCATTGATCGAGAAGAGAGGATATGCAATGGAGTGCTTCGTGTCAACGTCATAGAACAGTTTATCTTTCTCCCATCTGACGTCCTAAAATGAAATAAGCGCAACCGTATTTTAACTGGCATAAACAACGCAGCAGACCCAAAACTGGTTTACTTTATCTAACAACAATTCAGACAAAGTATAAAGTTGATTACATTGTCTGAGTAGTAAACCACCACCTCACTAGATGCAATTGCTTCGTATAAATGAATTTTTAAATAACTACATCGATGTGCCAAATGAGATAGGGAAACGATAAGGACATGGGTACATAAGAAACGCACCCGCATAACAAAATTAGCAATAATCATATTGCCTGACCAAAAGGCCGCCGTAAAGGGAGTACAGAAGGTGCTCTTTTGAGATGGAAGTTGGTATGCGAATTGACTGAAATGATTTAACATAGTCAAGCGATCAGTTTTGGTCTCTCTAAGCACATAAAAGCGATTCTGAGGAGAAACTGCTACTGAATAATATAAGCAACATGCAATACAGGAGGCAATGGGTGTTCATCTAATGAGCTGTTAGAATACAATAAATGTAGGATGTATTAAAAAATGTATTGTTTTTGTTCTAAGTTCTGACAACAAAGTGGTAATAGCAGTATAAAGGCCTACCTCGTAGTCTTCCATTAAGCCACGTGAGTGAGTTGTCGATCGACGCTGCACTTTCCAAAATTAATAACTATTTTGATTTATGCACAAAAAGGAAACGAGAAAAAAATGATTACGCAAGCTCGTGATGAGCACGGAAGTTGCGTGAATGAAGCTTTTCAGTCAGAAGGAGGCTTAAATAGACACAAACCTGGAACAGGTGCTCTTAAGTAGGCGAACTTCATCGTTCTTCTCCCGTAAATGCAAATGAATGACATCTACATCCGCATCTGAGGAAAGAAGAAAATGGAGTACGTATAATGGTTTTGGGTTCTTTGAATGCAAAACAAACTAATAAACTGCCACGTTCTTACTCCCTTATACAGTTCTGACTTTGCACTAAATACGATAACCAAGGGAGCATTTGGTGCCTCACTAGGATCTATTATATTAAGTAAAAAGGTAGTTATTCATACACATATGTTCCCTTGGATGAAAATTACTTGTACCGATGAGTTTACCACCCTTTCCAGTCTCTTCTTCCTCCTCCTCTAGTTCTTATGTGCTCTGATCCGAAAACTACCACGAGAATGCTGTTCTTTACAGCGGCTTCAGGGATGACCCGGGTGCCATACTAGAGGAATTGCTAGTGAACTCACTCCAAAAGAAGAATATAAGCGCTTTTAAGTGAACATTTACGGTACCAAAGTTTTCGATAGGAATATGCTTGCTGAAGATGCTTTAATCTGTAGAGGTTCTGTACAGCAGCTAGTATTGAAGAGAGGCTCAATTTGAGTGAGCTGAAATGCTAAAGAGCTGCTTAGAGGATTGACCCAACACCGCATCATGCTATAAGAGCTTGAGGATAAAATACGTAGGCAACTATGTAGTACAAGGTTGGCGACGAAATAAAGATTTTTTTTATTGGAACACTTTGCGACAGTCAGAGTATACGGATACCCACAAGGAGCACCGAGGACTACGTCCAAAAAGAGAGGAGATCAAGTAGCAAAATGAGGGCAGCTTTTTTACTACGGTTAGATAAGGAAGCCCGCAGTTTGGCTGTCACCACAGTCCATGCTGTCTATGCTACCAGTTCCCATGCACCTCAAAATGCCCCTTGAAATAATCAGGAAATAGCACACATCTTATTACGTTTAATTTGTAATTAGTAACGTAAACAAATAAGTAATTGCGAAAAAAGGTTCCTCAGGAAGAAACACTATGATTCTGACTTACGTTCGGTGAGGACAGAGGTGGTTGTCTGAATGATTTCATGCTGGGAGTACTGGCGCTTAATAATGCGCTCAATGAGGTGCCTCATAGTGTCAGGCAGATGGGACCTGCCACTCAAGTCCAGTGAATCCATACTCTCCTTCAAGATGCTGCCTGGCCTCTTCTTTGCGGTAGTTGTTGGCAGCTGAGAAGCCGTCACTGCAGACAGTTCACTGCGAGCTGTAGAGGAGGCCAGGCGAACGCCCTTTCCAAGGTCATTTGGATCCGTATTTTCAAAAGAATAGCCTGAAGGAGAGAGTGATTGGCTGAATGCTTTAAAGCAAAATGACTGCTTTTAGCACATAAATAAAACACCCTTTCATTCCCAACGTAATCCAAATAGCTTATAATAGTTTTGATGAGAATTATGGCTTAGTAGCTATTTAAAAAGGTTAAACAACAATTAAAAACCAAGTGTTTAAAAAGAAACACCCCATTACTTCTTGAATTTGGACGCTAGGGCACTTCGACCACCCAAACCTTCATCACTCCAAAAAAGAGGGTTATGTTTTTATTTGAGCAAACCTCCTAATGGCTCTTCTTCAGTCACTTGCAGACTCTGCAGAAAATTAGGTGGTTTAGCGGTAGTGAAGAAAATGGGAGAAAACGGGCAGTTTTCAGGTCGTCTCTTAATCTTCATCCGTGGTTCGCTGGATGTGAATGACTCTACGGCCTCGTCGTAGTTTCCCTCCAATACACTGGGGAGGTTGCGCTGGTTTACGAAGAGCCCCATTGACTTGGAGCTGTCTGTTTTAATCTTGCAGCTGCAAATGGTCGAGTCATCACTCTTCCTATACTGCGACATAGTCGTGGTTACCCTATTGACAGGTGGCCACTTTTTTGGCATGGAATGGTCAATCATTATGTTTCTTGCGGGTCGTTTGATTGGTTTGTAGTATGCTAGCGCAAGATAATTTTGTGTCAAAGAAGGATAACTTCAATAATAACATAATAGCCAAAAGAACCGGATAAGTAAAATTTTGAAATCACAACTCTCTTAAAGGGGAAGATTATACGTGGATTTAGCATAAATGCGGCCGAATGTTACCTAAAATCCTAATATATTTATTTTCAGTAAATATCAGTATACCTAATGTATGACAATTTTCTCTATCGTTTTTGATCAGTTCGTCCAAATTAAATGATTAAAATAAAGGTGCAATAGTGCACTAAAAAAATAAAAAGAATTATTTATAAAACGAGACGTCATAAAAGCCCCTTATTATGTTACGGACACAAATGTGATAAAATTTCACATAAAACCACCAAAGGAAATGTACAATTAGTCGTAAATATAGTTGAAGACGCATATTCATTTTGACATCATATCCGCGACAACTTTACCAGAGCTTTCATCCTTTGAGTCAAAACTGCCTCGAGATATACTTGATCTCTTTAAGACATCCTCTTTTAGTATTGTTAAGAGTTTAGATTTCTGAGAATTGTCTAAGCGTGTAAGGACAAACTCCGTGAAGAGATTAGGATTTTCTATGAAGAACGAGGAAGCCTGATCAAACGATACCATCAATTCGAGTCTCTTTGCTACAAAGTAAGTAAACGTCAGTAAAAAGACAACAGCAAGTTAAAAATCTAGTCGAGCAAAACCGGATTTAGTACAGAGACCAGGAAATCCACCACCCGTATTCCTTAAGATGGCAACCACCCACCTCGAAGAACTATTACAAGGATTTAGTCAATGCTACTGAGCTATTTTCGTTCAAATTTTCGATTAATTATTAAGAAATAGGCGAATGCGACATTTAAACACCGCAGCATGCACATTTACAGAGAAATGACGTAGCATCAGCTTTATCTGGCTTAGCGATTGTATTTTTAAAATTAATGCCTGCACGAGTAAGCTTGAGCAAGGCAAGTATCCTTATGCCAAATTTGCCAAAGGGACTATATTGCTATAAATATCTGGTAAGGCTTTTAGTATACTCAGCAGCTTACACCCACCGACTTTGTAATTGTTGTTTGAACCTGTCAAATTATTTTTAATTTACCAGACTTGTAAAGCTTTCCCAAAAGGCACTAGTGCGCAACCGATAATACCCAGTTTAAAGCACCGCTAAGACTTCAGGCTACCAGGAGTTATCCGTCGACCTTGAGAGTTTTACAGGGTTAAAGGATTAATTTAGATTCTCGCACAAAATTAGGTGCGAATAACAAAAATAAGACCTTATATATGGCTTTTATTTAGGAGCATATCGCTCAGCATTAGTAGTCGCTAATACGTTTAGGTAAACAATGTACAGGGAATTATGTAACGGCTTCCCATATTATGCTTATGCAAAATGTGGTATGGTGTACTAAACCCCATTTCGGACACAAAATGGTTTCTAACATTATTTTTATAAAGAGGTTAGGAACAAAATGCAGGTCAGTTCTAATTTTTCATCAAATGCGGAATGTTGCAAATTAAAATAAGAACGCTTTTAAAATTGCTAAATAGAAGCTGTCAAACAAAAAAATTGGGACTGTCGACATATAATTTTAACCCATCTGCCCATTTATACTAGTGATACCGAATAAGAAACAACTTTCATCACGCTTAACTCGCTTTGAACCAATGCTTTATGGCGGAGCATGCGCTAATACCGTATGGGAAGGCTGAGATGCTCCTAGCATGGTTTGAGGTCCACACTGTACAGCAAGAGTACGATCTGAAGTGATTAGAGTGCTTTGCAGTCAGATAAAATATTTACTATCTTTGACACACTTTGATAAGCCTCCGCGTCTGCCATCACAGCTTTGACGCTATTTTAATGACAGCTTACGGAATAAAAACATCAGTCATTGAATTTTCTTGCATGTAAAAGGCAATTAGATACTACCACCACTTATGTATCCCGATAAATCTACTGTTTGGGGTTTTATCCCATTTGTAAACTGAATTGGGGTGGGGGGAGATGCACTAGCTCCGTACTGCCCAATTCGTATCGGCATAGCTGGTTGTAAGGAAATTGCGAAAAAAACATGCTCATCAGATAAAAGAAATGAAAGTTAAGGTAGCTTTACAGGTCTAATGGACCGCATTTAGTCTTCTTTCCCACTTTGTTCCTCTTTTAGTACTGTACAATCTTCTGAGTTTCGCTTAGCCAGCTGAGGCGTAGGGAAGGTATCGCTTGTTCACTTAATTGGCACCATCATATAGGTACCGTGGGCACCTCCGTAGTGGACTTTTCCGTATGGTTCAAGTCTAGTGCCGCCTCAGTTGTTGATGATATTCTTGCCAAAGTTAGGCGCAGTTTTTAACTCTTCCCTTGGAAGTTCCCACACATCCATCTATCCGCAGCAGGTGCACTTCAAAACATTTGTCCTTTCAGGCTAGGTTCGTTTGCTGCTGTCACCGATGCAGAGTTCCGAGCCTTCGCTAAAGTCGCAATAAACCACAGCAGTATGGAGCAGCATAGATTAATAAGGCACGGAAGGGTTGGTAGGCTACTGGTATAGCATGAAGTTCCTACTGCAAAGCAAAGTACAAACTGCAGGGGCTAAAGTCCAATCACTGCATTACAGGCGTCTTAGCTTATGTGGCAGTTTTAGTCCTCTGAACACGAGTGAGTCATCGTTTTTCCCAACTTCATTAAGATCTAGATTACTCATCTTTGGAAAACTTGCCCATGAAACCGATTTAAGCAGGATGTATTCCTTTGCCTCTATTAGTCCATGTTGTAGCTACCACAGTTTTCCTTGGACCGTAGTGACAACAGTAGCAATGAGATTTGTTCAGGTACAAATGGACTGGAAAGCTACATGCATGTCGAAATACCACTAAGTCAAAAGGAAAATAAGGGCCGTGGAGAATGAAGAGCCCAAATAATAAAGGTGCAAGTGTGGCACTGGCACATTAGGTCGCAGGAGCAAGGCGATCCATTGAGCTAGTGACAATTGGCGCTAATCTAGACCCACCCTGAATTCCTCAACCTTGGCGTTTTTGAGGCTGCATAAGAACAACCAAGGAAAGACTTCATCATGCGGAGACCCGAAAGCCAGTCATTAAGCCATCAAACGCATATGCATGTTTGCTGCACCAGTGCACTGCTATCCGCGTTGTCGGTCAGGATTTGACCCAACTTAGAATTTTCAGAGTCCTATTTTACGGAAACGACAAGCTGAATGTCTTTAATTTCGTGATATCAATCCACTCACGACTCCTAAGCGAATCGACAAGCCAATTCCATGGAATAAAATCCTCGCTCCCACACAAACACACCAAGAACTGAAAACAACTAGTGTCCGCTGCAACTCGGAATGTAGGGAGAGCTAAAGCTCCTGCACCCCATGCCCAAAGGAACAAATTAGATTTTGTTAAACGAAAGAAGCATGTACTTAATGTTGGAAGAGATGGCCATAGTTTGCGAAGAAAGAAGCACCAAGACAGACCACCACACATTGAAGGGAATTAACATAAGCACAGATACGCACACACGCAGCTACACTGTTAACACAAAATGAGGGATTACTCAGAAAGGGGGGCGCAGAAGGAGCACACCCTGTCTTAGTCAATCTTAATAGCCGCGTAAATCTTCTGCAAAAAGGTGAAGGCCGAGAAAAAGCCGATTGTGCCTGTGAGAATCCAAAATGTCGCTGTGAGAATGGAGCAGTAGCCGAAATAAAGCAGCGTCGAGACAAAACTTGTGATCTCCAACTGAAATGTGGGAACAAAAAGCATGGATAATTTAACCAACCGAAGAATCTGATGCGGACACAAAGACGACAAACGCACCCGCGTTGCAAAGTAGTAGATAGAGTAGAGGAATAGGTAGGCTGCTGCTCCACCGGAGGTGATGAACGATCGCCACCACCAGTGGTAGTCCTTAACAGAGTAAGCACAAATGAGTGACCCCGGCTCTGGCAAAACTGCGTGCAGACACTCGGCATTGGAAATGCCAAATTAATAAAACGACAGATTCAAAACGCATTACTTGCTCAAATTTTCCACCAAGTTGAAATGCGGATTTGTTTGGTAGCAAAGTGGTAAGCATATGATGAGGGATTGAAAAGGCTTTGACAAGATCTTAACGATTCTACATCAGAGGAGCCAAACGTGTCTTCTAGGGTGTATCACATGGATACTGAGTACTCTTACTAAGGCAATTTAGCAGTAGCGCAACAGAGAACTTTCATTAAGAACCCAACAGATCTACTTGACAAAAGTTGGGGAACAGTACGCAACCCACCTCACTGCACAACTGGAAGTAGGTCGTCACAACAGCAACCTGAGCACAACTGATGATGAGAATGACAAAGACAATAAATAGAAATCCAAAGAGATAGTAGATCTGCCGATTCCAGAGAGCCTAGAGAAGAGGAAATGGGGTCATTGGTGGATCTTGACAGAATAACAGCGTGACCGCATGGCTTGTCGTGTTATGTATACAATACTGAGAGGTTTGTTCTAAACAGAGAAGACAACTCTAAAAGAAGCAGATTGTGATTTGCTATCCACCACAAGAGCAAAGCACCCGCAGGTGTTTTAAGAGCAAACAAAAATTTCCAACTTACATTAAAAATGAAGAACAACTCGATAAAAACGCTGCCGAAAGGCAGAAGTCCACACAACATGGTTCTAAAAATGAAAACAAAACAAAACTTCGGGTTCTTCGTACCAGTCATGGTTTAGTAGTAGATTACTCGCATCTAGACAAGAAATTTATTTCATTAAAAAAGGTACTCGAATAACAATGTGTAGTTTTAACAGCAAACATTAAATAGATAAGGTCTCTTAACATGGAATTTATCTCCCAAGATAAATATCATTCTAATGTATCATCCCCTTCCCAACGAGGCACAAGTCATCCGCAAATTTCACTCTTCAAAAACAGACGTAGTCCTAGGCACCATTTCTGCCTCACTGCTCAACCGCCTGTTTCACATGTGACAGTTTAAAGTCGAAAGGGTGAGTCATTGCTGGGTTAAATAGGAATATAAACTACGGAGAAGACAGCAGCCCCAGTTCACAATCTTAGGCGGATTTTGCAGCAATATAAGGTCGTCGATTGTCTGAAAGAAAAGAACTTTCTTTCAACTGATTAGTTTTGGCTGTTTCTGATGAAGCAGAAGTTAGGTTTTTGTCGAGATTGTTTGGGCTTCACCAGGAAATTCATGGAAAATATGTTCATCTGGAGTCCGCCACCACCACACAAGGCAAGCACGGCCTTCTGCAGATAAGGCGGCACATCTCGTAGGGGATGCAGAGTGGGTTGTAAGTACATCATTCGAGTAATTGCTTAAAAATTGGCAGCTGTTAAATGTATTGCGAAATACTGCCCTGCTCTATTCGTTACAATAAAAAATTCTCGGAGGCTACATATCAGAGACAGTGAAAGAGAATAGAAAGCAGGTTATTAAAGATTGCTCGCGTAACAGAGACGTTCTTATATATCCTGAATTCAGTATAGCGCAAGAGAAACTTGACTGGCTTGTCAAATAATTGAGGACACTACTAGCTTTACACTGTTCATAAAGGCTCAAAATTCAAGCGAGAATTATTGTTATGCAGTAAAAAGATAATGATCCCATACTATAAGCTTGCGTGGGGCGAGTACTAGGTAGTCGGACACCTCAGCGAGGGAAGTTGCTATCAAAGATTACTTACGTAATAAAGATGTTCTGATGCATCTTACGATCAGGAATGGCACGAGGAATCTGATTGGTGCGCACTGGTTGCTCGTAGGGGCGTTTGCGCATCCCGAAAAAGAAGCCTATGAAGACGAGGGGAAGAGAGACGAGAAGCCAGAGGGAGAGAATACTTAGAATGGTGGTGAAGGGCAGGGCTGCTGAAGATCCTTTTGCCCAGAGAAAGATGTTGATGAAAAGGCACACTGCCAGAATTATGCCTGGGTAGAGCAAACCGGTCTAAAGGAGGATCAGGAAAGTTATGAGAGAGGCTTACCAATATTCGTCACACAAAGGTCAGGATCGTATTGAAAAAAAGGTAATGAGTTACCTAAAAATGAGCTATTGGCGGTAAAGAAGGTCAGCCAATAAGAGCTTAACAAAAGACGAATCTGGTCATGCTCATTGGCGACCTTTGTACCGAAAATAAGGGATCACATTTCTGAATTGTAAATTGCACCTAGGTATCAGATCATAGCATCGAATATAAGCATTAAATTTGAAGATGCTATTTTCGGATTTAACACATAGCAAGCTCCAACAATGGAGAGCGTAGGAATAATAACTACACACTGAAAATAAGAAGTTTTCCGTGGCTAGTATCCCATGGCCGTCACTATAATCATTCCGTCAACGCATGGAAACACCAAAGTGAGAGGTGGACCATTTAAATACAGTTTTAGGAACCATCAAACACATATAAAAAAGTCCCAAAACCTTCAGTATGATCATAGAAGTCTAAGTAATTAAATTAGTAGTAGATTTTGGGCAAAGTTGTCATACGAGCATCAGATGAAAGCTGAGGGAAACACAAATTAAAAACGCTAAACTCACTAGTAGAGCAGTAGATTTCCAGTAGAAGCCACGCATTGTCTTGTAGATACGACCTGAGAAGTAGCCGGCAACAGCCCCCATAAAGACATACGTGAAGATGACGGCGCTCAGGAGAGCTCCTCGTGAGGCAGGAGATAGCATGCCAAGCATTGCAAAGACTAAAGACGAAGAACCGAAAGGACATAATGAGGTGTGCTGGCGTGCAACACGACGTTAAGATCAAACACGGAAGGTTACAAAGGCATGATCTCATTGCACTAGGAGAATTAACCCAGGTAAGGCGATGTAATTCCAAGACTGCATGCCAAAATCTGACTACAAACAGAACGATTATGAGAAAATTAATGACAAAAAGGATTCGGGTACTTTCATGTTATAAGACTTACAGAGGACGATAAGTGTCATGCAAAGAAGTTGGACACCCGAACCGACAAAAGCTGCCAGCAATGCACTACGCCTTGGAGGTCTAAAGACATCACCATGTACTAGCTTCCACCCCGATTCCTCAATGATCTCCTCCTAAAATTCAGACGTGCTTTTAGCCCAAAATGGAACAAGCTTACAGAGTCCTCCTCTCTGTTGTATGAGGCAATGTCACGTCGGAGAGTTTTCAGTAATATGACAGACATAACAGCTAAAGGAGAAATGAAGTAAGAGTAGGAAAGGGGGCTACCAGTGAGGAAAATGATTATGATGATAGAGTTTATTATTGAAAACCAGTGAATTTGGCCATCGCTTGTGTTGAGGTAGATATCCCAACGTGAAGCCCATTCGGTGTCCGAGCTCACCCATTCAACCTCATAGGTGAAGCTGAAATCCGCTGATGTGCCCGGTCTAAGGGTCAAAGGAGCCCGTTCTCCATTCACTATGCCACACGTCCCGTCTTTATTTTGAATGACATCCTCACTTCGAATACTCATGGGTTCGATGGTTACACCAACAATACGATAACGACCGCTAAGGAAGAAGGATGTAATGGAAAGCGGAGTCGGAAATCGCCTACTTCACTTCGTGATATTTCACCAAAAACTTCAAATGATTGTTTAAGTATACTTCATTTCCTTTTTTAAATCCAATTCGATAGCCAATTTCATATTGGTTCTGAGATTCCGTAGAACGCTCTACAGCCACAGGAAGATCGTCCACATCACTATCAAAGCTAGAGATGCGATACAGTTATCCTACATATTAACAATGTATTCGTTATCAATGAGGTGAATTAGAGCATCAATCTTCTTGGACGAAGTTGACACTGTATGACACGCTTGCTTGCACCTAACATTTGTTAGCATGTTAATATTGAATGGAGCCTCGACAACACGATCGCCACGCAGAACTTCTCCTGAGAATTGTGGGTAAGGCAACCATGAAATGTTACCAATGTTAAGGTTCTCATAAACACGCTTTCCTTCAAGATCACAAAAAGATAAATAATCATAGAAGTCAATCGGTAGTTGCGTATCAGAACTCCAAACTTTAACAGCCTAGCACCTGTATGAAGGTGTTTTCACATTACCTTGACACTTATAGCATCTCCCACACCGTACTCAACTGGTGATAAACCAGGGATGTAAAAGCAAGAAGAAAAAGGAACTAGAAATGCAAGTAAAAGTACGGGTATTCTCATGGCTACATCCACCAGACTGGTCACAGCAGAGCGAATCTTCGAGTTTGGACCAATCACAACACAGTGTCCTATCATCATCACTATTACTGAGGCGATCTCATTTAATAGTATCAAAGTATTTTGGACTTTTATATTTATTTTGTAAGAGATCAAGTAATATTCTGATGCTGCAAAAGGCAGTCTGCCATACTGAGTGAGCGTAAAGCACTGCAGGCTTAAAATAAGCCATTTTATTCGCACTAACATGAAAACAGCCCACTTCGCGCCATTTTGATTTAGTGAGGAAGGCTACGCTCTGTGCTATTCATCCCTGCCTTCGTCTGAGCATGCGAGTCCTGGTATTTTCCGCACGGCATCTTTTTTGATCAAAATCAGAAACGGACACTTCTAGAATGGAATCAGTTACGGATTCATCATCAAATTACCTCTCTTCCCATGTTCGAAACACTGCTTCACTCGTGTATTCCGAATTCGAGCGCCTTGTAGCACGGTACGGAGAGGGGGTTGTTGACGGAATTGTGCCCATCATGATACAAACCCTTGAACAAGTTGACCAGTTACATGAAGCTAACGAGCTATTGCAAGCATCCTGTGCCCAGGATGGGCTGAGAGTAGAGTCGTTGACTTTGAAATTAGATCGTGAAATCAAAGCTAGGCGCGCAGCAGAGGAGGTAACAATGCATATTTAGCTTGCGAACTTCACTCTAGCGGGCGATAGCTTTGGAGGATGAAATTGCTGAGGTAACGATACGGATGAACGAAAAGTTTGCTGATTCTACTAGGCTTATTCGCGTCCTCGAAGCAAAATGCGCTGCAGCCAACGAACATGGTGGGATTTAATTGACATTGACATCAAATTAGTTACTTTCCACCGTACATGTTTCTTAATTTTTGCAGTCTATATCGGTTCGTTATTTGCACTTTTTCATTCTGATAGTGTTCTTGCCTTCGTTTTTATTTTTGTCCTTCTCTGTTCACTTTATTTTGGTTTATAAATAGCTGTTCCAAGGTTTGTTAGCTACACTTAAATGACAGGAGTTTTATGGACCCCATTTTGGCACCTATTCTTGCATTTTTTGGTAGTTTTTAGAGATGGGTAAGTAAGACGCCTAAGCGAGACTCCACTTTGTCTTAGTCATTCGACAGGAAGCAAAAGAGGCTGAGCTACAACGGGATTTGGCCAACGCACAGAATCGTTGCAATGAGCTCCTTCGTTCTCACGTGGCTCATGTTGAGCGCGTTTGCAATCATGTGCATCCCCTCATGACCGAGAGATCCCTCCTGTCTGAGTTCCACCACTTCGTAGGTCGTCTTTTACTCTCGTTTGCCCATCCACCCTTTTCCGCGTCAGCCCATTTCGATGCTTATGAGGAACCGTCTAAATCGATGCATATCCAACTTAAAATAATTTTTAAGCTCATGACAATAATTCTTACTTGGACTCACCATTATTCGTGATTGAGTGAACGCACGCTAGAAACAACCCACATTTCTATGAATATTCGATTAATTTGTTAAATTTATAATTTAAACCCCCTTGTTACGATTACGCAGGAGTGTTTTCATTCGTTTTCTATTTCAATAGACTCCAAAGGAAGGTATAAGCCACCGGGACCCAATAAGTCCGACAAAAGGTAATTTGTTAATTTTGTGTAATAATCGTCGTCTTAATGAAAAAAAACGTGAAATCATTCTTAAAATGGGTTTTAAACGATGTTTGTGTTGCAGAATTCACAAATACTGATCTACTTCCTAAATAATTACTCGCTGGGGTGAAGTATCTTTGCTGCCTTTTTGAACTTGTGAATAGCAAAACCCATTAGAACATTATTAGAGCTACAGCCCATAACTCTGCTCTGAGCTTAATGCCAATACTGTCCCATTGTCGGCAAAAAGGCAGCATCTAAGAGATTTTATTGCTAGCGCAGATTAGCTTCAGCTTCTGTGTCAGCGTGTTATTCATGTGTCATTTTCGCAACTATTAAACACCTCAAGTTGTTTGCAGAGTAAACATGGGGTTATTTGATATTTTCTCATTATATTTGTGTAGATATTACCCAACAATCACCACCACCATCACTACCATCGTCAGATGATGATAATCCTGGCGAACCCGTTTTCGACACGCTTGACGAAACGGAAGTCTATTTTCTACCTCCTAAATATTTTTTTCCATAGGCTCTCATTAGAATTGCTTTTCTTGTTGAGGAACTTATCAATTCTAGGAATGAGGGGATGAGGCGCTGTTTAAGTAGTTTCTAGTTTACAGGCGACTACTACTTCATTTTTCGCGCTCGTATAGTTATTATTCACAGGACATATATATATCTGGGCATTCTGCTGTTTTAGGTATCCGATTAATTCAAGACGATCTCAAACAACCCTTGTTTAATATTGAAATGTAAAAAAACCGACGAGAGCGCTGTGAAATTATTGCGGCAGTCCTTGAAGACCTTCGATTAGTGCCTCTCTACTTAGTAGAACGTCTCTTTTTTATAGGACGGATTATGAGCAGTATTTGAGCGAACAGCCTCAAAATAGGAAAGTATCCGAGGTTTCAGATCCCATATCGGAAGGTAAGCAATTTCGTTTGTACTGCCAGCCATTTTTAGTCAGTGATGCTTCGTGCATGCGGAAGTGGCTGAATGCACATCACGTATGTATTTATAACCACTTTTGCGCGAAGTCGCTTGATTTTATATGAACGGCTTTACGTATGTGCTTTTTTCGAATTATTTTCCGATCAACGCTTGATCAACCACCTGTGAAATTACCTCTGCTTCCTTTCCATGTGTTTTTTTTTTGTACAAATAAAAGTAATGCTGCTTTGAATGGCCATTTCATACTTTAGCATCAGATGGCTGCGACTTTTTGGGCAGTAAATGTAAGCATGCCCCGTTTTTTCATGCACCTATTATTCACTTCAGGCTCATCTAACCGTTACTGGATTTTGCCACTTTGTTGCATTAACCCACCAACCACCTAGCCGGAATGACTAATCTAACCTACCGCTAGACGGTAAAGTTCCCCTTCTCCTGGTTTCAGCCCTCGAAGCAGAGGTGAAGAAACTGTTGGCCGAGAACCAGGAGCTTACTGAGATGAAGCAAGTTTTATATTCCTTCTCGTGGATTTGTTGTAGGCATAGAGCTAAATGGTTTCGCTTGAGTTAGCAGGATAGACTGGTTGAGAATTGCAATTTAAAACATTAAAATATGGAAACTAGTCCAATGAAAATGAAGTAGTCGGCATTTGCGGCACCTATTCGGCTGGTTACGTTGAAAGTCTATATCTGGAACATTATGTATATAGTGGTGATCTAACTCAGCCCCAAAAACGAGCTCGAAGTTAGCCGCTGTCTGAAAGTGAAGCATTCAAAGCGCCCACTCAGCCTCTAGTGCATTAAATTCACCGTTTGAGAACTTTCAACTTATTTGGTAGCTCTGATTCGAACATTTAATAAATGCAGCCTATTCCTTCGGAAGTCAAGTGAGAGGTCAGTTTACGTTATTCATTAACTTATTTTCCATCAAGCTGACCGATCATCAAACACCTACCGCTGGTATTCAAACAACCAAACTTTTCCCACTGACTTTCAACCGTCGGTATTGTCACAACGATAGCTGAAACAACTTCGCTGGGCCGATTCCCAGTAGTTGTCGGATTACAACATTAACATTGTTATTCATGGTCTTGTTTTGTTGATATTGGTGAGTTCGAAAATGTGAAAGTTCCCGCAATCGTCGATTAGGAAAGCTCGAATTCGCAGGGTCGACAAGTTCACATCTCAGTTCTTTCTACTCCGGACCCTGCTTGGAGTGCTTTTAAGTCATGTCAAAAATACAAGGTCAGTTTACTGGTTGAGTTATGACAAAGGTGATCTAAGTAGCCAGTGCGAAGTGGATTTTCATTTAATGGCGATGAAATCAACTTAATGTCATTTATCGAGTATCGGTTGGAGGCTGGGAAAGTGTTGCTAGTTTTGGCTGAGGAAGGATAATGGCAAAATCCACCCTACAAGAAGCACCCTGAGCTACTGGAAACGCTCGACGATACCTTACCGACGTGCCATATGGATGCAGATTAGTATTGACTTAAACTTCGAAGGAATTTAAGGTTCAAGCCTGTGCGGCATGGGAGCCATGTAGATCACTTGCAGACTCTCTTCGCCTGTCGTGACCAAGACGACGAAAACATGCGCAGTAGAGGGCTAAAAAAGGAGTGCGAGAGTTGGTTGGCAGGATTCTAAAATTAAGCCTCAGAATTGATAAAATCAGATGAGTTTCTACTGACTTGGAAAATGGTAAGATAGTATTTCGTGACGCTCTAAGTTAATCTAATTTGCCTGTTTGCTACATAGCTTGACGTAAACAATGCCTAAAACTGACAAAAGCTCTGCAGTTTCAGATTTGATTAAGGGAATCGGAGCGCCGCACGCATGATGCTGATGGCGAACGTGGTAACTTGCGCCCGATGCAATCATCTCACCATTTTCAAGTGCTCACTTACATTTCTTTCCATTACCATTCTTGGATTAAATCATATATAGGCATATTCTTAAGCATCACATTTCTTTTCTTCAGGCGAGCTCTCAACATTTTGAAAGATGACCTATTGACTCGCATTGACGACCTCTCTGGGTAAGCATTTAATTGAAGGATTTACAAGTGTTTTTTCAGAAATATGCTCCATGTTTTACCTCCTTTACTTGATTCCAGTTTGTAAATTTTGTAACTAAGTCGTAGGGTTTCAAACACCTGAAACTGGACATTGGTGACATTTATTTGGATATCCTGGAAACGAATTATACTCCCTTTTAGAAATGTGTATATTGCTTTGAGCTCGGTTTAGCATGAATGATCGGTTTGTTGGCCCATTCAAGACCGTAAGTTTATTCTCGAACTGCTAAGATGAATGCCACTGGAAATAGTCCATTCAAGAAAACAAGCAAGTAAACATTATTGAAGCAGCTCTCCAGGCAGCTTGGTTCTTTATATTCAGACAAGACAGCTGTAATGTTCATGCCATTAAATTGAGTAGATGAATCGGGAATGGATTAAAATTCACGTAGGGTGCCATTCCATCAACTATCTACAAGCTTTGCCAGTTCAATTGCCACAATCATGTTCAACAAGTCGGATCTATTGTTGTCAAAGTTGTACGAACTCCGCAATAAAGGGACAGCTACTGTAGCGTCTGAGCTACCTCTGAGGACGTTACGGGGCGTACCATTATGGAAGTAGATGCCTTATGGAAACGCGGCAAGACTGAGAGGTTATCAGCTCTAGTAACAGGAACGGAGGAAATTTCATCAGTATTTAGACCGATTCATGAAAGGCCGAAAGAGACTACTGAGATGAACATGCAAATAAAACTAGTATCGTTCCATTAGATAACTTCTTACTTTGGAAGTCATTTAGGCGCTCCCCGTGGGAACTTACGTTACGACTGTCGCAAGTTTTTCATTTACTTTCGATCAACAGTGAGATGGGATTGGAGGTCATACAGTGAATGCTCCCTACTTCAATGGTAACAGTGTGTCATGGATTTGGACGGGAATTCTAAGTACAGCATGGTAGTAGTCTCCCAGAGGAATATTTGCCTTAAAGGCGAATAAGGGGGGACATCGTGTCTTCAGATTGTGCTTATACAACACCGCGTTCGTAGCAAGATTGCAAGCAGTTCTCCAAAGGCTATTTAAGTTCATTACTTTTAAATTGAGCTTGACAGAAGCCTTGCTGTTATGGGAGCTAACACGCTCTCCTTCTCTGACGCCTTGGTTTTGTATTTAGCCAGTAAAGTGATGACAGTAATTTTTCACATCAGGCTCACTAACATCAAGATAGCAACCCAGTTATAACCGACGACTTCTTAAGACACATGCATAAACAGGTAGCCTTGTTATAAACGTGAAGGAGGGTTGAGATGCTAGAAGCTTTGATTAAATGCACAAACTGAACAATGTAATCAATTAGCCAAACCAAACTGCAGCCTTGAAGGCACTTCTGCTTTTCACTCACGGCTTGAATGTCTCCTCCTACACAACATAGTCCTGTGACTCGGTAATTACATTTAGCTGTATCTGGAATTGATGAGCGACTATTCCTACCAACTCCTAACTGACTTTGTAACTTCAGGCACAACATAATACTTAAAAGCGACCTGAAAACATGTCAAGAGGAGTTGGTGACGGAGCGTAAGCGGGCGAAAGAGCGAGAGCGTCAGCTTATGCAACGCATTCAGCACCTCACCAGTCGACTACGAGCCATGGAGAAGTTACACGAGGGTAGAAGCGGTGGCGCTTTCACGAGATGCGCCTCCCTGGATCTGGATGACGAACCCTTAACCGTCCAAGCGTCTCGACGAAGACGGACCCACAGCTGCTCTGCCGCCCTGCCGACAATGAAGTTGTCTAAGCCGGAGCAGCAACAGAGGTCGGATTCCCAAGTGAGGTTCTAGTGGACAGCTTCTGGTAGTCGTTATCTTGTAGTCCTCACTCTGTAAATATGTGTCTCAGAGAGCGCCACCGGATCGAGTTGGAAGTGACAGCAGTAGTTCAAGCGGTAGAACGCTGAAACTAACTAAACGGGAGATCGCGCGGATACTTGTGGAGCGCAATTACTACAAAGAGCATTATCTGGAGGCAAAGAATAGGTTGTATACAATTGAGGACACCTGTCGTGCTCAAGCCCCCGTCGAGCGCATGCGCAAACGCGAGATCGCATCAGTCCTCCTTTCAAGAGTTTTCCAGTCGGTGCATAACTTCGCCAGCGACGTAGCACAAGGCTTCGATGGGCTTATTGCTCCTGTGCCGCCACCGCCACCCAGTCGAACATCAATTGCCTTGTGGAATATGTAGGTCTATCCCACGTTCGCAGTGCCAAAAATTTTGGGAAAAAACTAATCTCAACCGCTCGTCCCATGTAGACTCGGTAACTTCGTTGGACAAGCTGTGACGTACACAGCGGACGCGGTGATCGGAACAGGACACGACCTGCCGCTAGATGTTTCAAGACCAGTGATAGCAGCCAACATAAACTCCAGACTCCCTATCGCTCCACCACAGCCAAGGAGCCAATCGCCCTCATGACAAAGCCCATTGCGGACGCATACTATTTCCCACTTTCCTAGCCTTTCGCTATGTACCACCTGACTTCCGCCATGCAATTATACAGTAAAATTTTCTACCCATATCGAAGTCGCTTCCTCAAGTTTAATCAACCCGGCCAATTGCGAGAACGAATACGGATAAACTGCCGAATATTTATTGAATATACACTTATTTGCCGATTTCCTTGATTGTAAGATCTAAAAGTAATTGAAACGAAAGAAAATGGGCCATACTTGGAGGGAGAGCCTTCTTAATCTTATCAACCTTCTCCTTCTCGGTTACCACAAGGGTGTAGAGAAATCGACTGCAACGAATCTTGAACTTCACATTGTCCTTGTTGGTTTTTATCTTGACCGCTAGAGAGACATGCGGGTTAGGTAGACGATCTTACACTTCGCATCGGAACGGTGGGTCTTCATCAAAAAATCCTTTATGCGAGCTACTTGTTTCGGCATCCTCTAAAAAGAAACAGCGTGGTAACTAAAGGCACTCATACTAAGGGTAGCTCCCAGCGGCACCCTCCACCATCTAACGCTTCGATCAAGCCGCCACTTTACAAGGGAAATCTCTAGATTTGTGGGCTCGGGCAACGAAGAATCACCAGAAGAGCAAATGGCAAGCAGGCTAGACCTGACCTTACTGGGTAGCTGAGGTTGAAACAAATCAAGAAACGAAGTAAGATCGAACTTCACAGGGTTGGAGGACAAACACACTTGCTCTAGACAGTGCCGCCACGGAAACGCCGATAAATCGGAACGAGAATAAAACTCTAGCAAATTATGTTCCTGAGATCCGACGAGAGCTTTAAAAACTTCCAACCAAGTGTTAGCCCAAAATACAGCGCCATCAGTTGGGAAAAGAGTGTAGACAACGTATATAAGATCGTTAACCTTATGAAACTTCTGAAATAACCTTAAAACGGATTTCAACTCGGAGGTAGTTAAAGAGCGATATCCGCTATCAGCTAACTTTACTAAATGCTTGGCATACGCTTGGGTTACTGCTATGTGTCGAACTGGACAGGCAAGAAATTCCTCAATCACACAGGACGACGAACTCCACTTAATTTGCCCAAGCGCGCCCAAATCTGGTTCCGACCAGATTTCCTTGACGTTTGACTCCCAGAACTCCAAAAGCCAGGACATCGCAAAATCATAGGCTTTTTCCAAAGAATCCTCAGAAGGCATGGGGCCGTGCGCGATCTCATTTCGCAGGTAAGACATCCACGAAGGTAGTCCAATATTAGCCGCAAGAGAATAAATAGGGATTGCAAACCCACTGCGAGTACGATCCTGGTCCTCACTAGATACAAGACTTATGAAACGCATAACGGCCATAGCCAATGCCTGGGTTGACTTTTGAAACCTTGCTAGAAGCAACTCGTAAGTACAGATGATGGCACGAGGAATTTTGGAATAGTCCATCCGGCTTAACCATATCCGCATAAAAAGCAATGCCTTGCGCAAAGCAACATCGTCGGAGGATTTTAAGCAAGACAAAACATAACGAAATTCATGAATGGAAAACCAAGGAACTAGCCTACAGCCGACATACATAGCCCGATTCAGGCGTGCTCAAAAGCGTTGTGGCGCTTCAATGAATAAACGGATTAAAACAAATATGTGGTGCCATCAAAAAGTACCATTATCACCTTCCTCTGAATTCTTGTGACTTTGTGCTTTGAAATGCAGTGTTTTTTAGCTTGCACACATTACAGCCAAGATATCAAGGAAGGGAAGGCTAATTTATGACTTATATAATTACACTAAAATTTATTTATTTATAGGGGCACAAGACTTGCTTTATGCCCTACTAAAAATATGTTTGCTAAACAAAGTCGATATCGACCCCAGCATATTTATGGATGAGAAACGAAATTAACGAGTCTACGAATTTCCATTTTGCATGCCATTCAGTTGACGAACCATGTTTTCGTACGTATTTTAAGCATCCTGCATTGTACAACTATTCAAAACTGCTCATTTTTGTTAAGACGTTGTAGCGCTCATCCAAAACAGTTTTATGTGTTGATCGTGACTAATTTTCAAGTGTTTGAAAAACATAAGTTGCATAATTTTTATCAAAATAACGATGGGGATACGCTTATGTAATACGATAGTGGTTTATCCCTCGGTTCCAGTGAGGCGCCACTTTTGTACTTCGAATTAGCCCCCTTGTACCTCGCTGGGCGGGCTGGCCTTTTGGGCCATGCCAATAGCCCAGACACCTTCTCCGTGCTGAATGTATATATTCTGCCCGAGTATTGTGTCTTCTTTCGTCTTCAGGGAGTCCCGGGACGCTACACTTAGCTATAACCGTGGTAGTTGATCTCTTTGATAAATTTTAAGTCAACCTTTTAGCTCATCCATTGCCTAACCTGGATCTATCTCACATTTTCCGAATTTCTTAAAAAGGGAGCCATTTGACGTGCATTAAGGGTTGAGTTCATTTTTTACTCAAGGAATCACATACCCGGCTAGGTCTTCAGGATATTTGGTCCAGAACTTTCAAATCAGACCTTGACCTAGTCTGCGCTACTCTCATTTTTAAGCGTTATTTTTTAGTAACCGTTTATGTAATTTGGCATATTCTTGGTACTACAGATGCGGACTCTGAAGCTAAGGCATCCCCTATCTAATTTTCCATAAGGAAAATTTTAACTTTTTATTCGTGAGCGTAATGGCCATGAAACTGCAGCAGTTCTAGACAGAGATTTTTCATTCAAATAATGGAAGTAAAGGAAACTAGAGTTGTGAACTAGATCTTGGTTGTGATTTTTCTGGAAATGGGCAATCTGCCATTTGGTCGACTAACTGAGATGAATAATAGTGACTCGTAACGGCAAATCCGCACGATACAAAATCAACAATCATTAGCGAAAACATGTGAGTAGTATGAATTAAAATGGAGGAATTTCACATACGCACTTAACGGTTGGTGGGGTACTACGAGCGTAACAATGATGTGGGGATGTATGTGCTTTTATTATGGTTGTTATGCCCCGCGACTTCCCTGAAGATGAAGGAAGACAACACTCGGGCCGAATATGTCTTGTTGACCTACAGAAGGGTTTGGGGCTAATGGCTTGGCCCAGAGGCCAGGCCAGCCAGCGGCGGTTTAGTGGCGGAGCCCCCAGGCGGGTTGTTACTAAAATCGAGAGCTAAACGAACAGTTGACGTGTTACAATAAAGGTAAGCGGAAAACCAAGTAAATTTTGACACTGATGCGTAAACACCTGGTACAGTCACAGTGTTTGCTGGCCATCTTCAGATTTCCTCCCTCGCTTATAAACCAGGGAATAGTGCTTTGCAGAGTGGCTTTCACTTGGGTGCATAGCGGTTTGCTTTTGTTAAAGTTGTTTTTAAAATGGGAAGTGTAAACCATATATTTTTACCCAATATGTGAAGCAATATGGGGCGAAGGTTAATAAACAGCAGAAATTTCATGCATGAATTTGATCATAATCCGACAATCGCCTGCTTTTGTATAAAAGCAGACCAAATGTAACCGCACACTTATGCAAGATGATCAGCTGATTTAGTGATTTTTTTGAAACAATAGTAACAAATTGCACAAAGATTCTTTAAATACTTGAATAACTGAAACAAAAGACTATTCCATTCTGTTATTATTTCTCAATAAGATATAAGTTTGCGAATGCAATTTTGTAAGAAGCTTTGCTGCTATGAGAAAAGAATAGCTCTCCCCAGCTCCGTTTCTGCCTGAGTTTTTTTTCCAAATGTATTGATCAAGGCGGTTGTCCACTGCAATCATAATGGGAATGAGGCAGTATCTATCTGCCTACTACCTTCCCTTCCATCCTAAAGTTCAATATGCGACCTCTTTATGGTAAGTTTTGTAGCTAATATAGATAGAAAATCTCGCGCTGCCTTGTAAGAATGTACTCCCTTTCAAATGGATAAACAATATTGACGGCATCTGATGAAGTGCAAGTTCTTCTTGCATAAGTTTAATGTGCATTGCAAGTTCAGCCCTCGTTGCTTGACCCTAGGGGAGAAAGTCATAATGGACAGTGGCGTTTCTTAAGAATGAAGTGGATGAAATGTCTTACGAGTGATGGGATGGGTAGTGGGTAGTGAAAGGACTGCTTAAAAAATATCAGTGAAAAAGTTAGCGGATATTGGAATTAAAAAGTTATTTTTAATCACAAGTCAGTTAGCTAACATTCCTTTCTCAAAGTGGATAACGAATTGCCAGTCTTTGTATTTTATTGTCTGACACCTATTAATGCATGGCCTGTGGAACCTATTTGCTTAGCTTACAAGTCTCTTTATTTTCAGTTAAATCCGAATTGATGTGACGACAGCAACCCTTATTTCTTCAAGATCAAGAAGAGTGGGCCATTCTGAACATGACTCTTATGTCTTTGAGTGGTTTATCACCAAGTATGAATTTCTAGAACCATCTTTGGTGATGCTTTCCCTTACTGCCTCCCTTCCATAGCTTCGGCAGCTATGGAACTGAGTTCAACTGGGTTTAAATCGGGATTTTACCATGTGAGAGAACAAAGAACAAGAAAAAAACCGAAGGTGAAGTGAGAAGCAATATACATATGGAGACCAATGTGCACAAATAATAGCGGGGATTTTATGAGCTCCTGAGAGTTGCATCAAGCTGCTGCAGCCAACTACACAGGCAAATGAGTGAACCACTACGGTCATTTAATAGCTTTACATTGAATTAGGTACAGCAATAGCATTATCTCTTACTACTTATTATCGGTTACGCTCACTCTAAGTGCATGCATAGATGATTTTATTCATAAAAAAATAGGAAAACCTGCCATCATCCACATCAGGTTCAGATACTTTAAACCTTCGACTGTATTTTGCTAGCAGGCTTTTTTGGCATCCAATTCTGCGTTTCTGACAGCATTACCCTGACATGCATATGTGTAGTAACGTAATCTACGGCTACAACTAATGGCAAGAGAACCTTCGCTACAATTAAGCAGTAAAAAAGTTATAGGAACAGTGATTTCATATTTCACTTTTGTTCGAACATAAGATGGATGCAGCTCCCTTCCTTGAAAAGTGGGCGCCAAGAAATTGATAACTATGCGCTCAAGCGAGTAGACATTGACATTTTACATAATTAAAACCTAACGTAGAGTGAAAAATGGAAAAAAGAGCTTCTTGGGTAAGGCAATACAAGTAGATTATCAAGCATACATAGGGCTAGTGTAGCGTCCGGAGACTTCCCTAAAGACAAATAAAGGCAAATGTTAAAGCAGAATATGTATTGTGGAGGTCAAGAAGGGGTGAGGGGATACCGGTAGGGCCTGGAGGCCACACCACTGGGCAGAAGTACATTGTCCGAACCCTTCAGTGCCCGTGTAGCCAAAACGGAGAGTTAAACAAAGTAGTACAAATCCAAGTCTCATCAGTCGTGATGTCGGTAAGACTTCCACGCAAAAATTCCTTTTATTTCAAAGCGGGATTGCTTACCTAGGGGAACATCGCGCACCATGTTTAAGGAGAGCACTTCCCTGCCGCGCCCATGGGCGCGCGGGAAAAGTGGGGATTGTAAGGCATTCAAAAACCGCATCGCATAGCCAAAAAATGGTCTGCAAAACAAAAATGTTTGTTTTGCCTAAGTTAGCAGAGTTAAAAGCAAACACGTATCAGTGCGAGGAATCCATTGGGTTAAAAATAATATTATCAAACGGTTGATAAAAGTTACTTTTGGAAGCCACGAAAGTACATACACACACCGTTATGCATAACTTAGAAATAAAAATTACCTTAAAGAAACATTGCTTATTTATGGGAAGATTTTGCTGGAACAAATTCAAAACCATTTGGTTAGCAGGAAATCTGAGATTCTGCTTTGGGTTTATCGTAACTGGTGCGCATGGTCCCTAACACTACCTATCTCTTTGTTCCTGAAGTAAATTGTATGCAGAGGGGATAATTAATGTAAGTGTAGCATGTTGACTGCTTGTTTACTCCTTCGTTTTGGTGTTACTGGCACTTAAGGCTCTGCCTATGTACTTCCGTCCAGCGGCATGGACTCCAAACCCTACCAATGGTCTCCCAGCCATTCTAGAAGACTCAGGGCGCTACATTGGTGGCAGCAGAAGGCAAATCCGACCCTAAGCAACACCGAACCTGGTTTCAATTACTGAACGGTAAAGCTCAATGTTAAGGGCGTGTGTTGCGGACGGGATAAGCTGCGGTGACCTCTAACAGAAGGCCATTGTACATTTGTGAAGCGGCCTCGCCTCCGGGCCGTATCAGTAGACCCCGTTCAGTCCTACTGTATGACGGCAATGAATATTCTACCCTAACATTATCTTTGTTCTTTTTCAGGAAAATTGATAGGCGCTACATCAGAAAAGCAAGATCTTAATCAATTTTTTTTTATTTCTATAAACCTGTTCACTTCTAATTTTGGTGGTCAATTAAAACCATCAATGAAAATGCTGGCATTTTATACCTTAATGGTAAATCCTACCCACTTATAATCCCCGTATTTGAGCATAATTGTCTCAATAACAAAACTTTGAATTTATAAAATCTCTGACTCTGAAATTGTTGTTTCAAAATGTTACAACTGCTAGGTTATCTCAGGTTCTTTTGAAAGAAAACGAAAAAAAATAATGACTTTTAGTTGAACAAAGGAAATTCATGTACATCATAGGTACTTAAAACTTATTGATAGAACCTGGGCAGGGAACTAGTTGCTATGGTTATCAAATAAGTCACAATAAACCAAAATGCTATAATTTATCGCAAAGACTGACTAGCTATTATAAAGCCTTAAAGAATGAAGAGGCTACGAAAACAACAATTATATTGACGACGATTCGGTGGGGCTGCATAAAAGGACAAAAGATTTATTTGTTTTGCGCATTAAATGTTAAAATCTAGAAAAAAATCCACTCGTGGAATTCTTGTGGCCACTGTTCTGGGTCAGTTATTACAATGTAGTTGGATCTTTAAAACACTCACACGCTAACAGCAGAAGGCATTCGTCAATCTTCCGTCGAAGTGGGAAGATTGTGGTATCCAGCATAAATGGCTTATGCCATCAATTCCGGTGGATCCATAGTAGCGCCCGCCGCGTGAACTAAAATGAAGAGATTCACTGACCCTATACCACTCATCGCAGATCACTTCTCCACAACGAGCGCAGTGTATGGGACAGTCGCTATATGTAAGAAAATCTACCCAAACTGGATTTATGTGCCAGCTTATTCTCTTCCCAGTACTATCCGGTGGTCTTTGATGGCCCCATACCACTTCTTCGTTTGTCTCCATGTAAATGCTGTAAGCAGGTCTAAAGACGACGTTTTGAAATATCCTAGTCTGGTGCAGTTTCAGTCATGTATAGTCTTAATGCGGAAAGAAAGGTCGAAGTGATTGCCACTGGTAGACGTGGCTTCGATATTCCTTTTCCGGCCAATTTCTGTAAAACCTCCACTTACAACACATTATAAGAGTTTTAGCGATACGAATTATTGTTCAGTAAGTTCGAGTCCGCTTCCCATAGAGCCACATACAGAGGCATTTTTTTACGTATTTTCCAATAAAATGCTGTAGTAAGCCAACTTAGGTCAGAAAAAGGTCTGCGAGTGGAATGTTTCTTATTTTAAATCTAGTATTACACTATCTGGCTATCCCATGGCACTGATGTAAGCCTCAATAGTCTCTAGATAAGTGCTATGCTGTCGACCACATTTCAGCGAGACTCCTCAGTGCTCTGCGTAGAGGCTTTAGATGTGTGAGGCTGGATGAAGCTCTACTGACAACGTTCAGAGGGGCCAGTGCGCGAATGGAAAACTATGACACCAAGAGCACAAGAGATCAAATAAGTAATTTCAACACTTAAACAAACATCAGCCTTTTACAAAAATATGCATAAATTGCAACAGTAACGTAAATGATGTTTAACTGGAGAAAAATAGCTCTCATGATATAAACTGACAAAGACAAAGCTCCCACAGCAGAGAGCTTAGGATTTCCTAAATGTTTTACTCCACGTAGCCGACAATAAAGGAGATCTTAATCATATCAAACAACGAATCGTTACGGGTAGACCCCATGGGAATCCCGAAAAACTAGCCCCATGGCAGAGGTGAACCTGCCTTTCCCAGCCTAACAATGGGCTTAGTGTTCAAAGGACGTGCCTAGCCTGTGATGGCATTTATTGGGCCACTTTTAAGGTACGAAAATTTGAATAATTAGGAAATGATTGCCAACAACTAAATAGCAAAAAAACGTTTGAATTAGGATTTCTGCAGAAAGTTCTCACAATTACGCCTAATAATTTGGCAGTAGAATATGACCTGTGAAATTTTAAGTAATACAATCCATCTATGGCACAGAAATGCCTATTCATATTGTGAAATAGAAATTTAATGCCGGTTTTAGAAGCCTTAATCATATATTCTGGTAAAAATACAGTATTTAGGGAAATAAGGAAGGACAAATTCAACAGCACAAAATTCGTTTGCGGTACCCCTCAATCTTGAATGGCTGCAGCCATCGCTATGTTAATATGGCGTTCCATTCATGTAATGCCTGGTAACGGTCCATCAGGGCTCCTGCAAAATTTACGAGCCATATATAAACTCATAGATTCGGGTGGTTCTCTCACTCTGCGCTCCTCCTGAGGATTCCAAGTGGGAATTGCGAGGATTAATCGCACAGATTTTATGCATTCACATATGGGTTACTGTAAGCTATAGCTGTTGCACTACTTTCGGCAGTTGTCAAACTTACTCCTAGTTTTGATACCGGGCTAACTAGGGCCCCGTTAGCGTACCTTTGCCTGGCAGCCTGGACTCCGGACTATGCCAGTAACCCTCACCAAGCCCTTCTATGCGTCAGCAGTGCATATTCTGTCCATCTATTATGTCTTCCTTCGTTGTCAAGGTGGCCTCGGGGGGCCACAGAAATTCAGTGACGTTGGGTGTCATTAAGGTAGGTAAGGCCTAATTATAGTCCTGCTTTTGACGTCATGTTACACATTAGAAAAAAAGCAATGAAATTGCGGGCCATTTAAAAAGACCACTTGAAATGTTGAATGCAAAACAAAGTGACATGTGAATCAACACACCGAATTCTGCATACAATTCCCCAATCGAGTAAACCGCGATTCGGTACTTGTCCTTTTAAAACCCAAAAGAGTAAAGTGGTTCAAAACTTCGTCACTTGTGACAAGTTGGGTTGACATCAAGTCGTTCAATATGGACCTGTAGCGTCCCGAGACTTCACTGAGGACGAAAGGCACATAATACTCGGACAGAATATGTGTATACATTCAACGTACAGAAGGCATAGCCCGGAGACCAGCTCACTCGGTAAGGTACAGTGGCTAAGACACAAAGTGGCCCTTTAACCAAAACCAACAGTTAAGCAAACAGCCAACGTATTACAGAGCTATAAATGACAAGAGCTTCATTTAAAACAAACCTTATTTAGAAAAATAAAAAGATTGAAATACGCACCGATTTGTTAGCTACTCGAAAGTAACATTATCTACAATGCTGTGAAGTACGTGGAAGGACTTTTCATAGACAACTGATTGTGTATTTCTTGAGAGAGGGAATTAAAATGCAACGAACTTGTATATTTGTTGCGTTTTATAAAACACACATATTATGCACATGTAATGTAGTCCCAATACTTGATGTTTCGCCATTCTAAGCAAAAAATATGAAGGGATTAGGTGATGGACAAGAAAGTACCCAAGAGCTACATTTTGCACAAAACCATTCCATGGCCAAATACACGCAGTGGTTTGCGTTCTGAAAAACAACTCCTTGTAACAATTCAAAAATCTTCTTATAATATCCTTTGTAATGTACTCTTACAAGATTTATCATTAATAAACTGGATAGCAATTTGTTTTTCTACATAAACTATGCGTGTTTACGTACCACTTAATTGTACAAATGCTTCAAAGAAGAACAAGAACATTGCTGTTCTGATTTATAGCCTGGAATTACTTTGGCTAGGGGCAATAGAAGTTCAAAAATTGTAAATTACTATGTTTACAATAGCTCAAAATTGGGGAAGTTGTGGATTGGTGTTTTTAAAATGAGGGACAAATTTTGTGGTATTTTATGACCGATTTTACCGCTAATGCGCCAGTAAAAGTGTAAGGCCTATTTTGGCAGAAAATTGGCTTAAAATACGAACTTAGAAGCAGACCAATTTATCCTTGAGGAAGAACGACATACCTTGTGTTTATTAAAATACGGAATGCAATGTTATCGCTTCATGTTACTTTTGATTAACGAATTTAAAAGTTGAACAACTTCATTTCAAAGCCATTCATTATAATCTAATGGTTAGCTTATCAAGCCCTAAAATGTGGAATACTTTATTACATTTTGTAAGCAATCCCTTTTTAGTTTAAATACGGAGGGACTCCATGGAACTACTTGCCCTATTTTCCCATTTTAACTTTTTTTCGCGTGTACCAGTAAAGAAAAAGCATTCTCACCACTTCACGAATTAGATGTCTATATGTAACCTAGCACTGCGACGTCTGACTTACTCGACTAGGAATTGTCAACTTGCCAAATTGCCAATGTGTGGGTGATGGGTAATGAAGCATTGGCTCTCGCGACATCTAGTTGAGTGGATAATCTTGGACTAGTGGTTTATGCGTGGAGACTCGGTTTTGGACACCATCTCGATGCCGCATCTTGAGTAGAAATGGGACCAAAGTTTATGGCGAACATAGAAACTGGTGGTTACTTGACCCTACGCAAAAATTGGGGCACCAGAAATAGGACAGAGCAATGAAATACCTTAACGTTGGGATGTATCAGCTTCTTTTACAAGCATTCTTTTTTGGCGACAGGACTGTAGTGGACCTTATTCCACGATGTGCAATAGGCAGAGCAATTGGCTAGTTAAGGATGCCCGCATAATAAAAACCACCTTCAAAACTACTCGGAGGAGCATCAGCACGGAAATGGTGGAACCAAGGCATTGGCTGTTGGAAATTCCCCAACAAAGTGTACAAGCATCGTAAAATTTCATGTTTTTAAATTCAGTGTCAATGTGAACCAAATAACTTCAGAGATATAATAAAAAGTAATCTAATGTCACGCACGAGGACTACGCAGTTGCTAATGCACTACTGCGTGCGCTTGGCTTGCCAACAATTGTCAGATTTGCACTTAAATGATAATGAGGATAAAACGTATTAACAACGAAGGAGTTAAAACTTTAAACACATATGTTTTCGAAATTTAAGAGAGCCTTATAAGGAATATTCCCTTTGAACCCAAGTCCCCTACCTCAATTTGTTCAAAACTTTGCCATGCCCTGCATAGATTTGTAGACTTCGAGCATTTGTTTAGCTCTTCTTCTGAATTTCCGGCCCTTAAGGCTCTGCTTTTGTACCCAGGCAATCTGACTTCTATGCACGTCGGCAATACATATCCTGCCCGAGTATCATACTTTATTTAGTCTCTAGAGAAGTCTTCGGGTGTTACATATGCTAAGATCATCGACATATATGATGAAGAAAATTTAAATGCCAGAAAAATAGTATAAGCTAGTCTAGAGAGTGAAACGTCGATTAACTTTTTGGAATAAGATTTGCGCAATAAGATAACAAGTGC